CGAGTCGAGCGCCATGTACATTGCATAGTCGGAGATCACGTTCAGGTCCAAGTCCGCGAGCTTCTCGTTTGGGTACCCGGCGAAATGAAACACAAATTTGCTGAACCGCTCGTCGTTCTGCCACGTGTGCAGATGCGCGTGCTCCATTGGCGACTCGGACGACGACGACGGAAAGTCGAGCATATCGGTACGCGTTTCGAACCCCATCGCCCGCGTGCAGTGGTTGATCGCAATGTCGCCGCTGTACATGGTCAAGACTCCGTAGTGCCACTTGGGCCAGCCTTGAACGCCGTACGCCACGCTCTTCTCTTCGTCCGTAAACTCGCGGTCGCGCAGGTACATCATCGTCTCGACGCTGAGCTTGGCGCACTCCTTGAGCGTCGTCGCAGGGCCATACCACGTCGAGCCAATGTTGTGCTGGGTAGCTTCGGTCAGGTTGAGGTCGCGGCTGATGCGCGCGAGGCGGTCGCAAGTGCCGGGTCCGCAGTAGGCGCCACGGCCAACGGCGAACGAGTCGGGCTTCCACGTGGCAAACGCTGGTGTGAGGAACGTGTCAATGTCGGTGCGGAGAATCCAGTCGTAGTTGGCGGTCGCGGGCAAGTCGACAGCGAGGACGTTGACCGAGTCGGCGTAGGCGTAGGTGAAGTTTTCGTTTTGGAGTTTGGTGTAGTTTTGAACTGCGACGCACTTGTTGGGCTCCGAGTTGGAGCTGCGAGGCGAGTCCGTGCACCCGAGTTCCGCCAGCAAAGGTACTGTCGCGTCGCTAAAGACCACAATGTCGGTGCGCCACAACGCGGGTTCGTGCTTTTTCATCTCGAGCCAGCTGCGGTGGAACCAGCGAAACTCGGAGAGGAACCGCGCGTTGTCGTTGCTGGCTGGCAAGAAGAGGACGGCGGCGCGGCTAAAGTTGGTCAAGTGGTGCGGCAACCACTCGGTCTCGCGCTTTGTGCGAAACTTGCGCAGCGACGTCGCGAAGTACGAGGATTCGTCCAGATACGTGATGAGCGCAGCGCATGCCACGATGCACGCGAGGCCACCGGCGAGGAGCACACGCCGGAAGGTGCACGCCAGCATGACGGGTGCAATGTGGTGGGTTCGTGTCTTGTACCGGTCGTACGTACATTCGTGTATTGTACATTACGCATTATGTATGGTGTACGGTACGGTATAGTACATTGCGAATGAACGACACGGAAATAGTGTTATTTGAAATAGTCGAGTGGCGTCGGCTCTACTAGGACGACGATGCAGCGCTGCTATTTGCTTGGAGCCATGCGACTTCGGCGTCGACGATCGACTTGAGGCGGATGAGGAGCTGGCTGTTGACGACGATCTCGAGGCCCCGTGCTTGCAGCAACTACATAGTGAGTGATCAGTCCCTAGCGACCCGAGAATAGTCAAGTTGCACCTGTTCCACGTCCTTTTTGAGAAAGACGCAGGCCTTCTCGAACCGGTCCTTCTCGACACCGCGCTTGAAGAGCGGGTATTCAATGTACGGGTCGTTGACGTCATCGCGCATGAACGAGCGCGACGAGCAGTGCACGATCGTATACCGTAGGTTCACGTCGAGGTACTTGGCGAGCATAAATACAAAGTGGGCAATGTATCCGAGCGCCGTCGAGAGCATTTCGTCGTCTTTGCCTACAGCATGCTCAAAAATTGATACCTTGATACACCAAATATACCGTTGGCCACGTCGGCGTTCATAAACTTGATGCCGCCGATGCAATACTCGCCCGCGCCAACGTACGAGATCGGGTAAATGTCGTGCAGCTGGACGACCAAGTGGGCTTGCTTGGACCGGATTTTGTGCGCGACCTTGAGCACCTCGGTCCTATCGTTTGCTCAGTGTGGCAACTCAGATCTGACTCTGGCGCACCGGCGTTCCCAGATCCCGTTGCGCTCGTCATTGGCCTTGTTGTGAATATCCATGAGGTGCACGAGCGTCCGCGGAATGCGCTCGTCGAGCTGCAGCAGCTGCTTCTCGACCTTGACGACTGATTTTACTGGTCAAAGACATTGAGTACTCGCCCGATAGCGTCGGCTTTGTGTACCTCGTGATTGCGCTTGTTTGCGCTCGTCCACTTCCTTGCGCAGGGCGATGATGCGGTTCTGAAGCCGCAGCCGCTGGTGTTCCTGCAGGCACAGCGGTGAGCCGTCGTCACCATGGGTCGTTACCTTTTCCGCCGCTGCTTCGTGCGCCGCGAGCTGCTGTGCAATGCGCTCACGCTTGGCTTCAATACTGCGCTTGCGCTGCTCAATCTCGGCCAAAAGACCAATGTTGGTGTTGAGCAGGAGCGCAGCGGTTGGCAGCGCGTACTTGGTCTCGCGCACAATACCTTCTACTCCAATGTCGTGAGGACGACGCAGTGGGTCGCAGAGACGGAGGCACCTTTGCGCCGACGACCGGCCATCGCGCCGCTCTGCACCAAATGCAGCATCGTATCCCGCGGTACAAAGTACGTCTCCGCGTCTTTCTCGAGCTGAAACCCGAGGATGAGAGTGTTGAGCGGAAGGCCGTAGAGCTCGCGGTAGTCGCAGTGCAGCGGCTCGAGCGCATCGAGCTGCACGATAAAGCGAAGGACTTCTTCAAAGCTTCGCATGTCGTGGCGCCTGCATGTGGGACATGGTGTGTGGGTGAGTATGCAAGGCAATTCTGCGAGCGTTCTACCCGTCGCTCTCGTCGGTCGCGGTCGACTTGGCCTGGTCGTCGCCATGCTCTGTATCGTTGTCGTTATCGTCGTCGTCGTCGTCGTCTTCGTTGTCTTCTTCCTTGAGGCTTACATACGGCGGCTCGTATGGCTTGCGGTCGCTGCTCACGTAGCGGTAGACGATGAGCTCAAAGACCGAGTCCTGGAGACACTCGTAGGGCGAGATCGTGTTGCCAAGGCGCTCATCGAGCTCGACGGGCGGCCACGTCGGGTTGAGCGTCTCTTTGGCCACGTCGCTCTCGTACAGAATGGTGGCGCCGGCCGCGAGGCGCACAAAGAGGTCCGGCAGCTCGACTTCGCCGAGGCTTTCGCCCGTAGCGCCCATCTTGGGCGCCGAGAAGTCGCTCGCGCCCGTGCTGCTGGTGAAGCTCAAGTGGCGGAGGCAGATGCTCCGGAGCTGCGAGACGCAGAGGGTCCGGCGCTGCTGCATGCTGCTGCCGACGCTGCAAACCTCCTACTGTACTATTGCACCCTCTCAGAATTAATATACGGAATTGGTAACAGGACGCCGCAAACAGCGCTCGTTACTTTCGGCATGTGCCACCCACAAGTCAAGCCCGTTTCGCCAGCGCCCCGACCGCAGCAGCAACACCAAGCCAGCGCCGCTGCGTCGCCGGTCGTTCTCCAGCCGAGGCCATGAGCCGGCGAGGCTCGGTGGGATGCGATCCTGGCCGTGGTAACCACCATCGCACGATCTCCGGATCCAGCTACTGCGATGGGCCATTACACAAGCGGCGCGTCATGCTTTCTGTGGCGTGAGTGCCACCGAGCTGCGAGCGCAACCAGCTGGCGCCGTGTGGACTTGACGTCACAAGCGGTGCGATACGATTACCGTAGGCGGCGAACCTTTGCGCTCGCCGCACGGCTTGTACGAACCGGCTAGCCGCGCCGACAGACGCACGACGCATGCCCATCCTCGCTAAAGTAGCTCGCTCGCCTTCTACTCGCAGTGGTACTCGATCGCTTTGCATGGCAGACGTTGGCCATGTACGTTAGGCAATAAAGTCTTCGAGGTCGGCGAAGGCGTCGTCGCCGCCTTCTTCGCGGAGACACTCGTCAATGTACTCGTGGCGACTGCGCAGTAGGTGCTTCCGTCGCTGCTTGGTGGCGGTCCGCAGCTCCTGTGCTTGCTGCCGGAGCTGCGTCGTCTGCTTCTTGGTCATCTCGGACATGGCTTGCACGTGGTGCATGATGCGCTGGGTGAGCTCCTCGATGATCGCCCGGTCGTCGCGCGCCAGCGCATGCTTCTACTCACAACCCGATTGCCATCACCTCTACGGTCTCCAGCACGCTACCTTTTTAAGGGCGGACCCAAGCGTCGAGGTTGCCTCGAGCAAGAAGACGTCCATCTTGGTGGTCATGTCGACCGTCGCCTAATGAGAGTCCACCATCAACGCAACTGTGAGCTCCTTCGTACCGAGGCGTAGAGCTGCCACGCCTGAATGAGCTCCAATTGCAGCACGACAAGGTCGCGGATGATGGCGACGATGGCCGAGCCGCCGTGGATCGCTGGTAGAACGCACTTGCCGACGCGAAGGACGCTGTCGAGGACGCCGGCCGCCGCTTTCCACGAGAGACGCGGCGCCACAAACGCCTCTGAAAGCATCGCGTGCACGTTGGCCCACGGCGTGGACGGCGATCCATTCGCACTCAGCTCCGCGTACCAGCTCTGCAGCGCGCCCTCGACGTGCTTCATCGCGACCACGTACGCGGTCGCGCGCGTCGTCTCAGAGACGAGGAGTGGGTGGGTCACGGCCGGTCGCAGCCGCTTGTGCTTGGCCGTCGGCGCGGTCGAGGTGCGGTCGTCGGCGTCCGGGGCTTGCGCTTCGCGGAGGACTGCGATGAGCCGTTCGAGCGGGACGTTGCTGGGAAAGCCCATACTCAAGACAGCTCGGAGAAGGTTGGGCGACGCAATAGCGTTCTCGCAGAGGAGGAGGTACATGGTGTCGGCGGCGTCAACTTGGCTGGATGGCGACAGCTGCGCGTGCAGAAGCTTGAGCCACTCGACGAGGACGAGCGCGAGGTAGACGTGCGACGACCCGCCCAAGAGGTGCGTGAGCTGCTCGTGGAAGGCCGCGAGCACCGGCTCCCACGCATCGACGTGCCACGTAGCAAGAAACGCGGTGTAGTCAAAGTACTCATTGGTCTTGGCGAGTGCGACCCACAACCGCAAGATCGCGCCGAGGACGTCTGAGAGCTTGTACGATTTCAGCGGCTTGAGGCGGCACGTCGCGACCAGATCCACATCGTCGTCACCATTGTTGTCATGGAGAAGCGGGATGCTGCCTTGGCCCTGGACTAGCTCCGGGTACAAGCGCACGGTGCTCGTCACGGCGACAGCGACTTGGTCGACGCTCAAGTGCGCCGCCTGCTTCTCGAGCGCCACAAGACCGAGCATGGTGTGCTGAAGGCAGCAGCTCGAGGCTTCGAGGGCACCAAGGAGCTGGTTCTGTGGCAGTGATCCGTGCACACGGCGGAGTGTGCACTGCAGCCGCGCGACGTTTCCATGGTCCGCGACCTCGCAGCACGTGGCGTAGATGGCGGCGCGAAGAGCACTCGACTGCGTCGGCGGCTGCGTCAAGTAGGCGATGCAGTGCGCACTCGAGACGCGTTGTCCCAGCGCATGGCGAAGCGCGTCGACATAGGCGGCGGCCTCGGCGCTCAGACGCGGCAGCACGTCGAGCAAGAGCGCAAAGACCGGTGCCGCGTCGGCATCGACAACGCTCTGCAGTGAGAGCGTACTGGGCGGTGTAAAGTCGACAAAGTAGCGCAGATTCCGCCGACACGCTGCCTCGATGTGAGCCGGTGGCGCCACCGACGTGGTCGCAAGGAGCGCGGGGAGTCGTTCGAGCAGATGTCGCTTGAGCTCTGCGCTTTGCATGTGAAGCACGTCGTGGAAGCACGTAAAGATGTCTTCTTGCTGCCGCGGCGAGAGCGTCGGCCGCTGCAAGAGGTCGCACCACAGGGAAATGGCTGCCATTTGGTTGGCGAGCACGGGCGCCACGAGCTGCTTGCGAAGGAAGATCATCACAAAGCTCTCAAACGCCGATGAGGCTGTCAGCGGAAGAAGGGCACGGAGCAGGCGCGTGCCGCAGGGCACCGACGTCGAAAAGAGGTGGGCCAGCCGGTCTTGGAGTTGGGGCGCGCACATCGCGAGCAGCTGCGTCTGGTCTTTCGCGAGTGTCTCAAGAACATGCAGCGCTTGGTCCGTTGCATGGATCGAAGAGAGGAGCACATTGACGACCTCGGTGCGGAGCTCGGGCACGTCGGTGAAGACGACGAGAAACGTGTGGTGCGCGATCACGGCCGACGTCGGCAGCCACGACACAGCAGCGTCCAGCAGCACGAGCGCTTTCCAGTGCTTTGAGAAGCGCAGCAGCGGGCGAAGGTCGAGGACCAAGGTCGCCTCCAAGTGCCGTTGCAGCGTGTTCTGGAGTTGCTTGTGCTCCGACTCGGGCTTGGCAATCGCGAGCTTGAAGAGCGGCTGGGTCGCGTGCATCGCATGCAGCAGGACAAGCACGTCCAGCGGCGTCCACGCGGCGCTGGACGACCGCAGCACCTTGTGGAAGCGCTGTACGTAGACTGGCGAGTACTGAAACAGCTATGTAGTCAACCATGTCCCTTCAATAAGCTCTTGGCATGGGACCCTACCGTCTCGAAAAGGTAGTCGAGGTCCCGCTCCAGCGACGGCGGTGCAAACGACAGCATGTCGCGAGACAGTTGAATCCACGTTTGGTCGTCGTGCGCGTCACTGAGCTCGTAGCACGCCCGGATCGAGTCGTCCCAGAAGCCTAAGGCGAGCTGGGTCGAGAGAGAGGGCATGGTCGCTCGCACGAGCGCCTGAGCAAGCATGGTATGTGAGGTTGAAGACGGGTAAATAGAGTATACCTGCAGTGTGTGGTGGTGTGCGCGAGTCAGAAACGTGCAGCCGCGGGCAAAGCCCAGTACGAGGTGCAAGGTCGGTGCAGCCCACGGTAATTGAAGCAGCTGTTCCACGAGCTGCAAGAGGCTGAGCACACGCTATGGCGATAGGCACGTACGTGGGAGGTGTCGGACGACGGTGGCAGGAGCGAGACGAGGTACGGCACGCTGTCGAGGATCGACTGGAAGCTCCTCTCGTCGACGGTTGAAAAATTGGTCAGCGCAGCATGCAGCAAGGCGACGATGGCTTGGAGCACGCTTTGGATCTCGCTCATGACGCTGCACGTCGTGTCTTTGTCGTCCCGCAGCTCGTCCACGAGGACCATGAAGACCATCGAGAGCTCGTTGACCCACTTGTAGTGCAACTTCTTCTTGAGCACCATCGACAGCAGCAAATCGACGACGGAGCGTCGACGCGGCACCGTCTGTTCGTACGCTGCCAAGGCCAGGGACTGGCCCTCGATCGGACAGCCGAGTACGAGGCGGACAAAGGCCATGGCGGCGTCGTCGTGCTCGTGGCGAGGCAGGCCGCGCACGAGACCCTCGATCTACAACGATTGTCTTGGCACGTGGCAGCATGCATCGTAGACTCGCACCTCGGCCATGTCCATGCGCGCGAGGTGCGCCTCGACGGCCTCAATGTCATCGGTCGTTGTCTGCAGCAAGCGCTCGAGGCTGGCCATGAGGCGGTCGGCGCGGGTGAAATTCCAGCAAACGGCTTTATAGCGAATCAAATGCAAGAGCGTTTGGGATTGGCTGAAAATGAATTTGGGTCGCCTTAAATAGTGTGAGCGGTTACATGACAACGACGAACTAATGCAATCCACCAGTCAACTGCTCAGCGACGCGCACTCTGATACGTAGATCATCGCTGCAAGTCGCTTACACCCACTCATAACCCCGAGAGTTCCGAGAGCGCCTCGATAAGTGAAAACCACACTCCGAAACGCCAACTCAGTTACAAACCAGCTATGGGGTTTGTTGCCTGTCGTGGCTATGTGATTGCAATGGCGAGTACTCGCTGCATCCACGCGATCAATCTCCAGGGACGCATTCTGTGCGTCAAGGTCGCCGAGATGTAGTATCAGTCACAGAGACAAAAGTCGTTAGTTGATTGCCCTGGATATCCTTCTTGCGTGCTGTAGAGTACTGACTGGGAGCGCCTAGTAGACTTGGGAACCCGCGAGCTCCACGCAAATCGTTCTGCCGGCCACCCAGCGGTCCGCCAAGGGTGTTCACCGATATGTGGGCCAACGTCCCTTGCACCGGCTAACAATAGACACACACTATTTGCAGGATGAAAATGACAGCGGATTGGCCAAAATCGAAATTTTATTGCGATCGGCGAGCGAAACCTCCCGCAGTTGGCAATTTCCCATGAGCTCGATCGGACGCAAGCACCGCAATAGCCTCACGACCGGGCAGATCCAAGTCAGCGTCGGCGGGAAGCGCTCGGTGCTGGCGCCGTCCGAGGCCGCGACCAAGGTGACGTCGCCGACAGTCATGTCGATGAAGAGCGTTCTCCATGCGTGCCAGTCGGTCTTCCGCCGGCCGCGCATCCGCGGGCGCTCGATCGAGCCCGAGTCGGAGATGCTTCTGCTTCCGCGGGTCGCCAAGAGCAACGAGGCCATCCGCATCATCTCCAAGGCGCTCCGAGCGCACTACCTCTTCCAGACGCTCGAGGACGCGCAGCTGCTCGAGGTCGCACACGTCATGGACCTTGTCACGCACAACGACGGCGACGAGGTCATCACGCAAGGCGACACGGGTAATGCGTTCTTCGTGCTTGAAGCCGGCTCGTGCCAAATCCTCGTCGACGACAAGGTTGTTGGCCACTACGTCGGTGGCCAGGCCTTTGGCGAGCTCGCGCTGCTCTACAACGCGCCGCGCGCGGCCACGATCAAGGCAACATCGCCGTGTACGCTGTGGAAAATCGACCGCGTCATCTTCCGCAAGATTGCAACGACCGCCGAGATGCAGTCGCAGAAGGCGCGGCTCGACTTCCTCAAGCAAGTGGACTTTTTAAAGCACCTCGGCGACAAGCCGCTGCGCAAGATCGTCGACGTCCTCCGCATGGAGTACTTTGGTGCAGGCGCATCCATCATCCGGCAAGGCGACGAAGGCAACACGTTCTACATGATCGTGCAGGGCTCCGTTCTCTGCTCGAGCGAGCATGACGAGCATCTCGTGACGCTGCACGCCGGTCAGTACTTTGGCGAGCGCGCGCTCCTCACCAACGAGCCGCGCAAGGTCAACTGCGTCGCCGAGACCAACGCCACATGCTATATGCTCGGGCGCCGTGACTTTACGCAGCTCCTCGGCCCGCTGCAGACGCTTCTCGACCGCCAAGTGCGCCTCCGCACGCTGCGCAGCATCACGCTCTTGAGCCACCTCTCGGACCCCGAGCTCGACTTGATTGCACTCGCGTTCCGGACAGTCTCGTTTACTGACGGCCAAAAGATCATCCGACAAGGCGAGATCGGCAACACGTTCTTCATCATCCAGCAAGGGGTCGTGTCCGTGCAGAAGGCCGGCGTCCAGGTCCTGCAGCTCCGGTCTGGCGAGTTCTTTGGCGAGCGCACGCTGTTGCACAACGAGCCGCGGGCCGCCGACGTGGTTGCGTCCGGGCCCGTCGAGTGCCTCAGCCTTGACCGCCCGGCGTTTGAGCGCTGTCTGAGCAAGCTTCGCGCGGTTATGGCCGATGAGGCGAAGCGCCAAGAGCTCATCCAGGCGTCGATCCTCGGTACGCCAGTGCCAGCGTCCAAGCACTTGGACTTTGCCGAGCTCGAGAAGATCGACACGATCGGGGCTGGCACGTTTGGCCACGTCTTCATGGTCAAGCACAAGCCGAGCGGGATGACGTATGCGCTCAAGTGCATGCCAAAGCACAACATTGTCGCGACGCACCAAGTGCTCAACATTTTGAACGAGAAGCGCATCATCTGCGAGTGCACCCACCCGTTCATTCTGCGCCTCGTCGATACCTTTGCCGACCGCGACCAGCTCTACATGGTGCTCGAGCTCGTGCAAGGCGGCGAGCTCTGGAGCTTGCTCTACGAAAAGTCGTTTTACCTTCCAAAAGGCAGCACCGGTGGCTTTGACGTGCCAACCGCGCGCTTTTATGCGGCGACGGTCGTCGAGGTCTTCCGATACCTCCAGACGATCAACGTCGCGTACCGCGACCTCAAGCCCGAGAACCTCATGCTCGACGATAAAGGCTACCTCAAGATGGTCGACTTTGGCTTTGCCAAGCACATTCCGTTCTTCAAGCAAGGCGCGCTCTGTGAAAAGACATTTACGGTCTGCGGCACGCAAGAATACATGGCGCCCGAGATCTTGCTGCAGAAAGGCCATGGGATCGCGGTCGACCACTGGGCGCTCGGCTGTCTCATCTACGAGCTCCTCGTGGGCCACACGCCGTTTTACTCGGACTGCCACGACGACCTCCAAGTCGTGTGGAATGTCCTGCACGCGCCGTCGACGCTCCGCTTCCCCCACGGCTTTGACCCGGAGGCAAAGGACCTCATCTCGAAACTACTCGAGCCCAACCCGCGTCTGCGCTTGGGTACGATTTGTCTGAAAGGTATGAGAAGAAATTGATCGTGGGGAATAGGATCACTGCCCGGTGGCATGAACGACGTGATGCTGCATCCGTGGTTCTCGACCGCGTGCTTTGATTGGACGGCGCTTCGAACCCAGACGCTCACGGCGCCGTACACGCCGCCAATTAAGGATGCACTGGACTTGAGTCAGTTTGGTCACTTTCCCAAGGCTGGCAAGATTGTCAAGTACAACGGCGAAGACTACTTTGCCGACTTTTAGAACCAGCCGCGATAGTTCCATTTCATAAATGCATTTGCACGCGGAGTCTGTGGCCGGTTGTTTTCTTCCTCCATGAATAGGGAGCGAGTGGACCTCGGGATACCACGAGAGATGCCAATCATATTATTAACCGGGTAGAGCTGTCGGTCACCTCAAAGACAAATACTGTGTACAAAGTGGCGTCTACGCGGAGATGGCAGGGGGCTGCTGGACGTTCCAGAGCCGTGTCATTGGATAGAGCGCGCTCGGGACGTCGCTAAAGCGTTGGTTTAGCAGAACGCCGTTGACTTCAAAAGAAATGCTCTCGTCGTCGCGCGTCACGACGACAGTTGTCGCGGACGTCGTCGCCTTGAAGGGCGGGACGAATATCGGTGGCAGCGGCTGCGCGGCCTCAGCGGGGTAGGCCTTGAGCACAGCGTGGATCTCGCCAGCGCTGTCAATCTCGATCGAGAGGACGTACCCATGGACAGTGGCGTCTGCCTTGCGCGAGGAGTCGCGGGGGCAGTAGCCGACCTCGACGAAGACGCTGTTATCCGAAACGCAAAAGCGTCGCAATGGCGTGACCGCGACGGCGCCGACAAATGCATTAAATCCTCGTTGCTTGGCCAGGACCGTGTCGCCCGCACTCAAAAGGACGTCGTCGTGGCAGTGGGTGGGATCCCACGCCGCCAGTGGTGGCAGCTGGAGGTAGTCGTAAAGCTCGAAAAAGTCATCTCGCGCGCCGCCCGCGAGGCTATCGAGAGGCAGGTGACCGCTGCGAAGGTACGTCATGATGGGCGCAAACAAGGCCGGGTCAAAGTCCAGAAAGTACTCGCCTACGGAATGCTGAAAACAATGGAAACGATATCTCCAGTACCGTTCTCAGTGGGTGGCCACTGGAGCAACGCGTGGAAGTAGCTGCCCTCGAAGCGCAACAGCGTCTCGTGGAACGTTGCAAAGCGCGTGCCACCGACGTTGAGCGTGACGATCTTGGTGGGCGCTCTCGAGCGCTGCATGTCGCGAAGCGCAGAGGCGACGTCAGTGGCACAAGTGTCAAATGGACCTAGCACCTCTGACGAAAGGAGCGTACGGAGCTCAGCCCATCGCGCCTCGAACGCATCGCTTGTCGTCGACTCTGGGAATGGCATTTGCCACGTTGAAGCTCCACGGTCCGTTAAAGAAAAGTGTAAAACGCAGGGTGTGCTACGTTGGAGTTGTTGACGTTTGTAAATCTGGGCAGTGGAATCTGGGCACGCGCGTCTGGGCACCGCGTCTCTGTAACTCACATCTGCGGAGACCAAGGCGCCCTTCACAAGCAGAGTTTGCAGCTCAGCGCCCTTTTGCGCTGCGACTGCAACTTCTCCTTTGACGTCTCTGCGCCGCACTCGAGCGCACTGGAACACCAAGTGCGTCCGGTACAAGGGAAATACGAACTTGTTCTTATTTTCCCTTGGGTACATGGTCGGACGTTCCCAAAGAGGAAACTACCACTCTTACGTTGCGTGTCTTCTCGGCTCCAAGGTTGATCTTGCGCAAACAGGCCGCCACGTCATGGGCACCATAGAACTATCTCATTCTAAAAGAGGTCGTACATGATATGCTTGTTCAATCGAAAAAGGTTACGAAAACGGCACGAGCTCGATGCGCTGTTTGGCATACCAGAGCCGCACAAACGGCACAAGCTCGGTCGTCTCGGCCACGTCGGAAAAGTGCTCGTCGACGCGCACGCCGTCGACGTCAAAGAAGAGGCACCGCGCGTCCATGTCGCGTGTGACGGCGATGACCACATCTTGGGCGGTGGTCGTCAGCGTCGAACAGTGCACGACAGGCAGTGGATGGGCGGCATCTCTTGGAAACGCCTTGAGGGCCAGATGCACCATGTTGATCTTGAAGCTAGCGCGCACGTCAACATGGAGGACATATCCGTGGGCGTCTGTGCCCGTTTCGTGGATAGCGTCGCGCGTGCTGTAGCCCACCTCAAAGAACGAGACGGCATTGACCGCAACGCAAAAGCGACTCGAGGGCGTTGTCGCCACGACGCCGCTCCACGTCAGGTTGCCACGGAGCTTGGCGACGACGGTGGCGCTCTGGCTCAATACGGCGGATACGTGGCAATGGTGGGGATCCCACGCCGACGCTACTGGCTCGTTGAGCTGAAAGTAGTCCAAGAGGTCGCGAAAGTCGGCTCGTGCGTCCTCTGGAATGCTCTTGACCGAGAGCTTCCCCGTCCGAAGGTACGTCATGATGGCCACAAACAAACTGGGCTCGACATCGAGAAAATACTCGCCTGGTCAGAGATCAGAGACGAGCGCGGTGAGCCTCTCGTACCGTCGTCGTTGGGCGGCCATTGGAGCATCGTATGGAAGTAGCTGTCCTCGAACCGCAACAGGTTCTCCCGTGAAGTCGCAAAGCGCGTGCCACCGACGTTGAGCGTGACGATCTTGGTCGGCGCCTTGGGTCTCTCACACTGCAGCTCACGCAGCGCCGAGGTGACGTCGTCGACAAAGGCGCCTAGAGGACCCTGGATCTCGGGTGGTAGGAGGTCTTGGAGCTGAGCCCAGCGCGCATCCAACGAGACCACGGGTGGTGCCATTGATGAATGAGATTGCGCGACAACAACAATCTTGCAACAACGACGTGATTGGCTACTACCGGAATCGCTAGCCAATGAAAATGCGCGAAAACGCCCCAGTTGTTGAAGTGGGTCTTCTGAAAACGCCCTAACGTTAGTCAAATAAGCTGTCAAATCTTATCGGAGCAAGGTATCGACGCAGGGTCGCGTAGGGTATTTTAGCTAGCACGCTGAAGAAGGCCACTATCGACGCCCCGATCCCAGCCGGCAATGGAGAGTGGAGACGTCGAACCACCGGTACCACGCTTGTTACTCGCAAGGCTGCAGTGTACTTGGCGGAACACATCTCTTGGGTCGGGTTGTTGAAGGAGCTGAGGGACTCAAATGCGTTTGCTTCACTTCTCTCGCTGGTCCTGTCCGTGGTCTTGAAACTTCAGATTTCAAGACCAATCAGGGAATTCTTCAGTTGAACTATCCCGCGCGCCCTTGGTTCGCACTCGAGATCACGTCGTTGCTGTCCTATCGAAGTTCGAAGCTACGATGTTGGAATATACGAGGTGGCATATGCCGCATGTAGTCGCCAACGGTCGCGTTTCAGCCGCGGCAAGATGGGCAACTCCCTCTCATCTCGCTCGTACGCATTGTTTTAGGGGCCACTTTACATACAAATGGCTAGATAAAAGACTTGACGCCGTTGCGTGCAAACGCCCCGACGACACGTGGCACGCCCTGAAATGCAGGGAGTGTCCTCGAAGTTCGAAGTGCAAACCCACAAACGAGCGCTATTTCCATTCTGGCCCATGCAAGCCGGAGCCGAGGTCGTTCCCGTCGACAGCGCGATGGCCGCCGCCGCGACGTCGCCCAAGCCAGAGCCACTCGCGTACGACGTGCATCTCTTTGAGGCCTTCCCGGCCGTGTGCGCCAAGGGCAAGAACGGCGTCCAGACGTGCCAAGCCATGTCGCTCTTCCTTCAAGATCGCGCCAACTTTGAGATGCTCTACAGCAAGCAGCTCGGCAAGATCCAACAGTACAACCCACTTGCTTGACATCTCGAATGCAAGGCTAAGACGGCGCATAGGAGCCCCAAGTCGGAGGACTGGGCGAAACAAGTGGCGTCAGTGTGGGCAGCCGTGCACAAGGCGATGGCGTCCATCTCGGCCGAGCACGTGGACTTTGCAAGCAAGCACACGACGAGCATCGTCGCTGGCATCAAGGCGTGCACGCTGCAGCAAGACACGCAGATCCAGCGGCTCACGTCCGGTTCGCTCTCCGACCTCGTACTCGTCTTATTTAGTCGAACTAGAGGGCCTCAAAATCAAGAGCCGATACCAAGACTACGCCACCAAGGCCAACAAGACCAAGGAGCGCTACGACAAGAAGTGCGCCGACGCGCTCGAGCTCCTCGCGTCACTGAACCGCAAGCCGGACGGCGACAAGTCGTCGGATATCTTTACCAAAGTGTGGGATTCGACCAAGCACCTTGCGTTCACGTCGCAGGACCGCCAGCGCACCAAGATCGCGGCCGCCATGGACGACATCGTCGCTGCCGAGGCCGCGTACACGCGCGCAGTGGAGGCGCTCGCTTCGCAGCGCACCACGTACGAGCGCAGCTTGAAGGACAACCTCCGGGCCTTTGAGGTTACCGAGGAGCAGCGCATCGAGTACATTAAAGATCTGCTTTTGCGCACGGAAAAGGCGCGGCTCGGGACGCTCAAGAAGATTGAGGCGGTCATCGCCGACATGCAGGCGGCCATCCAGTCGATCGATGTGCTCGGTATTGTGTCTCCATGTCTCTACAGAAGTCCTCACGTCGTATCCTTAGATGACATTGAGGAGGGACTCGTGCAAGGACTCGGGCTCCAGTCCCCCGAGCTCACGGCCGAAACGGCGTGGCTCCTCGACCCGGAGAGCACTCGACTGGCAGACCTCGTCACCGGCGTTCAGAGCATGAGCGACCAAGGCGTCATCTGCACCCACGCGATGCTCAACACGCTTGTCGAGTACATATCCGCTGAAGAAACCTTTGTCCAAGCGCTCGACAAGCTCTCGAGTATCCACGGGCCAACGCCCAACGAGAAAATCGAGACAGGGCTCTTTGCGTCATCGAACCCGGTGGTGGCCGACGAAGGTGCGACGTTGAGCGCCGCGTGGACCGCGGTCGTCGCTCAGCTGCAGCGGGTCGCGTACCTTCATCGCGTACGCCTCCATTGTTTCATTGTATCAATGTTTCAATTACGCGTCGTAGGAATTTGGGTCGCTCCTCGCCGAGCCCGTGCTCTTGAGTCTTGGCACGATGAAGAACGAGTATGACGAGACCAAGACAGCGCTGGACGCGGACCTCGGGCGACTCTACGGGACGATCTTGGCCGAGCGACAAGCGCACTGGCGACTGCTGACGCGACTCGAGACGAAGCGCAAGGAGCTCGAGGCCAACCAGACGACGCAGACCGTCAACGTGGACAAGGAAGATATGCTGCACCACCTGGGGCTCGCCGACAGTCCGTCGGAGCGAGAGCGCAAGCTCGGCTGGAAGGTCGACCAGCTTCGCGACGAGATTACGGATCTCTCGGCCCAAGTCGACGCAAGTGCGGCCGCACTGCTTGACAAAGCCGATACGTTTCGCGAGGTACACTGTAGCAAGGTATCAAGTTGATATTGATGCGTGGCCTGTAGGAGCTCCAGCGCGTCCTCTCGGGGTACACGAAGAATGAAAAATACCGTCTCGATGTCAAGAAGAGCTCATTGCGGTCGCTCGTCAAGGCGCACGACCACCTCGTTTTGGGCTTGAAGCACGCGTCACAAGCCATCGTCACTGACGTCGACCAGCTCTCGGCAACTGCCGACATTCAAGAATTTATCCAACACGTGGTCGACGCGTCGCCGCCGACGACCGAAGGACCAAGCTTGGTGCCGCAGCTCTCGACGTCGCCCCTCCTGCTCGAGCAACTTCGCCGCCACACGTCAACGGCCAAGCCCAAGCTCGTGGCGACACCGAGCAACTCGAACCTCGCGCGGACCATTGACGAGACGGAAGACTCGAACGCAAGCGACGCCGACGCGATTTTGGACAAGAAGGACGAACTCAAGGACGACAAAGACTCGCTCCTCTTTGCGATGGGCTCGGCTGAGTTTCAGCGCGTCTTCAACGTACGTACATGTTGTCCCTTTGGATATGTACGAGTACATGGTAGCTACCCGCGTCCGAGCAAGTCGTCGCGAGCTTTTCGTGTGCCCTGTACCTCAACAACTTTCCGTGTCAAGGTCGACTGTACCTCTCGCAGACGCACCTCTGCTTTACGGGCTGGCGCGACGCGTTTGTGGTATGTATTTTTGTATCAAGATAGTATCAAGATACGATTTGACTAACAATTGATACCACCTGTTGTGTAGGTGCTGCCGCTCACGGAGATTACGCACATGGAGCGCAAGAACACGGCGATCGTGGTGCCCAATGCCCTCGAGCTCACAACGGCGACGCAAGGTCGCTTCTTTTTTGCGTCGTTTCTCTACCGGTACACGCTTCGAACCTCGCTTAAGTCGACCTTATCGGTCTGTAGCGACGAATGCATGCAGTCAGTCGGTCAGCTGCGGCAGATTCAGCAGCAAATGCAAGCCATCTTGACGCCCTCGGACGACGGCACGCCAGACGACGACGACAGCACCGCCTCAAACTCGGAGGGGTCGGAGACGCAAGTGAGTCTGGACATTGCCGAGCAAGAGACGATCCTATCGCAAGACTATGACGTGGTCATGGACGAAGTGCTCTCGCTGCCATTGGCTTATGTGAACAAGGCGCTCTGGGGACCCGCCGCCTATCTGGACGCGCTGCTGAAGGCAACAGGCGAGACCAACGTGAGCGTCGGCGAGTGGTCGCCGGGCCCGGTGCAGTACACGGCGTTCAAGCGTCAGGAAACGTTCCAAAAGGTGCGCACTGTCACGTATACCCACAACAAGAAGTACATGGTGGGACCGAGCGCGATCCCGACGTCGCAGGAGCAGCGTCTCTCGTTTGAGGACGGCGTCGGCCTCGTGGTCAGCGTCACGGCGACGGTTGCCGACGCGCCGTACCACGACTACTTCCGCGCCGAGAGTCGCTGGCTCTTTACGCCGCAGCCCAACGGCGATACTCGACTCCGCACCGGCGTGCGCCTCTTTTGGGTCAAGAGCACGTGGCTCAAGAAGCAGGTGTGTGTCTCGCAACGAGCTGACCCTAGCCCTGGCTAACACGTTTACACGTAGATTGAGGGCGCGACCGCATCCGAGTCGAAGGAAACCATGAAGCTCTGGGCAGTCAAGGCGATGGAAGCCTACAAGAAGACGACCGCCACGACCACGGCCAAGGCAACGCCCCCGACGAAGGCACCGAGTGCCGTGGTGCCGCCCGTTGCCGCTGAAGTGCCCAAGACGACGCCACCGGTGGCAACCAAGATGGTCCTGCCCGAAGGGCGACTGGTGTGGGGCCTTGCGCTGCTGGCCTACTTGCTTGTCTTGCTCAGTCTCTGGCGCCTCGGGAGCCTCCATCAGCGGAGCGTGGCCCTCCAGGAAGAACAAGTCGCGCTCCTTCGAGCCATGCTACAGTCGGTTTCCGACGGCCAGCTGCGCGACGTCCTGCAACACGTGCTTCCGCCGCACTAAGGCTGCCAAGTGCTATGTATTTTGTCCATAATGTGTGCGTTTTTCTACTGCTGTACAAGGTGGCTGGTGGCTACGCCTCGTAGCCGCCGTCGTCGTCGTCGTCTTGGTACGGACTCAACGCAGCAAAGTTGAGTTTTGGCACGGTCCGCGGTACACAGTAGGTCATCGTTGTCGTCTCGGGCAGTACGAGCGACACATCGTCTAGCGCAAAGGACCATGAAGGCGTCACGCAGCACGGGTGGCTACCGTCTTCATGGTCATCCGGCATCGAAGCGACTCCGCCTTTGCCGAGCGGCTGGAAGAGCAGCTCGTGCCGTAGCTGGTCGACTTCGCTCTGGAGCTCGGTGCAGAGTTGCTTGAGCGCTTGGTTTTCAGTTCGTGCGAGGTAGACATCTACAGAGGCTTTCTGCATACGCATCCACGGCCGGCAGTAAAAGCCGACCCAAGGGAGGGCTTCCGTCGTCGAACTGCTCGACCGACGACGTCGGCGCGTCGAAATGCTTGTTGAACTCGGTGCGAATCTTGAGCAAAATGCCCGCGTACGTCTACACCCAATGTGACGTTGTGGTTGTGATCAAGCTCATGTGAACGGACGCGGTCCTGCAAGATGACTTCATCAAAGAGGTCCCGGGCCACTTGGAGCCGCGCGCGCTGCTTTGCGGGCCCCTACACGGGGTGTGGGTACCGTCTTCGGATACACTGCAGCGTACGTGCGTCATATCGAGCTCGCAGAGGCGTTCGGCCAGTTCCATTTCCAAGACGGTCGCGGACGACCGTGCAAACTTGTGTCGACGGGTCACAGACGCGTACGTCTTTTGCGAGGCGAGGCCCGTCTTCTTGGCATACTTGTAGGTCTCGACCGAGGCGGGCGGCGGCAAATGGCCGAGGTCCACGACCGTGGCCTTGTTTCCGAGGTGGCTCGTATGGTTGTTGCTGCTAAAGTCGCTGGCGTCGATGATCTTTTGCCGAATCGCCGACGCCGACCGACACCGTCTACGAATGCGTTGGCGACCGCGAGACGTAAGGGCGTACCGAAGGGGTGTCGTTGAGCCCGTCGATGCTGGGGCTTGGCGCGGCGACTTTTCCGGCTCGTTGTTGCTGCTGCGCGGCGCAGAGTCGCGCCGCGTGACGGGCTTCTACATACATTGCGTCAAGTGGCACGGGGTAGGGCAAGAGACCTTGCGCAGATCGAGGCCGTGGTGCTTGGTCACAAGCGGTTTGGGCGCAACGTGTGTGCTCGACTACAGCAGTGTCCTTTATGCGACCGGACTCGACGCCGGGGAACGCACCTGCCACTTGGACTTGGAGGGCACGCTTGGTCGTGCCTTGGTCGCGAGCATCGCTGCCTGTCTACGCGGCGCGGAGGTGAAACGCTACGCCTTAATTAGTGCGTGAGAAGTCGGTTTCCAAGGGCAAAATATGCACCGCGCAGCCTGGCATGTCGTGCTCGGTCGTGTAGCTGCCCGTTGCTGGCTATTCGTTGCATCGACGAAGCGGTCGCTGCGTCAACAGCCAAGGACCGTCGCACAACGACAGCGTCATCCTCTTGTACTTTTTCTTCACGATCACGATACGCCGCTTGACGTGTGACGCGTCAACGTCGTCGATCGCGACTTTGTCTTTCGATGGTACTGGCTGGAGCTGGCAAGTAGTCGAAAGGACGTAGCGTAGATATATTAACAAACGAGGCAAAGCGCTCTACTCCTCGTCGCTGCTGCTCTCGTCACTGTCTTCGACGTGCGCGTAGTGCCCGCCCATGCGGTTGCGGTTCACAAACATGAGGTCGTCCGGGTGGTCGTCGTCGCTCTCCGAGTCGTCGTCGTCCTCGTCGCTCTCGTCGCCCATTGCGCCTTCGATCGTGTTGCCAAACTTGTCGACCTTGCCGTTGCCCTGCGAGACGTCGGCGACCTTGTCGGCGAGCGCGCTCAGCGACTCGTCGTACTCGCGCTTGGTCTCGTCTTCGACAAAGACATCGGGCCAGAGGTCCTTGGCCTTGAGGTTCTTGATCTGGTCCTTGTACAAAATGTGCTCGACCGAAAAGTTGACGGCGCCCTTCTTGGCGTCGTCCGCGCCCGAGACAATGAGAAAGTCGCCTCGGCGGATCCAGATGAGCTTGCGGTACTTGGTCGGCAACATCGCGAGGCCTTTGTCGCCCGTCGGTGTCTCGACCTACGCACAGCTCAGAGGCCATCGCAGCGCCTGCCAGGTACGAATACCTCGAAGAGGTTGCCACCACGAAGCGACTTGACCTGCACGATTAACTCGCCGGCCACCGGCTCGGGCTCGCCGTAAAGGACGTCCTGGGTCACGCCCTTGCGGTACCCACTCTTGCGGCCAGCTCCACTCATTGTCTACGTTTAGCACGTCGATGAGCTCGGAGGTAGACAGGCGGCTGCGTACGATCTCGACACTTGCACTCTGCCGCTTTAATATGATTGGCTCTCGGTGGGATAGTTGAGCCGACCAATCGGCGCGGCGGCAGAGGTTTAACGTGTTTAAACACCATGCCACGTGGTGAAGGGGTCGCTGAGGTGTTGCTTGTACGCTGTTGCGGGGCGTGGTGAACCGCTTTCTTCAGCAGTTGTACTGGTATGCGCTCGGGAGTCCTCTATGGTCGCACCTACATGTACTTGGGAATAGAGCTCAACGAGGCAGTTTGTGCTACTCTAGACGTGGGAGCGAGGTAGCCAAGGTACAGGCTAAACAGGCTGCGTTTATCGTGAGCGCTCAGCTTGCGTCGAGAGAAGGATGCGCGCACGATGAAACTTGAGAGGCTACACCTTGATCCAGTGTCCTCGGCCACTTTGATTGAGTTGCTTCTGTAGTTTAACGCGTTCCCAACGATTTGACGTTTAACGCCATGTGGTAGAAGGTTAAACCTAGTTTGAAGGACAGGTCCAAGGGAGTTTGAGTTTTGTGGTGAAGATGGCCGGACGTGGACGAGGCAAGGCGGCGACGCTCCCTGCATGGATGACCAACCCGACCAGCAGCGTTGCTGCTGCGGCCGCTGCTGCGATCAAGCCTGTCGAAGCCGTCAAGGGCCAGTTCGACGACGCCGACAGCCGCCGTGGCCGCGACCATGGGCACACCTCGTCGCGGGATACTGCTCGCGACCATGGGCACACCTCGTCGCGTGATGCCCGTGATGCCCGTGATGCCCGTGATGCACGCGATGCACGCGACGAGCGCAGCGCATCCAAGCCCGAGCACACTGACGAGCGCAGCAACCACTCGCGTGGCGATGAGAGCCGCCACGCGCCGTCCGAGCGTTTGGATCGGCGGCGCGACGAGTCGCGGTCGGACCGGTACGAATCCTCGCGCTCGAGCCGCCACGATGACCGCCGCCGCAGCCAGGAACGCAGCAGCCGCCACGACTCGCGCGACCGCCGGGACAGACGGAGCCGTGAACGTGGCTCCAGCCGCCGCGACTCGCGTGACCGTGGGTCCGACCGCAGCCGTGGCTATGGCTCGACGTCGGACCGTGATCGCGGCTACGGCGTCTCGTCGTCTGACCGTGATCGTGGCTATGGTGTCTCGTCCTCGGACCGTGATCGCGGCTACGGCTCGACGTCGGACCGCGATCGTGGCTACGGCGCGTCGGACGACCGCCGTCGCAGCCGTTCGCGCGACCGGCGCTAAGCCAATATGGTATCCAGCAGCTTTCTATATACCCGCAACCCCAATACAGCGTGCGACTACATCAAGAACGTGTCTTCTTCCATCGCTTACGAGAGAAAGGACGTGAGCGCCTCAAAGAAGTCGGGCGCAGGCTCGGCCGCGCAAAACACTTGGCGCTGGTAAAAGTCGGGCAGCGACGAGATCTTGAGGTGCAGGTCGCCCAGTCGCTCGACGAGCGCCGCCTTCTCTTCGGCCACCACTTGCACCGCCTACGCGCATCCTCAGCGTCACTCTCCTCATCGTTGCACACCTTGTCAATGTCGGCCTGCTTGGCGACCGTCCACACCACCTGCTCGAGCGCGAGCGCGACCTGGCCGTTGGTGGCCAGGTCGCCCAGTTGCGTCTCGAGCCGCTCGACGCGCCTCTGGTACCGCTGCAACATTGTCGCCGCGTCAGCGTGTTCGGCGGTCGTGGCGGTCAGCGTCGCTTCCGCGGTTGCTAGCGCGGACGTCACGAGGTCGACCTTGTGCCGTAGCATGTCCTTCTCCTTCTGTAGCACCGAGAGGTCCCGCGAGAGCGACTCGTGCTCGGTCGCCGCGTTCTTGAGCGCCCGCTGGGCCGTGTGCAGCTCGCCGGCCTGCTTGGCCATCTCGGCTATCGCCGCCTCACGCTCACTTGTGCGGCCCTTGCGCTCGTCGCTCAGCTCTTGGCTCAAGGCCTCTCGGATGCTGTCGCGGTCGGCTTGCACTAGACAGCAGCAATCTCAACTGTGCGGTGTGTTGACGAGCCTACCTTGGTCAAGTGCCGACGTGGTCTGCGCCAACTGCGCGCCCAGCTGCGCCAGCTCGACGCTCACTGCCGTGTGCGTCTGCTGCAGCGCATCCAGCTCGACGCGGAGCGCCGCTTCTTTGGCCGACAGCGCTTCGACCTGCGTCTGCGTCGCCTCGAGCGCGCTGCGCAGTTCCACATTGCTCGCGGTCGATGCCTCGAGCTTGTCTTGCACGTTGGCGGCGGCGCTGGTCGCGCGCACGTTGTCAAGCTCCAGCGTGTGCACCTGCGTCTCGAGCTGTCGCTGGGTCGCCTCGAGCGCCTATTTCCATCTCAGGACGAGGTCTGCAGGGTCATCGTACGCGCTCACGGCTCTCGGCGGCGGCGATCGTCGCCTGCAGCGTGGCGGCGTGGGCAGCGTCGTGCCGCACGGCCGCAGCATCGACAAATGACCAGACACCGTCTTTGAGAAAGGCCAGCAGCGCCTTGTTCTTGGCGGCGCCGTCGGCCTGGTCATCGTACGCCGCCAAGAGTGGTGCTAACCGGGACCGCCACGTCGTCGTGGCATCTCCTGCATCGGCGTCGAGCAGGGTGGCGGCGGCAGAGGCCAGGACGCCATCGCAGAGCGCTCGGGATTTTGCCTGCAGCGACGCGATTTGCGCCGTGCGGTCGGCCGTGATTGCTGTCTTGAGGCTCTGAAAGCATCGCTTGCGGGCGTCGCCATCGACCGAGATACGCTTGTAGACAGAGAGCGCCTTCTCCTGGGCCAACTTGAACGTCGACTCGAAGTGTTCTTGACGCAAGCTGTCGCCCAGTGTACTGGCCATGACGCAGTGGTACTCGTCGAGCGCGCGCTGCATGGCCGTCTCGCACGTCGCGTCGCTCACATACTCCCATGCCGCCTTGATGTCGGGCACGGCACCCGAGTTCATCGTGGTGATGTAGGCACGTACGAGGTGGCACAGCTGCGGCCCGTCCACCGCTTGGCCACAAAGTCGTTTGGGCGACGCGAGCGCCAAGAGCCGCGCTCGGATGGCCGCCATTTGCGAGACAAACTCGGGCCGGAGGTCGGCGTTCGTGAGCGTACTCGCGTGCCGGAGCTGGTCTTCGTTCGTCGCCGGCCGCACCAGTGTCATGCTACACCGTACTGCACTGTAAGAATGGAGATGAAGCCAACGACGCACCACTCGCGCTGCGCAAAGAGGGTTCGGATCGAAGCGCGGATGCGGTTGCGCTCGTCCGTGCGGCGCGACGCGCCGTCCCGCGGCTCGAGGGACCTTTCGAGGTACGTCTTGGGCGAGAGCGCGACGCCGTTCTCTTGCATGTCGAGAAGGAAGTCGCGCAAGAGCCAAACAAACGGAGGAAAGTGCTTGGCGAGTTCGGCTTCGGACGGGCCAAAATCATCGTCAGTGTCGTGGAGCATCTTGGAGGCGTCATTGGTCGGATTGTGCGAGATGCACACGTGCTTGGTGAGCTCCGAGACGAGGAAGAGGCTAGAGACAAGGTACGATGCGCGTGCAAGGAGGAGGCGGCGACGCACCGGTCAATCGCGCCTTCGTCAATGACACCCATGGTGTTGAAGACAAAGACAGAGCTCAAGAGGAGTCCGAGCGAGAAAATCTTGGCGTCGTACGACTCGTCATTGTCGGTCGACGCAATGCCCTCCGTGTCCATGAGAAGTACCTTCTCGCCGCGACTGTTGCGGACGTTGGCGTCCCAGATCCAGATGCCACGCGTGCACGACTCGGTCGTAGGGCCCACGACGAACCCGGCCATCTCGCTCGTTTGGCGCATTTGGTTCAAGAAGAAGCTCTTGCCCGTGCTAGCCATGCGTGAGCGGCGGCGACGGGCGGCGGGCGTACCGGTATTGGCCAGCAAGGCACACAACCGCGAGCGGCTCCAGCTGCAGCGACTGCAGCAGCCTACGCAGAGCGCGTCATGCGATAGCCAGTGTTGTGTAGTGGCCTACGCTTCGCCCTCGGGCACGATCTCGAGGCCTTCCGCGCCTTGGCGGATCAAGCACACGGGCTGCATCGTCGAGCGTCGAGCAAGATACACCGTCGACGTCAACCGGATACGGAAGGAGGCAACTCCCTCGTTGCACAAGAGACACGCACGTCGGAAGGTGCAATGTGAACTGGAAACGCGCGCACTTGGCAACGGTATCTTTGGAAACGTTGCCAGTGTTTCGACAAAAGTGCAACATGGGCAAGGACGAGGTGGACGAGAGCGTCTTGGCCGCCAACTTTACGCACGACGTGCAGCAGATTCTCTCGACAATCAAGGAGACAAAGGGCCGCAAGTTTGTCGACTTGGGCGATGACGACGCTTGCCCCGAGGTGGGCTACTACGGTAGCCTCGGGCACAAACTCCAACGTCTTTTGCACGAGATGCAGGCGCAGCTCTCGCTCACGCTCGTCGTGGAGCTTTTCGTGAGCTTTGGCGATATGTTCTTTGCTCTGCAAGAGTACACGGTCGCGACTCTTCTGTATCAACGCGCCAACAGCCTCTACGGCACCAAGACGGCGCCGACCTTGTCAGACCAGCAGCTATACGTGCGTGCCACATATGTTTCAGCACTCTGCGCCGTGCGCCAGCTCAACCAACGCGACCCGCGTGTCAAGTGCCCGTCGACGCTCCGACGGCAATGTGATGCGCTCGGGTCGCTCCAGCATGCGCTCGCTGCCGCGCTCGCGCTCGCCGTCCATCGCGACGTGGTCGCGGACAAAGCGACGCACGCTACGTGCATTGGCCATGTACTCAACGGCACAATCCACATCGTGAGCGTCTGCGCGCCACTGCAAACGCTTGGCTTTGATGCGGACGTGTTGCCGTACCTCAAGTACTGCAGCCTCGCCCTCGACAGCCTCATTCCGCTGGGAACGGTGCGCTTTCTCGCATGGCGCACGTACATTTACATTGCGATTGCGACGGGCTACAACGGTACAGACACTATTGACCATATATGCGATAGCGGTTTGTGTAGCCCTCGCGCTCAAACACCCGAGCAAGCGCGACGCGCTCTGGAAGTCGGCCCTCGCCGCACTGGACCTCGGGCTCAAGCGCGTACACCGGCTCCGGCAAGAAGAAGAGCTCGACTTGCCGCTGCCCGAGGCGACCGACGCTGCATTGAAGGCAGCCGAACGCGACCTCCAAATCGCCAAGTTTCCGATTCTACGGTGCACTAAGGCGCCGAGTGCGCCGCAGCTTCTGGTCAGCGTCGCCAAAGCCGATGTCGAGAGCGCGTTCTCAGACCCCATCGCTCGCGCGCGGGCGATGCTCCAGATCCTCTCGCTCTCGTTGCCGTCGTCTTGGGTCGGTTTTGGCCAGTGGATCAAGCCCACCGAGCCGCCACCGCCCGTCGTTCTTGCGCCAACCGACGTCGAGACGATGCTGCAAGGCCTCAAGGGCCTCGCCGTCACGCTGGCGCTTAACGAGCACATTGACTTGCTCAAGCTCAGTGTGCGCTACAAACACTGGGACACGTTTGCCGACGTCTACAGTAGTCTCCTCCCCCGGCTCTCGCCCGGTGTCGCCACGGACGAGGTCGGCCTCTTCCATGCCTTTGTATCGCTCATGCAAACCGCACCGGACGAAATGTCGGTGACACAATTGAACGGGGAGCTCCTCACGCGCCTCGTGGTCGTCTTGCACGCCGCCGCGCGCAACGACGCGCTGTGCGCACTGCGCCATGACGTGCTCGCCGAGATGGTCTTCGCGCTGTGGCACTCCTGCATCGTCCCGTGCCTCCGAGCGCTCGACGACCGGCTGCCCGACACCGACGTCCCCGTGACGGTCCAAGAGCTCACAAAGGACGTCCTCTTTGCCCTCCACGTGGTCGCCCACGCGATCGAACTCGACGACGTCGTGTGGCGGGCGGTTGTCGCGCTCCGTCTCGGCCGCCTTCTCGCCGACGTCGGCGACACCCGTGTCGGTATCCAAGTGCTTCGCGTCGGCCTCGACGGTATCACGCGCGCCCGGAGCGCCTGCGTCGACGTGCAGCTCCATGACGAAGTGGCGTCGACGCCAGACGGTCGCCACGTGCTCCACGGCGCGGCGTACGGCGCGTCGATCCTTGACGCCGCCTTTCTTCCGTCCACCACTGACGGCGCGCTCTTTCAAATGCAGCGCTTGAACCGGTTGCTCGCGAGTTTGGAAACCGACATGACGCTGCTGCTCTACGAATGCGAGTACGACGACCTTCTCCGCGCGTGCGGGCGCAAGGCATTTGCGCACCTCGAAGCGCGCCTCGTGGCCGAGTGCAATCGAAACGACTACCGACGTGGGCTGCTCATGCTTCAAGCCGCACGACGTCGCGCCAAAGGTACAGATGACCTCCTTCTCTCAGTGCCCAAGATGTCCAATCTAGGTCGTGACGAGCAAGAGTCGTGCTTGGCCGACGCGCTTCGCTGCTTTCACGCGCTCCGCCATGACGAACTGGACGTGCGCCATGCGCCCGAGCCCGAGGCGCCCATGCCAACCTTGCACATGAAGCCGTCGGCGCCCCGCCTCGCCTCGCGGGGCGCCACCTTTGTGTCGCTTCGGCTTGCCCCGTTCGCACCGCTCAAGAAGCACGTCGCATACTTCATGGTGTTTGGCAAAGCGACGGGTGCCGGCACCGACGTCTCGCTCAACAACATGGCGTTTCCCGGCACCGGCGCGGTTGTCGATCCCAGCCAGACACTCGTACAACCATCGGGGCGTCAACCGTTTACTACTAACCGGTTGCCTGTAGGTGACGATCTCGGGGCTCTTGCCCAACGAGAGTTATGTGTTTGCCGTCGCGGCCTACGACAGCTCGAATGCGGTCATCGAAGGCATCGGCGCCACGTCGCGTCCCGTCGTGACGTTGCATCCGCTTCTCCTGCCACTGTGCTATGGACTCTTGGCCCATATCGCCCAAGACCTCGGACACTTGTTTGTTGCATTGTCACTAGCATTCCGACTAAGGTGCTCGTAGACCCATCGCGGTGCAAGCGGCCAAGGCCGTCTACGCCGAGTTTGTCGACGAAGCGCCCGTGCGGAACCGATGGCGCTGCAGCCCGCTCTTCTCCCATGCGCTCAAGCTCGAGCGGCCGCTGGACGGCGCACCCCGGGGCGCGATCGCAGAGTACCCGATGCAAGTGCTGCACGTCTTCTTGCGCTGCGTCTATATCCTCATCGGACCCGAAGTCGGTGAGCCGGCCACCGACGGCCGCCTTCGTAGCCCGAATGGCACCCGCGTCGTTATCGACGATCAGCTCCACGTCCTCAGCAGCATCAACCGGGGTATGCTTGCGCTGGAGGTCGCCGCGCTCACGGGCCACCACGAGTACATGGCGAGCGTGAGCCACCGGCTGTACCGACTCATGGTACCGCTTTTGCACTTGCCGAGCTCGGGCGGTGCGCTCTTCCAGCCCCTCTGCATGCTTCTCGAAGTACGTTGTTCGGCTCATTTCGAAGCGAACCGAGGGTTTTTGTGTGTAGAGCCTGCAGCTCGTGCCGGAAACGCACTGGGACGACGCGCTGTACGCTACGTACATGTGCGCAAGCTTTGAGCTCCTCCGCATTGCGACCGAGAAGGACGAGCTCCAGGCCGCGCACGCGTGTCTGAAGCTTCACGACGATGGCCTCAAGCACCTCAATATGCACGTGCACGCACCGTTCCGGTCGGCCAACGCCCAAGCCTGCGGCCTCCGCGACACCATCTTCTTGGACAGCGAGTGGATGGCGCAGCTCGAGCTGAGCGCGACGACGACGATTTCAGCGCCGGACGTCGACAAAGCGAAGGGCAAAGCGACGCCCCGCGACACTGACACCAAGGGCGAGCTGCCGATCGAAGAGGCGTTGCCGGGTCTGGCCAACGTCGCCAAAGCCACGAACGAGCTGCGAACGTTCTTTGTGCACCACCGAGAGTACCTTCCGTACGTCTGCCGCGTCGTGCGGCTCGGCGTCGACCGCGGCGACAAGGGACTCGACGCGATCTTGCAAAGTGCTGCGTGGTCGTACAAGCTCCTCATCTCGTTCGAGGCCAAACGCACGCTCCAGCAGCTGCACGCCGCCGAGCTCGTGCCCGAGCCACCGACGCAAGCGCCCGTGCCCGACGTGCTGGCCACTGCGCGCGCCGATCCGACGGCGACGACCGTCGAGACGACGCCGCATGACGAGCCAAATGTGCTGCCACCCGACGTGGTCGACACCGACGTGTACCTCTGGAGTGGCCAAGTATTTTTCCTGCGGGGCCTCCTGCACGTATGTCCTCAATGATCGGCGCTCGATACGAACGCACTCATGGTTCGGACTAGGTCACGTCGTCGCACGCCGACGACGCCACGCTCAACCATTTACAAGGGCCCGACCACGACCTCTCGTGGCTGTACCTGACGCCGCTCTCCGCCTCGTTGCCGGCGGCGTACGAAAGCCCAGGCGACCGACTCAAGCACGACGGTGTCCACCGCCTTCTTCTCGAGATGGCGACCGCGACGCAGTTGTTTTACCATGGCCGGGCGTGGCCGAATCTGCTCGAGGCAGTGCGCGCCGTGTGGAACGGTCTCTGGCTCGCGTGGGTCTCGCCGCTCGAGTTTCACGCCAGCGGCTACGACTGGCAGCCGCTCTTTGTGTGCTGCATGCGGGTCTGGGACGTCCTCGAACTCCATAGCTTTGGCATTCTCCATAACGACGTGGACGTACTATGTCGGTCCATGGACGCTGTCGACGACGAGCGCCCGGTCGTCGCCACGTCGTCGCAGCTGGCGGCGGCGGCCGATGCGACGCCCGGTCTCGACCTCGGCTGGCTCACCAAAGTCACACTCTTTACACTCCAAGTACTCTGTCATGGCCGCGAGTGGCAAAAGCTCGTCGTCCTCGGGAAGCGAGCGCACGTGCTCAGTGGCGGCCAAAGCGCCATGTCCGAGCTCCTTCTTCCGTGGGTCGTCTTCGCCCAAATGCAGCGCGTTGCGCTCCAAGACGCCCGCGTTGAACGTGCGACGTCGGACCTCGCGGCGTTCGTCAAGGCGTTTGAGGACAGCCAGGCGAAGAAGAAGAAGAAGCGCAGCCGCCTCGTCGTGCACGAAGTCATTTCCGACGAAGAGCGCGCGTTCCTGGACGCGCGCAGCGTGCACGAAGCCACCGTGAGGGACCTGACGTCGTTTCAAACGCTTCTAAAGGACCATGGGACGCGCCTCCAGGCGTGGCTCGACCTCCTCACGCGCTCGAAAAGCATGTGTCTGCAGGCGCTGGACCGCGCCCAGAAGAACGTCGTCAAGCGCTACGTCCTCCTCGACGAAAGCATCTCGAAACGCGAGATCCTCGGCGCCTTCAAGGCTTGCATTGGCCTCTGTCGCCAGAAGCGCGCCACGCTGCAGCTCACACTGGCGCTCATGGAGCAAGGCGACTACCTCTTTGCCGAAGCCGATGTTGTCGGCGCGATCAAGGCGTGGACGGACGCGATCGACGCCGTTTTTGGGGCGCTGGATGCCCGCGTGCACTGGCGAACGATCCTCGCCAGCACTCGAATGGACCTCAACGGCGACGGCGCCATCATTGCGCTCGTCTGCACGCAGCTCGTCGGCAAGCTGGCGTGGGCGCTCGGCACCGACGACCTCCACGCGCGTCTCGAGTGCGCGCTTCTCGGTAGCGCGGTCGTCACGACGTTCTTTACAGGGTCGCTCCCGCACCCGGATGCGCGCACCCCCGCCGCGTTCGCATCTTACACGGCGAACGACCTGCTGTCGTTTCTGCCCGAGCTGCATCTCAAGCTCGCGCACCCAGCGGCATTGGTGCTTGCGTGCAGCACGTTGCTCGAGACGCTCCTCGCCCATAAACAGTACATTGAGGTGTTCCCGGTGGCGTGCGCGCTGGAAGTCTTGAGTACAAGGTACCTCCGCGACGCCCGCGGTGCTGTCCAGGCCAAGCGCATGAAGGCCGAGGCGTGCATCGGCGCAGGCTACATGAGCGACGCCTGCCGTCTCTTGAGCGACATTTGCCACAAGCCACACGTCGTGTTTGCTTCGTCCAAGAGGCTTGGGGACCCGGACAACGACGCTGTCTTTCGCTGGCTCTGCGACCTCAGTATTGAGAAGCTTCTGAGCGAGCTCCAAGCGCGCATTGGCAGCAGCCGCGTTGCCCACTTGGTGGTGCTCACGCTGCTTCGATGGATGGCGGCGCTCGCGTCGCACGAAGGTGCGTCTCCCCAAGGCACGGCCTTGCGCGCAGCGCTCAACAACTCCACCACCGCCCTCCAGGTACCAACGACCAACATGTGATGCATGAAATGAAAGCATGAGTAGGCAAGTGTCCTCAAGTCGCAAGCGCCCGCGCCGACAGAAGCTCCCGCGAGCGCGCGCAAGGGACCCGAACCCACCGAGCCGGTGGTCCCCGCTGTGCCCGACACGGAGCCGCTGCACCTCTGCGACATCACGAAGGTGGCCTGCGAGTGCGACATCCTCCTCGCGACCATCGCCCTGCAAGACGGGTTCGTCGAAGTAGCTCGCAATGCGCTTGTACGTGGCATGAAGCTCTACAGCGCCACGCCCAAGCTCGAGCGCGACGACGATCGATACTTTGACGGCGCGTCGTCCGAGCTCAACGTGCTCTACTGGCTCGACTGCCGCGTCTTGAGTATGCGCTGCGACATCGCCCAAGGTCACTACGACGACGCGATTGCACTCGCAGAGATTGCGCTCGACGAGGCAGCCACGGCCAACGACCGCGTCTTTGCTCTGCAGCTGCGCGCGCTGCGCATCCAAGCACGGCTGCTGCGCGGTGATCGGACGCTCGCGCTTGCCGACGCGGAGACGTGGGTGGCAGACAACGACGCCGCGCTGCCGAGCCTCACGCACGCCGAAGTGTGCATCATGCTCAGCGTGCATCACCGCACGGACGCCATGTCGAGCAGCAGCGTCGACGAGCACGTAAACGCACTGCGCAGAAGCGTCGCCGTGCTCACTGCGGCCATTGCGACCACCGACGCGCTCTTGACCCACCAAGGTGCGCTCGACGATTGTATCACGTTCGTAGCGTCCGTGTAGGCTGGATGGGGCTGGCGTATACGCCCCACCGCTTGCGGCTGCTCAACTTCTACCACCCGAGTGTGCCCATGTTTGTCGTGCTCAAAGCCCACTTCGTGGCGCGTCAGCTCGACCTTTACCGCGCGTGCCCTGACGACGTAGCGCTCGAGCACCTCTTGCCCGTCATTATGGTATGAATCCTCTGAAAGCAGGCACTGATGTTGCTGGTAGAGCGGTCTCGAGGCGCTCATGCATGTGTGTCACCCGCCGAGCTACCTCAAGCCGCTCCTTCTCTACTTCAAGGGCGCGGTGCTCCGTCGGCTGGCGGCCCCTGGTGCCACCGACGCATTCCTCGAAGCGCTTACGCTGTGGATCAAGGACGGTGGGCACCCGCGGAGTCACATGTACGACGCGTGCATGGAGCTCGTCGTCGTATTTGGCAGCAAGCGCTCGGACGCCGACACGCAGGCCGCGTTCCACTACCTCCAGCTCGCGTGCAAGCTCCAGGACCAGCTTTTTGGCTTGTGGAACTCGAGTCAGCTCAACGCGACGAGTGCCACCGGTCTCGGGACGCTCCCGACCTTTCTGCAGCAAGAGATCCTCGCCAGTGCAAAGTCGACTTCAACGACGAATGGCAGCGCGCCGACGATGGAGCAATTAGGGTACCTAGTCTTGCCCTACTTTGTCTCGTTCAGCCGCGAGCACGACGTGGTGTTTGACGCGAGTCTCAGCGGCCAGCTCCACCGCGCCCACGTCTCGCTGCATAACTTTCTAGCGATCAACCACAGCGGGTACGCCAAGCTCTGTCTATCATCCTTGCCGCCCGTGCCAAAAGACGACCCCGAGATCCCCGGAGGTCTCGTGTGCGTGCAGTGGCTGCAGACGTCGCCGACGACAGGCGACATGTACTATGCGCTCGGCACAGCAACCAGTGCCCACGATTCGCGCTTCGCTGACGCGCCGCTTTTGAGCCGCAAGGTTTGGCCGAGGCGAGGAGTATCAATGTTTCAACCGCATCCCGTAGAGTCACGTGAGCTGGTCGGCCGTGCGGGCGCTCAAGGCCGACATTTCGCGGCTACGCCACGCGCTCCAGGACAAGGAAGACCACATCGAGCACCCGCAAGCTGCGTTGGACGCGGTGCTGGCTCAAATGACGTCGCTTCTGCAGCCTCCGACACGCCTTGCGGACGACGCGGGTTCGAATCTGGGTCGGGACGACGCTGTGCTGCATGCGATCACGTGCTCCCTCGACGACGTCGGTGCCTTGGAGCGCATCTTTTGCACGGCCCGTGGGATCAACCAGCCGCACCCTGCGATTTGCTACTTTTTACGCCACGTTCTCGCCGCGCCGACGCCAAGCGACGACAACATTGGCGACGCGCCGTGAGTCCCAAGGCCACGGCTGCAGTGTCCAGCTTGTACTATCCATGAATAATCCAGCGCTTGTACTATCCATGACTCCAACGATCCATCAAAAATGCAATTCGTTATCCATCTACACGCAGGATACTGCGTCAACGTCTATCGAAACACGGTCGTGTGCTGGAGGCTGCTCAGCAAGAGCACCAAGAGGTCCTACGCACTGCCTTCCGCACCATGGATTCTTCCCATTCCGTCGTCGTACCTGCAACACCTTGTCGGACGGTCCTTGCTTGCGCTTTTCGAAGATGAGCGTCAAGTAGACGCACGCGTCGACGCGAGCGATCGCATAGGTGCTCGCGGGCTTCTTCTCGTGGTGGATCGTACTAGGAAACAGCATTTAGATGACAAACACTGTGTACGATGAGCTTACATGGGCGACGTGTGGGCCGTCTTGGCCTTGGCGTCCCATGGCGGCAGGTCCTGGAGCAGCCCCACAAGGTTTGGAAAATGCCGTGGCACAAAGTGCTCGGGCGGCTCGGCCTTGGGGTAGCAATAGACTAGACAGATATTTCCATTTGCGATAGTTTGTCAAACAGAATGTCTTTGTACCGACGGGGAAGGACGCGACGCCCCACAGCGGCGCGAATTCGCCGTGAATGTCTTCGTCGTACCGCGACACTTTGCCGAAATACGTCTTGTTGGCCGCGCGGATGCGGTTGGCCGACGATTTTTTCGGGCCTGCGATCGTCTGCGACGGACAGAGGTAGCCCTTGGCGTGGAAGGGACCTGGAAGACCCGCCGAGTCGAGCACGAGCAGAAGCTGCGCGCTCTCGCTGTGGTCGCGCAAGACTAGACACACCCAAATTACGACCAAAGGACGGGCTACTTTGCTAAGTACAGTGGCGCGAAAAGAACGTGTCGATGAGCTCCGTGTACGCGAGGCCGACGTGGTTGACGATCGCCTTTGGCACCGGAAGAATGCCCCGCGGCTGCAGTTGTCCGTCCATTTGATCGAGCCACTAGGATCTAACTATCAGAAATGAGATGCCCTCGAGGTCACGACCTTGTAAAAGTAGAGCGTAAACTTGGCCACGAGCGACTGGTAGAACTTCTTGGACCACCGAAAGAGCGGCAGCACAATCGCGTCATCTAGACGCGTCATCATGACAGACCACCGACGACGACGCGTCGGCAGACGCACCAAACGGCGCGGCGTGCTGCGAGTTGGAGCACGAGAGCGAGTGCGCACTCGGCTGCAACACGTTCGACGACGACTCGCCGCGCTTCAACAGCTTTGCGATCGGATGCGGCTTGGTACTACATGGACAATATTGTCAGTTAGTTTCTAGACTTGAATATTGTATACCACAGGTGCGCTTTGCTTTCCAACGACAGACGGCCGGGCGGCGTCGGAAGCACGCGGTCCGAGTTGCGCGACGTGCGCGAAATGCGCAAATCCGACGTCGTACCATCCGGTGACTCGTCGTCGTCATCTTCGGCTTGGTCCAGAAGATCGGCCCACGCGCCAAGCTGTCTAGTTCACCGGCATGAATCCTCGCGCCATCCTCCGACAAGGACGTACTGTTTGAGCTTGTGCAGCGCCATGATCGAGTGGAGGTAGTTGTACTGCGACAGCATCATCTCGCACTTGAGCGCAGCGCGAATCGTCTGCACTTCCATCGTCGCGGCGGTTTGCAGCGCCTACGCCCATGAAACCTCGCGTCGGCAACGGGTGATGTGCTCTAGTGTACGTGGAAGAACGGGTGCTCGAGCGTACGTAGCGCATGTTGGATGTTCTCGAGCGACTGCTCCTTCTACACCACCGCTTCCGTTTCGATGTCGATATGGAGCAAGCTACCCACCTCTTTGTAGTCAAACAAATAGTGAACGTGCGGTTTTTCGCGTGCCAAACCGAGGTAAAACGACACGAGAAGAAGGCGTTGCTACATACGTAAGTCCGTCCGTGCCCAGCTGTGCAGGGAGTACCTCAAAGTATCGGCTGCATTGGTCGAGAAACGTCTTGTACTCGATGATGCGCACCGACGGCGGACCCTCGTAGTACTGATCGAACTCTGAGAGGTTGGACGCGACCGACCCGGCGCTGGACGGGTTGTCGTTGAGGAAGGTCTAGGTGGCGCGAGTATGAGCACGCAAGGATGTGGAGTAGCGTACTTGGTCACTCTGCCATGAAAACCTTAGCGAGTCGTAATAGCCAGAGGGAGCGACTACCGTGGGGGTGCTGCACTTGGCAGCCGCGGCGATCGCGGCGAGCGATGGACCTACTTTGTCCACGTCCGACTCGGACCCGGCCTTGTCGCGCCGGTGGAAATGCAGCAAGTCGGCGCACACGAGGCTTTGCGTCTTGAGCTGGAGGTACAAGCTGCGCAGCGTGTCCTTGTACAGATACTCGGGCTGCAAGTACGTCATCTTGTGGTACGTTGATTCGCAGTCGGCCCACATGTGCAGCAAGCGCGAGAGGTGGCGCCACTCGCGGTTCCCGTCTTGCTCGAGCGGGACGCTGTCTTTCGCCTGCGAAACGCCGTCATTGCACGTGTATGGCCCATGCAGCTAGAGATGGAGCGTACGTTCTTGTAGCGGTGGTTCGCCATCTCGTCCAGGAACGACGGCAAATGCGCCTGGAGGAGCTCGCTCAGCTCATGCTGCGCCTTGGACATGACGACAAAATTATTTGTTCCAACGTTGCGACGCCGATTTTATCCGGAATTCCGACGCCGGTGCGAGTTCCGGATACGAGCCAGGAATTACGCAACCATGGCACGGCCCGGCGCTCTTCACGACCTCCACGATGGGTACGAGCGTGCGCAGCGGTTGGGTAAGTACGCATAGGATGAATGCACCGATTCGCATAAGGATCCCGGCGGTCCTGCCATTTCTTATGACCGAACGTGGCGACCAAAATTAAACGTGGCATCTGCCGTATTTAATCGGCTCGTATCCGGCATTTCGCGCCGAGCCAAGCAAGCGGTCCAAACGAACCGGCGGCCTTTCCCATGTCCTTCCTTACTGCTGCGCTGGTAGACGACCTCGGCGAACATGGGCGAGGCTCATGGCGCTTCCTTCTCTAGGGCGACGACCTGACCCGCCAGATCCACGCGTCCAAGATCTTGGTCGTCGGCGCCGGTGGCATCGGTACGTCGTCGTCACAGGCGTCGTCGTCGGCTCCATTCGCGCTGCGTAGGCTGCGAGCTTCTCAAGAACCTCGTCTTGAGTGGCTTTGTGGACATTACCATCGTGGATCTCGACACGATCGACGTGTCCAACTTGAACCGGCAGTTCCTCTTCCGCTCGCAGCACGTGGGCATGAGCAAGGCGATCGTGGCCCGCGAGGTTGCGCTTCAATGTAATGCGCTCTCGCTCCACCGTCGCCGTCCTAACCGCCTGCTTGTAGTCAATCCGTCGGCGACGATCACGGCGCACCATGAAAACATCAAGACGAGCCGGTACTCGATCGAGTACTTTGAGCAATTTGCGCTCGTGCTCAACGCGCTCGACAACGTCGACGCACGCAAGCACGTCAACCGTCTCTGCCTCGCGGCCAACGTCCCGCTCATCGAAAGCGGCACGACCGGGTACCTCGGCCAAGTCTCGGTCATCAAGAAGGGCGAGACCGAGTGCTACGAGTGCACGGAGAAGGCCACCGCCAAGGTGTACCCGATCTGCACGATCCGCAGCACGCCCGACAAGATGGTGCACTGCATCGTCTGGGCCAAGGAGTGCTACAAGCTGCTCTTTGGGAAGACGCAGGACTCGATGCTCTGGGAGGACCCGGCGAACGACGACAAGTCGGCCTTCATGGACCACGTCCTCGCGCGGGATCTGCCTCCGACGGCGTACGCGAATGGCGTCTTCCGCGGCCTCTTTGAGTTTGAGATTCAAAAGAAGCTCGACATCAAGACGTACAAGACGGCCACGAAGATGCCCCGCACGATCGTCTTGGAGGACCTCTCGCTGCCGCCGTTGCCCGTCGACAAGTGGCACGACCGCATGCTGTGGTCGCTCGACGCCTGCGCGCAGACGTTCCTCGACGCAGTCGCCACGATTCTCTCGTCCAACGACGACGTCGGGAGCCTCGAGTTTGACAAGGACGACGTCCACGCCATGCGCTTTGTTGCGGCGGCCGCCAACCTCCGCGCGCACGTCTTCCAGATCCCGATGGAGTCGCTCTTTGCGTGCAAGGGCATCGCGGGCAACATCATCCCGGCGATCGCGACCACGAATGCGATCGTCGCCGGCCTCCAGGTGCTCGAAGCGTTCAAGATCATTCGGCTCTCGCTCGAGGCGTCGTCGATCACGAGGACGTGCAAGTACACGTACTGCAACCGGTCGTGGGACGGCCGCGGCGTGCTCCTCAACCCCGTCGCGCTCTCGGCGCCGAACCCCAAGTGCTTTGTGTGCTCGCGCCAAGTGCTCGACCTCGCGCTCATGCTCAAGACGACGACGCTCGAGCAGCTCGTCGAGCATGTGCTCAAGAAGCGCATGGGCATGAACGCGCCGACCGTCTCGATTGGCGCCAACACGATTTACGAAGAAGGCGACGACGCCGAGGAGAGTCTCCGCGTGAACTTGCCCAAGCGCCTCGACGAGCTCCCTGGCGGCGGCGTGCACCACGACACGGTGCTCACGGTCGAGGACTTCTCCCAGGACTTCAACAGCTCGCTGTGCATCAAGGACTGGGCGCCGCCCGCCGAGGCGGCGGACGAGCCCTCGACGTTCACTTTTTTGCTCGGCCCCGAGTTTGCCAAGTGGAAGCTCGAGCAGACCAAGCCGGCGACCGACGCCGAGAAGGGTCATGGCGACGACGACGACGACGATGAGATTGTCGTCGATGACCTCCACGAGAAGCGCAAGCCGCCACTGGGGCTGGCGTCGCCGGCGCACAAGCGCACCAAGCACGACGAATGACGGTGATATGACCGAATGACAAGTGCTAGTACATGCATCGCAAGCCCTTGCACACACGTCTTGTCATCTTGAACCATTTCCATCCACTATCATCATCATCGTCCATGGATAAAGAGCCATCTTCCTCCCATCTGTGGCCGGTTGTTGCATGGCCTATGCACGCCCGCCCGTCGCCATGCTAATAGCGGGCGGCGCTTGGTATCGTAGGTCGTCGGCGCTAAGCGCGCTGGGTCGTCGGCGCAGGCGTCAGCGCCATGGAGCTTGGCCGACCTGTCGGGTCGGTCGGTCGGTCGCCGGCGCGTCCTCCATTTTGCGCTTGGTTTTAAATTCACATTAAAGGAATTTAATGTCATTCTAACGATAGGAATACTGAAATGCAGTTTAAAATCTGAGGTTTTAGCGGTTTGTAATAAAATACGCACGCGCCGGCAGCCGCCGTGCCATGTGCGGAACAATTTCTGCGCAAAAAATCGAAGTTGCTGTCCGTACCGTCCATTGCTTCCGTCGACGCGACTGCGCCGACGACCTGGACGACGACAACGACCGACGACATGGCCTCGGGAAGCGACGGGATGCTCACGGAGCGATCCCATCTTCTTTTGCTCCATAGCGACACGACCGGTCCGGCGACGAGCAACGGTGTAGCCAACGACGTCGACATCGACGTGCACGCACCAGCGGCCAAGCTCTACAGCAGCCCACAGCCGGCACAGATTTTGACTCGAGGGCGATCACCGTCCACAGTGTCGAGCCTCGACGAGGGCATTGCAGTGGACGCCAACTCGACGCGGAGCATCGAGCCGGCTACAACGCGTACGTACTGCGATCCCATTGCGCAGTCTCGTGAACGATTGCTAGAAGTCATACCAGAGCGTACACTGTCGCCTCCGCGCCTTGCTGCAAGCGATCCATCGTCTTCGAGCACGCACGTTACAGTCAAGGACGAGCCAGCGACCGTCCCGCCGAGAGCAGCGTCCAGCACAAAGCGCCGCCGAGTCAACCCCAACAACACATCGCCAACGCCGTCGAATGCCATGTCGACGCCGCCATCCGTTGTCGCCCAGCGCAAGAAGATTGCGACCAAGAATCGGTTCTTGAACCTCTTGCAGATCGACATGAAAGAGCCGGCGCCCGAGAAGCCCAAGCCACGCAACCACGTCGCGCACGAAGCCAAGCCTGCGGCCAAAGCACGTACGCACACGGCGCCGCCACGACGTCGCGCGTGCGCCACTAACCCGTCGCCCAAGTCGCGTCGCGCCTCAACCGGCGCCCCACGCGCCAAAGGCAAGCGTAAGCTCTCCTTCGCCGCGCCCTCCAGCAGCAGCAGTGAGGATGACGCAGAGGTACTAAATCTAAACAGCAGCGACGACGACAAGGACGATGATGACACGCATCACGACGACGATGAAGGATCACGTCTCGGCCGGCCAGCCGTGTACCCGTGGCTCGTCCGCCAGGTACCTTGGACCCAACGTATGCAAGTCGACTCTTGCGCATCATAGGAGAAGGGCAAGCCGCCACCCGAAGACTGGATGTGGACCATGTTTGACCGCGATTACTTCCAGCCCATCGATGTCAGCCGCGCGGACGAGCTCGAACGCATGAGCCGCGCAGTCGCCACCATGGGCGACCCGTTCATTCGCGAAGCGCCGCCCGGATGGCTCCCCGAAGCCACCGACGAAGCGCCGTTCGTGCTGCCGCGTCGAGGCCGGTACTACCGCGAAGTGTGGCAAGACCAGGAGTTTGTCGAGGCGGTTGGCGGCGACTTTGTCGCGCTCGACGACAACCACGTGCTCGCCACGAGCTACAACGACGACGTCTTTGAGGCCTACTACTGCAAACTCGAAGCCGCCTTGGGCGACGACGGCTCGTTCCCGATCGACGGCCTCCTCCCGGACCCGACGCCCGCAGAGGCGACCGAGAGTGACGAGATTCATGTCGCGCTACAGCAGTGCGTGGCGGCGTTCGTGCCCCAAGTGCTCTCCAACTGGCACACGCTGCGCCACCTCGCCGGTACGCTCTCCTGCGCTAGCGCCTCTCACGAGGCCTGTAGACCGCGTGCGCGACATGGCCTCGCTCGACGCCCTCTACGAGCAAGAAGCCGCGCTTGTCCAGCGCGTGGAAACCTCGTACAACGCGCTTCGTCGCCGGTCCAAGAAGGCGCCAGGCAAGCGCAGTCTGGTGCAGCGTGCACCGTCTCGGACGCCGGCGCAGACTGCGGCCTGTGCGTTCGCAGCGCAGTTTGCCACGTACGTAACCTTCTTCTCTTCGTAAGTCGCCCACATCATGGCGGCAGGCAACTCGTCGTCGGCGACGGTGTCGACTACTTGGACGCGACCGGTCAGTGGGCAAGCGCTGTGGTCGTCGATGTCTTTCCCGAGGCGGGCGAGCGACTGACGCACGTCAAGGTGCATATGCACAAGTGCAGCCTCGCGTCGCAGACTTGGGTCGCTGTCGCCGGCGGCCGGCTCTTGCCACCCGGCGCGGTCTCGACCCGCGAAGCGCCGCACTTGGCGCTGCAACTGGCCAACGACCAACGCGGTAGCGCAATGCGAGCGACCGCCGTCCTGCCTTGCCCCAGCGCGACCGTCGCGCTCGCTCGGACCCTCGAGACGCTCGTCCCTTCGTCGAAACCGTAGCTTGTCTCGTATTGAAACTAATTATAGTGCACATCAAACTACGTACAAATGGCGTCGACGCGGTGCCCGCGGGAGATGGCGGCGTCGCCGAGTCGCATGCCACTCGTGCAGAAGAAGCGCGTGCACGTGGGCGCGACCAACCTCCTGCGCGCCTCGTCGTCGTCGCCGCAACTGCCGTCGCCCAAGTTGACGGCGCTTTCCGGTGCGATTTACGGCCGCGAGCCGGTGCCGTCGCCACCGACGCCGGTGGCGCGCACCCGGACACCGACGCCACTCGAGCCGCGGCCGCACACGACGGCCACGGGGCGTGAGCCGCCGGTGACGCCAATTTTCGACAAGAGCAACCCGGTCACGCAGGCGCTCTTTGTAAAGAACCGCAACAAGCTCCGCGCCCGCGTCGCGACTCGGTTTGGCTCGATGCGCGCCATGTTCCGCGCGTTCGACGAGTCGGGCTCGGGCAACATTACGTTCGAGCAGTTCCACAAGTCGATTTCGTTTCTTGGTAGTCGCCACTTGATAGATTGATAGCGAGCGGAGGACCTGCGTAGGGCTCGACATGGCCGAAGACGACCAACGGCTCTTATACCGCATGGTGGACACCAACGGCAACAACTTGATCGACTTTGCCGAGTTCTCGGAGATGTTTGAGGCCGAGCCGATGCTCAAGAGCTTTGAGGGCGCGACGGCCGCGCTCAAGACGCGGCCACGTCCTCTGGCGGTGACGCCGCGCACCAAGGCGCGCGTCGCTGCGTTCCAAGCCGAGCTCTCGGAGAAGCTCTTGACCAAGCAAGTGTCGCAGCAAGTCGCGTACGGCAGCAACTCGAGAGGTATACTGCGGAAAGACCAACATATCTCACAGAAGGAGGCTAGTGCTGCTAAATGCGTTCCGCCACATGGACCAAGACGGCGACGGGTCCTTGACGTACGACGAGCTCAAGGCGGCGCTCGGGCGCGACATGCTCGACTTGGACATCGACCCCGTTGAGCTGGATGCGATGATCTCGACGATCGACGCCGACCAGAACGGCTACATTTCCTTCAAGGTACAGCAATGTCGGCTATCGAAGCGCCGCTTGAGGTCGCTGATAGGAATTCATCAGCTACTTTTCGAGTCAACCGGAAGGCGGGGAGCGCGACCTCTTTCTGCACGGCCGCCAGCGCGAGCTCGCGCAGCTCGAAGCACGCGCCAAGACGGTGCCGAGTCCGCGGCCGATCTTCGAAGACCTCGACGGCCCGGCACCCGTCTTGACGCCAATCAAGCTCCCGGACGTCGAGAGTCTTCCGGGCTGTCTTCCCGAGCAGCTGTGCAAGCGCACATCGGCGCTGCTGCTCAGTCCGCCAAAGCCAGATACTCCTGCGGCGACGCTCAACGCCTCAGCCAGCGTGCCCGAAGACCTCGCGACGTACTTTGCAACCCTCGGACCCGTCGTACCCCCCCGGAGTCGGCACCACAAACAAGTCACAGAATGGAGTCGCATCGGCGTCGGTGGACGCTGGCCCGCCAAAGAGTCGCCGGCGTACCTTCCGCCAGAAGATCGCTTCTTGACCACCAACATGGAGCAGTTTAGCCCCGAAAAGAGCGCGCGCGTCGGCCTGCCCGAAGCGGATCTGCAGCGCACAAAGGCGCGTCTCGCCGCGCGGCACGAGCGCACGTACCACAACATGCTTCGGATGCAACACAACGCTGAGTTTCGCACCAAGCACGCGTCGTGGGAGGAGAAGGCGCGGGTGCGTGCCAAGTCCCATCAGCGCCTCGTGTACAGCAGCGGCGTCGTCGAGCGAGATGAGAAGCAGTACGGCCTCTCGACGCGCATGGCCAAGAAGGCCGGCGGCGCGAGCTACCATCGAATGTGGGCCGGCAGCCTCGAGTCGCAGTTCAATACGCAGCCGTGGGGCGTCCTCCCCCCCGAAAAGACCTAGTGCAATGCAATATACTGTACACAGATTGACTGGCGTATCTCGTCCCCCAGAGCGCCACGTCATTCACCTCGCACGGGATTGGTCCACTCACCCCAGCCTCGAAACCAGTCAAAACAGATCCGGATAAACTCGATTATACGGAGGATCCTCGTACCAAGCAAAACTCATCCGAGCAGCAGCAACAGCCATGGCACCACTGAGCAGCGTCGACATCAAGAAGCTCGAGGCCAAGATCAAGGAAGATGCCAAGCACACCAATGGTACGAACGTCATGGCGGTCGACGGCTCATATGCCTGCGCGCGTAGAGCTGACCAAGATCAGCGCATGCCTCAAGAAGGGCGACAAGGTACATGCGATTGCATCTGCCAGCGTCGTTGCTCAGGATGATGAACGTAGGCCGCGGCCCAGACCGCTGTGCAGTCGCTCCGCCGCCTCTTCCTCTACTTTGCCGAGAAGGGCGACCTTCGCAGTACGTCCAACGCATGCGCAACTGGCGCAGCTCACCGTCTGCTAGTTCCGGACTTGAGCAAGACGCAGGACGCCGTCGCCAAGTACCGCAAGTGGCTTTGGGACAACTATGTCGCCTTCCTCGACACGATGGTCGAGTGGCTCGACGACGAAGACGACAACGTGCAGGTATCTCCTCTCTCCTGTGCCAACTGGCGCTCATGCCGGGGCTCAGATCGCCGCTCTCCGAACGCTCATGGACGTCGTGGCACGCGAAAATGTCTTCAAGGGGCTCAAAGAAGAGGGTTTCGGCAACGAAACCTACAGCCGCGTCGTGCGCCAGCTCGTACGACGACGTTGCCAACCCTTTGCTCACGAGAATGTTGTCATTAGCTGCTCTCGGAAGAGTTCAACGGCGAGCTGCTCAGCGTCTTCAAGGGTGAATTCGTCGCTGCGTACATCGACGTGCAGTACTACACGGTTCGTGATTCATGTACCATGACGTGGCGGCTCACGGAGCATGTAGATGAAGACGCTCGCGGTGGTGCTGGACGCTACTACGACCAAGCCGACGTCCGCGCTCGTCCGCAACGCACTGGCGGTCATGGACATGGTGACTGTGCCCGACAGCCGCGACGATATCGCGACGTTCCTCGTGACGCCCAAGATGACGGAACGCGACATCGCCATGGCGGCCAAGGACGCCGAAGACGAGGATGATGAGGATGACGAAGATGACGAGGAGGACGAAGATGAAGACGAAGTGGCTGTGAACGCGAACGGGAAGCGCCCGGCGGCGTCGACGGGCGGTCCGCTCAAGAAGAAGAAGAAGTCCAAGAGCCCGTCGCTCTACAACCCGCGCGAACACGAACGTGCGTTCAGCGCCGCGTGGATTGCGCTGTTGAAGCACCAGCTGCCCGAGGTATTGGCTCTCCTGCTCGCAGTCGCAAGACTCTCAAGACGCGTCTAGGACATGTACAAGACCGTGTTGGCCAAGCTCCCGGACGAGATCATGCCGTACTTGGTGGACCCGATTTTGCTGGCGGACTTTCTCACCGACTCGTACAACGTCGGTGGCATCACGAGTCTTCTCGCCCTCAACTCGCTCTTCCTCCTCATGCAAGAGTTCAACTTTGACTACCCCGACTTCTTCCCCAAGCTCTACGCGCTCATCGGGGACACGTCGCTCCTCCGCTCCAAGTACCGGTGCGTACTCATGTGCTTGGGTCGGCGCAACCAGTTCTGATGTTTCTTGGCAATTAGAAAGCGCTTCTTCAAGCTCCTCACCCTCTTCCTGTCGTCGACGCACTTGCCCGCGTACCTCGTCGCGTCGTTCGCCAAGCGGTGCGTCGACAACGCATTTGTCTCATAGCTCAAACTTTGTGTCTAGGCTCGCGCGCGTGGCGCTCACGGCCGAACCTGGCGCCATCCTCTTCATCGTGCCCATGGTGTACAACCTCGTCGTGCGCCACAAGGAGTGCACGCAGCTGATCCACCGCACGTCCGTCATGACGGTCGCTGAGAAGGCCGCCGAGAAGCGCGCGAACCTCGGCCTCAAGAACGAGGTCGATGCGGCCGCGGCCAAGATCGCTAAGGAAAGCAGCAAGATCACGCTCAAGGGCGGGAAGGACCCGTTCGACGCGACTACCAACGACCCGGCCAAGACGAACGCGCTCCAGAGCTCGCTCTGGGAGATGGTGTCGCTCATGGAGCACTACCACGCCGACGTGCAGGCCAAGGCGAGCATGTTCAAGGAGAAGATCCGGACCGCGATGCTCGACATGACGCCCGAGATGATGGACGTCCAGTACGACGCCCTCGTCGAGTCGGCGCTCAAGCGGCGCGAGAACCAAAAGGTGCCGGTGGCGTACGAGCGCTGCACAGCGGTGTTTGGCGCCGACGACGGCTTTGCCAACGTGTTTGCGCTTTAGATCGATCCACTAATTCTACAACTAACCCTGCTTTGCTTCCTCTACGAAATACTGTTACCAGACAGAGCAAGCAACGACGACTACGTCTGTACAGTACAGTGTAGGATATACAGCTACTTGATGCGATAGAGGATGTGGACACCGCTCTCTGTCTCGACCATTTCGCTCAGCTCGGCCGGCGCCAGCGCAAAGGCCGCGGCTTCAAAGGGCGGCTGCATCTTGCCGCGCCCGAACGGACCCAAGTCCCCTCCGCGCTTGGCGCTGTTGCAATCCGACTCGACTTTGGCGAGCGCCTCAAACTTTTCGCGGACGGCGCCGTCGTCCTGCTTGCCCGCGAGCACGATCTGGTCGCGCAGGCCTTGGAGGCGCTGGATTGCCACGTCCTTGCTGCGCGTGATCGAGTCCTGTCGCCATGACGACGCCCGGCGACTGCCTGAGTGCTTGACGAGGATGTGGAGAACGTGCACCGTCGCATCGTCGTCGACCTTGGACCGCTTCTCATCGCTCTTGGACCGCTTGGACGACGACGACTTGGCCTTCTCGTCGCGTTTCCGCTTCCCGTCCTTACTGCTGCTGATGCTGCTCATCATCTCCGAGTACTTCCACGTCTTCTGGCCCGTCTTCTTGTTGAGGTAGTAGCACTCGCCAGGACGACTCTTGCTCTCGACGCGCGTCCAGCCCGATGGCACGACCCGGTCGGCCTTCTTGCTCGCTGTCTTGGTCTCCGCCATCGTCCCTCCAGTCTTTTTGACGATCAGAAGAATTATTCAAGGACAAACCAGGTAGATTGCCACAAATAAGCCAGTCTACTTTCGGCATATTGCCCTTGATCATGTGGCAGATGCCGCATATACGCCAGATTCTGACGTGGCCGCGTCCCAGCGCAGGCGGACGATCCGACACCTTTTTATCAATGTGTTTCGTGTTAGATCCGACACCTTTGGTAGTGCAGTTGCCAACGTACCAAAGACGACTTGTCGAGTGGATTTGACGATTGGACAACTTGTCATGTACTAGGAGACACTCAATTGGATTCGACTAAGAGTATATTAGATAACGACTAGGCCGATGCCGTCGCGCGGCCGTGGAGCATCAAGATGGCCTTGTCCGTCGTCGAGTAGACGACCATTGGCACCGACGCGTCGCCGAGCTTTTCGGGGGTAAAGACAACGGGGACTTCAACGTACGAGCGCGGGCGCAGCGTGAGGCTCGAGTAGGCACACGAGAACGGGCGACCGAGCGTCTGAACAAACACCGTCATGGGCTCCTTTGCACCGTTGCAGATGCGCACGGGAACGCACTGCGACGTGTGCAGGGCCGCGCTGCCGCAGTCCATGTTTTCGGCCTGAAAAAAGAGACCGCGCTTGGACCGCTTCTTGGTTCGCGTCGACGACGCAACGCTGCTCTGACTCAATTGGCTTGACTTGGGGTACGACGGGGCCTCGTGGGCGAGCGCAGATGCGTCAACGACGACGCTGATCTCGCGCGTGAGGGTGTTGTTCAGCGTAATCGTAAATGAGCCACACCACGTCTTCTTGTTGGGCGGCAGCACCGATGGCGTTGCCGCGTTGCAATGGACCGTTACGGTCGACTTGCTCTTGGGTCGGACGACACCTTGGGTCGGTGCAAGCGAAATGTGCGGATACGGGCACGCAATAGAGAACGGCACGTCCTTGTCGGAAAAGTTGATGACCTCAAACGACTTGGCGTCGTTGGCCGCCAAGAGCCGAAGAAACGTCGGATGCACGTCCACCGTGCTGCCGTTGGCCTCGAGCGCGTCCTCGTCGGCCACCTCTTGCACAATACGCGGCGGCGTCGGCTGGCGCACGGGTGTCGCTGGGTTCTTGACGTGGGCGTCCACAATAATCTCGTACGGTGTCGCGCGCGGGTCGCCGCTCATGCTCCGAAACTGAAAGATGCCCGATACGGCGCCGACGTGCGTTGCCACGAATCTAGGATTTCACCTCAGTGGCAATCGCACAACGAAAGTGTACCGAATGACAAAGTGGTCCGACGCGTGGGGCGGCATCTCGAGCACGGTGGGCACGATACGAAACTGGTTGCAGCCACGGCTCAGCGGGACAATCGACGCGCAGATACGCGCGTAGGTCGCGCTCGTGTTGCGAAACACAAAAGTCTCTGAGATCTCGCCGCCTAATGTGCACAGGAAGCGCTTGCATAGCTTGGGGCGCTACGCACGAAGTGTGGTTTAGATGTGTGTATTGTAGAGCGAGGTACCTCGAGTGCCTTGGTGTATGGTGTCGGTGGAGGACTCATGGGCACCTACGGTAGTTGTGACGACAGACGATAGAAAAGGAAATAGCCACCAACCTCCTTGTATGCAAGTTCGTCCGTTTGCGCGTCGTTTGTGCTAGGATTGTTGTCCGCAGCGTGTGGCTGGATCGAGTAGCGCTCTGACGGCGTCGACGCTTCATGGCGCTGAAGGTCCGTGAACGCCGTTCGCAGGTCGTCACGATGCATCTTGGTCGACGGCGGCTTCTCCAGCTTCGACTTCTCGGGAAACGCGGCGCGGGCGACACTTGTGTCGATTCGCAAGTTTGGCTTTGCGGAGTCTTGCGTCACGCTGCGACTGGTCCGCAGCGTTGAATCGCGCTTGTAGCTTCGCACGGGAGTAGCTGTCGACTGATGGCCGCGAGCTGCGCCCTCAATCGGGCTCTTCGTTGCAAGCAGCGCGTGCATTTGACGCCGGTCAGCTTCCGACATTGCGCGATCTGCCGGATCGACATCGCGGTCATACGGGGGACGCGGTGTGATGGACTCGTCGACCGACATACTACTGGGCTCAAACGGGATTGGGGACAGGCCAAACTCGCGTGTCAGCTTGGAATCGCGCGCCCGCGTCGAGCTTGGCGAAACACCGTCCGGGTTGTTCGTAGTGTCGGCGCACTTGGAAATGACATTATCGGTTCGTGCGGCCGCCTGCATGGCCGAGAACGGCGCGTCACGATGTGCCTGTGTTGTTCGTTCTTGGCGTTGCGACATGTCCAGCGTGCGCTGAACCTTGCCGCCCGCCATAGCTCGGCTCGACTGCATTGAAAGGATCGATGCTCGAGAGCTGCGGCGAGGTGGTGGCAGCACGGGCTGTGTGGGTTCTTGCACCACCGATGTGAGCTCGGCCGTGATGTTGTCAATCGCTTTTCTCTCAAACTGCTGCGACCCGGCGCGCGGACGAGGCGGCTCAGACCAGCGCTGTTTTTGGTAGTCGGCGATCGCCATAGCCTCCGAGACCACAGCTGCCTCGATGGCTTGCTTGGCGTGCGCTCGCAGTCGCATGACCTCGGAGATCGACGCCTGCATGTGTCCTGTTGCTTCGATCATAGCTTGGACCTACAGCAATAATGTCAACGCCTCTGTGTACGGATCGTGGGTTTTAATGGTACAGCAGCAACGGCATCGAGCGACGAGTGGATCACGTGCGACGGGTGAATGGGTTCATGCCACTGAGCAGCTTCGCGCTCATTGGCCGTGAGAGACATGGCTGCTTGTACTGCGTCCGAAACGACCTTGAACGGCTCGTCGTCAATGTTAACGGGCACGCTCGACACATTCGGGCGGTTGGCATAGTTGGCGAGCGAGTTCTACGTTGCCGCTTACTTTTGCTTTGGCGCAAGCAAAAACGGTACCTGTAAGTACGTTGAGATGGAGAGTGGCTACGTAAATCCAAATGAGCACAAAATTGAGGTTGTATTGGCTTCACCCACCTGCTGCGTCTCGATCGGAGGCGTTTGGCGTCGGGGCACGAGATCCTTGACGGGTGTCGACTGCGAGATGGACAAGTCCATAAACGGCGCTGAAAGACCGACCGAAGGCTGGCTCATGTCGGTGCTGGGGGTTGGCGTCCACGAGGACCCGCGATACATGGGCGAAGACACTTGTTGCGGTCGTGGCGTAGAGTGCGTGGGCTACTCCAGAGGTTCGTGTCCGTGGATACCGGTAACGGGCTTTAAAAGTACCTGCACCATGTGCTTGACGCTGGGCATGGTTGGCTGCGTCGAAAACGAGCTTCGCGAGTATGTGGTCTTTGCAGCAACAGGCTTATCGTGCTGCATGACGCTTGACGGCGTCGTAGCCAAAAACACCTGCAACAAAACCACTCAGTGAAGCAGTTTAGACTCTACATCTGCACCTTGTGTGTTGTCGACGTCGGGGGTGCGCTGAAGTCGATGTAGGAGGACGGCACCTCCTTGGTGTGCTGCGGCGCAGTCGTAGTGGCGTCCGGGAGACCAGTCAGCGAGCTTTTTCTCGGAATCGGAGTGTCACCAAACTCGACGTTGCTCAGGTCCCGCGACCGCTCGGCGAAAAAGTCGTCTGGCGACCGAAACCCTGAGCTCGTCCACGTCGTGTTGTCCGATCCAGCCTCTGGTCGCGTCGTCTGCGGCTTCATGAGCGCTTCTTGTCGGTTCAAGAACGTGGCTACACACGACCTGTGGAAAGGGTGATGCGGGATGTCACTTCTACCTGCGTCGACGAAGCTCTCCGTGTCCAGGTTAATCGGGTCCTTGTCAAAGGTGATGTGGTTCGCTTGGATCGCGAGGTTCGTCTGTGGCGCAAAGAGCGACTCGAGCGAGTCCCGCTGCTGCTTGGTTGGTAGCGCCGGTGGGTCCAGTAGCTGCGACGGCTTCGTGGTCACGGGGCTGCCGAGGAGGCTGCTCATAAAGTTCGTATCGTCCATCATGTTCTTGCCATCGGTCGAGGCCATGAAGTCCCGGGACATCTCGCCGAGAAGGTTGGACTGCGAGAGCTCGCCGTCGCTGTCGCTTCCGAAGAACATGTCCGTGTACTTGGAAGTACCGCCATGCTTCGCATGGTCTTCTTCGCCGAGGTCCATGTCCCGTCGACCTGCTTCCGCGCGGGCCTTCTGCTCCTCGTCGTAGCGCTTGAGGTAGTCTTGCATCGTCGGCTCCATCATCACGTCGTCCGTCGATGGCCTCCGCGCTTGGACTCTATAATTAGGCGGTCCCAAGGAATTGGTTGTGTATGGCAAACCACTGGGTGCTTTTATTTTGCGCGGTTGCGAAATTTAATGGCAATCGCCAATTCTTTAGCGCACTGCCACCGCTTCCATACAAAAACCGAGTAATTTGAAATCGCAAGCATCGGGCGTGCAAAATAATATGCTGGATCCCATTCCAAGGGCTTCAAATATTTAAATTTGACGCGTTTTGATTGGCCAAAATGTGACCCGCGCGGTTTCGGACCGCGTCCAGGAGCATCAATCTCGATGCTGACGCAGCGCCGATGGGTTGGGACATGGGCATCGCCACGCTTCCGGAAGCGCGGATGCGACGAGGTAGACAGTCCATGCCCATCTCCGCCCGTGCGTGGGCGTGCACAGAGAAGCGACTTGCAGAGGAATTGCCAAGTAATCACGCATGTCGCCATGTGGCATCAACCTTGGCGCGCTTTTTGCTTTGCAGTCAAGCTTGTAGCGTTGCATCCAGCATTGGTCAATATCTTGCATGTGAACTTCCATGTTAGTACTATGAGCGAACGAATGGCACGCGGATTACCAGCTTGGGTGCCAGGATACTCCTTCAATTTGGACGTTCTGAACTGCGATCACCCAAGCCAACAAAAATTATACCAACATGAAGCAGCGAAGCGTCGCGTTGCCAAATCTCTCCTCTGTCGACCAAAGACAATGTCCTTACCTACGAATAACATGGAAATGGTCTAAACAAGGTTTCGGGTCCACAGGTATTAACTCTCCATTCCGACGTGCTTGAAAAGCAGTGACTGAGGCATGTATTCAGTGATGTATCCGCGTTCATGATGGTGCTATCGAGGTTGAATTCGGCAAGGCCCAATAATGGCATTTGGTTTTTTTAACCATTCGCTGCCATCAAAATGATAGCCACCTTTACTTGTATGGATCCGCTTGCCATGAGGACGTAATAGTTTGACGCACACGCCCATGGATAATAGACGCATTAAACCGGTTTCGGATGGGTTTGACCCATGGGTTTGACCAAGCGAATAACACCATTGGGGTTGACGCACTGGGTTTGACGCACTCACTCGGTTTGACGTTCTAGGTTCAACGCAATGAGTTTAACGCAATGGGTTGAGCTGAGCTATTGTGGGCGAGAATGCAGGCCGCGAGTGATTGTCCTCTTCCCAGTCACTGGCACACTGGCGTGCGCTTCCATTTATAAAAACCCAGCATGGCGACGTACAAGACGACGAGCACGGACGAGACGCCGCAAGCCGTGCCCGTGCAGCCGACGTACCCCGTCGCCTACAACAGCGCGCCGGTGCAGCCATATACATACCCGCCGCAGCAGGGCTACCCAGCGCAGAGCTACTCGCCGCAGCAAGCCCCCATGTACGTTGCGCAACAGTACCCTACGGGCACGGCGGTCTACGGCTCGGGGCCGCTCCCGACGCACCACGGCCCACAGCGCCAGCACGAATGTGGCTTCTTCTCGCTGAGCCAGCTCGTCTCGAACGTCTGCAACACGGCCCTCCTGCTCGTGCTGCAGTTCTTCACGCTGTTTTTCGCCATCTTTGTGTTTATCTTCGTCGCGATGGGCTTCTTCCTCGGCATCGGACTCCTCCCGCTCTGCTGCCTTGGCCTCGTGGTCTTTGGGCTCTTCAACTTTTGCCTCCGCCCCGTGGCGAGCATTGACGACCTTCTCTACCAGCAGCGCCGCCGCATCTACGAACGTCTTCTCGCCGACTAAAAGTAGCTGTCGTCTAGTCACCCCGAGTACTAGTAGCGTGTATTGTTCCGTTGTAAGAACATGCGTGGATGCATTTGAGGTTTTTGCTCTTGTCATTGCGCATGTAGACTGATCCGTCAGACGGACAACACACGTGGTAAGCACGGGACACACCTGCCTACGTTCCAAGCTGTGTTCCAGCGGCTTGCCCAGTAGTCCACAACAACGAGTCAACCATCGGTACAAATCGACTATCCAAACGCGTTGTTCTCGCGAGACGCTTGGATTAAATAAGGTCGTTGGAAGCGCCGCGAATGTAAGCGCTGCCTACTTGGTCTGGGTTGCCTCTAGTAGCGCCAAAATGCGCTCGATTTGGACTTGCTGGACGTGTAGCTGCAGCACCAACCGCTCCTACACGCCCATTTTAACGTAAGGACACGGAACGAGCTATGGCGGTGTGTACTAGTACCTGTGTCTCGGCCATGCGCTCGTAGTGGGTGCTGTTGAGAAGCATGAGGCTTCGTCGCAAGTCGACGACGGAGATAGTGACGGCGACGATGTCAGCGAGCTCTCACTGCGTGGCGGTAGGTCCAGTTCGGAAACTATTCACACTCATAATTATCCTGCCCTCGTCTATCGTAAGACGTACATAGCGGCACGTGCAGCTGCGTGCATGCGTGCTGCAGCCACATTGCGTTGGCGCGCCGCTCCTTGGCGGTTTGGTGCTTGAGCATGACCTCGACAAAGCCGCTGCCGAGGAGGGCACCTACATGATCAATTAACATCGTCTGATTACAAAGGAAATGAGTACCTGGGATCGCAAAGAGGACGATGCCCCAGAGCGCGACGACGGACGCAAAGATGCGGCCGGCAACCGTGATGGGCACCGCATCTCCGTACCCGAGCGACGTGATGGTCTCGACGGCCCACCACGCGCCAACGCCCATGCTGGAAAAGACGTCGGGCTGCGCGTTTTGCTCGAGAAAAAAGCTACGCGTCCTCGTGAGCCATCGACTGGCACCATCAGGTGAGGCATACATGGTGGTGCCGGAGAGAAGGATGACGGCGCCCGTGAGGTATGTGATCACAAAGAGCTCGTGCTACCCACGTACTGTCAGCGTCCTTCATCACGAGCAAAAACGGAGGCTACCCGCTTCTTGCGAAAGATGATCCGAAGACGCTTGACAGCATCGTACGACCGCTCGATGCGAAGAAAGGCGAGGACCCGCAGAAGGCGCAGGCCCTGCACGACCGCCGACGCTTCCGGAAGTCTAGCATGACTTGAGCCCAAGAGTGTATGCGAGTAGTCGTCGTACGCTGAGCTACAGCACGCGATCGCTTCAACCACGTAGGGCACGAGCGCGACAAGATCGATCAACGACATGGGGCGGCGCATCCAGGCCAGGCTACTTCCACATCAGAATTGCATGGGACTTGAGCGTAGGCGTCGTACCGTCCGAGCACTACACTGTGGTCAAACCGAGGGTCCTCGACGCACGACCAGAGACGCAGAAGGTACTCGAGAAGAAAGACGGTAGTGGAAACGACCACCAAGATGCGCGTGACGGCGTCTAGTCCGCCACGCGTGTCAACGATGCATTGGTAAGGGTTGGGTGTACCTGGTGGCGATGAGCTTCCCGAGCCATAGACGGTGACAAGGACGTTGATCACAATCAAATTCAACAAGCCCAGCTCCACGTAGTGAGAGCAGCTCCGGATGAGCGAAACATGCGAAGTCGACGCGCGAAAATGCAATATGTGCCACACAAGCGCGCGCAGCGTCGCGGGCCGTGGACTCACATGCACGTGCAAAGGCAGCAGTGGCGTTGCTTCGAGCATTGCTCTTCTCTGCATCGAGCCAAAACAAAAATGAACCGAGAGGGGGACGTGGATAGGCCACCCACCACGATGGATGACATGGACGGGTGGTATGGATGTATTGGAAGTTGGCAACAGGAGCAAGAACGCTGATTATCGGGTCCAAGGACTCGCAGTTGCAAAACCCCTCGAATGTCTGCCGGCTCGCGCCAGAATCCAAGACCAAATGACATGTGAACGCGACGTTCCGGCCTCATGCATACCGCTCACCTCCAATGCACCTCGTCGCTACACCGCACAGCGACGAGCCACGTCCCACGCTGGATGGTTTCTGAAGCACGATCAAGGCGCATGCAAGCGCAGTATGGGATGGTAAACGATAGAGTGTCTTGTTGGAGGTCATCGCTTGTTGAGTACAGTGATCTGCCGCGACGATAGAAGTCTAGAATTCGAAAGCCGGCGGGGGCGGGGACGGAACCTTTCTAGACGTCCAAGGAACCGCGACACCACGTGGGATCTGTATTTATGGTCAACTCCCACCGCGAGCGTCTACGCTGCATCAACACCGTACGCTGCGGTTGGTCCACTGCCCTTGTGCACCTGGATACAACCTGCATTTCATTGGGCTTGCACATCTTTCTCGCGTTGCAAACACTGTGTTGCGGTCTCTTCGCTGCCCATGAAAATGGTACAGTGACCGCCAATCATCTTGACGTGCAGTGCTTATCAAAACACGCTGCTGCTGGGATGAATTCGAGTGTTGGTCTCGAGAAGTTTCAAGACGCGGTCGAGTTGTTCGCGCTGTAGTTGGATCTGAAGCGACAGCATTTCCTAGTGTCAATATGAGTGCGCCGTTCAGACGGACAATGTTGGCCAATGCCTGGTTTTGAAGCAGCTCGTTGAGCTGTGTTGACGAGACCGTCACGACGTCCGACCCAAACGGCGACAAATGCGGCGACGTCGCCGCATCCGGGGTGCCCAGGGGCATGGACAGTGGTGGTGTCGCCGGCATCGGAGCCTCGGAGATATCCTCGTCGGGGCTGGCTTCCACTGGCTCGGAGAGGACGTTGGACAAGGACGTCACTAGGACATGCAATCAGATCGAGGAGACTTAACTCGTCACAACGTACGAGGCGCCAAGAGCGAGCCCGCGGCGACCGACTGAATGTGGTGGAGCTGCGAAGAGATTTCGTGGATCCACCGGTCTTTCGCGCGCATTTCCTTGGCCGTTTGGTGCTCGAGCATGACCTCAATGAAGCCACTGCCGAGGATCGCGCCTGCGCCAGCGTGTACCGAACGCGTGTCAATGTTAATTCGTCTACCTGGGATTGCAAAGAGGATGATACCCCAGAGCGCGACGACCGACGCGAACGTGCGGCCGGCAACCGTGATGGGCACCGTATCGCCGTACCCGAGCGACGTGATGGTCTCGATCGCCCACCATGCGCCGACACCAATGCTGGAGAAGACGTCGGGCTGCGCGGGAAACTCGAGAAAAAAGCTGTAGCAAAAACAAGGAGTCGATCAGCAATTTCAAGAATAGTTGTCGTACATGATGGTGGCCGAGACGAGGATGACGACCGCTGTGAGGTAGGTGACTACAAAGAATTCTTGCTGCACACGCGTAAGGACTTGGTGATGCAGCATGATCGGCCTACCCGTTTTCGCCGAAAGATGATGCGCAGCCGCTTGATAGCATCGTACGACCGTTCAATGCGCAGGAAGGAAATAACGCGGAGGAGCCGGAGGCCGCGGATGGTCATCGAGCCGCGATACGCCACCGACGTCCTAGCAGCCAATGTGAGAAAAATGTGCCTGCCGTCACCTCAAGACGGACGCGGTCGCCGAGCAGAGCGCAATTTCCAAAAAATAGGGCACGAGCGCGATGAGATCGATGAGGGACATGGGCCGCAGCATCCATTGAAACCTACATCGTCATCCGACTTGGCAAAATGCATGTCAAAGACAGTCAGTGCATACCGGCCAAAGACGACGTGAAACTTGAAGCGCGGGTCTTCGACGCACGACCACCAGCGCAAGAGGTACTCGACAGTAAAGATAGCGGTCGAGACGTACACGATACCTCTGAACCACAAGGGCGTGTGTACTACGGTCTCGTTTGTGATGGCACATTGGAGGCGATGGTTGTGTACCTGGCATGGCCGGGTCCACGAGGCTCGACGAGCTCAGAATCGTCACGACGACGTTGAGCAAGATGAGGTTGAGGAGGAAGAGCTCGACGTAGTACGAGCACTGCTGGATGTACGTCACGTGCTGGATCGACGACCGATAGTGCAGCACATGCCACACGATCGCGCGGTAGCTCACGGGCGGGAGCGGGCCCGGCGTTGGTTTGACGCGGCTAAAGGGCTGCTGCCGGTGGCGGAGGCCGGACCGCGGCGGCGCCGCGCCACGGATGTCGAGGATCCGGGAGGACGGAAGCAGCGGCGAGTCTTCTTGCATGGCGTTTGCCCAACTGCGCTGTTGTAGAGGCGAGGTTGCTGTGCACATCGTACCGCACGGTGGATTGTGATTGGCCACGTTCCAAAAGCGCGCGCTGCGATTGGTCCGCGTCGGTTCAAGATCGCCAACCGGTTCCATGGTTGTTTCCATCGAGTCGAGTAGCTGCAAAGATCGCCGAATTATGTTCCGCCATTGCCATGCTCCAACCCGAAAACGCGCTTCTTCCAGTATCTATGGCTCGAGGGAAGCCGTGCAAAAGTAGCTCGATCGTGGACATCCTCCCTGGCAACGGACCCAAGGTTCGGCAGTTCTCTCGAGTTGACCGTGAGCCAACGTTGGTCGTTGCTATTATGACATCCATGTACCTTGGAACACAGCGCTCTGCCTGTTGAGGCGCGTGATGCGTCATTGAATCGAATCGAGTAAGACCGAGTAAGATCTGTTGTCAAGAGATGATTTTAGGTTCGTTTACTGCTTCCACTCGTGCTTGTTGGAGCTAGACATTTCGAACGGGAAGAGGGGCACACGCGGGTGCATTTGGATGCCGTCGACCGTCGAAAACTTGATGGACGCCTTCTTGAGCGTTTGCTCGAGGGCCAACGTGCCGTCGAGGTCGACGCCGGTCACCGCGAGCCACCCAAAACCGGGGACGACGAGCTCCACTAAGGTCGTGCGCTTCGGTCGCTTGGCGAGCTTGGACTTGGTCTTGACGTCGGTCGTGATGAAATCACTGAGCTTGACGCCACTCTTGTGGGGCAGGAGCGGCCCCGTGAGACTGATCGCATCGAGACCCCGGGGCGGCGAAAGAAGGCCGCCCGCGTGCTTCATGAACGTATCGTCTGCGTGCTCTGTCTTGGAGAGGTGCCCCGGGAGGACACCGTACCACGTGAAGAGAAGCTCGTTCTTGCCTTTGGTCGAGAGCGTGTTCTCGTAGTCCATGCGAAGCATTGCACCAAGGAACAAGCTGCGGCCCGGCGCGACCTTGTAGATGGTGGTCTAAAGCCACAAAAGCTTGCTACGCAATCACAGCAGCAATGGTCGCGTACCGGCAGCTTGTTGCCCGGAATCGCGTTCGTGAGCTCCATGCAGCCAGGCTGCGAGAGAATCTCAACCAGCCGCTGGCGCTTCTTGTCCACGATAAGACCTACACGTCTCTCCATATAGGACTCCAGAGAGATATGTGGTCACGCACCGGGCGTGTCGAGAACGTTGCACGGCTTTTGGCCAATCACGACAGGAATCGGCGACACGGCCAGCGTCGTACCGGGCAGCGCCGACGTCGTCATGTGCTTGGACGGCGCGCCCTTTGAGAGCTGCTTCCGCTGCTTGAGGCTCAGGACTTCTTCGTCCGCATCGATTTCGTCTTCGTTAAACACGAGTTGCTCGGGCGCCTTTTCTTCGAAATCAAAGTCGTCGAGAGAAATGTCCTACAAAACACAATATTGTCTCCAAGTGGCGTGCAAATAGTCTATCGAAACCTCGAGCTCGGGGCGCTGCGTAACCTTGCCGCCAAACTTTTTGCTCTTGGACACATGCGAGATGAGCGCGTTGAGGAACGTGCTCTTGCCCGCGTTGGCCGCACCAATGACGCACACGTCACGGTTTTCGCGGTGTTTCTAGCCAGCACATATGCAGATCGCGGCGTGGTGACGCAGTGTACCTTGATGTCGCCGATGATCTCCTTGATGCCAAGACTCTTGGTGGAGCTGACGAGGCGAATGCCAATGACGTTTTCAATACCGAGATCTCTACAACGCAGATAAGCTAACGAAATGTGCGCCATGATGGACGTACTCGGCAGCCATTTTGATGCGGCGCATGAGCCGACGCGCGCCCGAGTGGGTCGGGATCATGTCGGCCTTGTTCACGACGAGAAGCACAGGCTTCTTCCCGACAACGTGACGGGCGCTACACGACCGCATCGAATGAGGCATGAAGAACTACGGTGCACACGACGTACTTGCCGAGCAACGAGCCGGTAATGTCGAGGATGTCGACGAGCTGGATCATGAGCATGTCGCGCGGCTTGAGCGCCTTCACGCGCTTTTCGTATTCGTCGTACGCCATTTTCGTGTCGGTGATCTTGCCGTAGTTGCGGATCTGGAAGCAGCGCTGGCAGATGAGCTTGGTCGCGATTTCCTGGACATCTTCGATCTTCTCGAGCGCCGCCGTCGAGCAGAACCCGACCTTGGCTTCGTCCTTGAACTGCATTTCGATACCGCAGCCGCTGCAAGTGAGCTCTTCCATGAGGTCGATGTGAGCGAGGAGCTTGCGCGCATGCGCACTCGTCTCGTCCTTGCCTGTCACGGCCGTGCTGAACGCGTGGGCGCTGGTGAAATGCTCCAAGACGCGAGGCAGCGCCATGAGCTTGGGCGAATGGATGAATTGGCGCGACGCAGCCGACAAAAGCGACGTCCACGGACGCGTCGGAATCGCGCGATTCAATCGGCGGAGCATGCTTCGCGTGGAATCGGTATCTTGTGAAACCAGTCAAACCCACTCCAGAATACCACGATGCCATTGGTTAAAATCGTATTGTATTTTAGCCAATGGCATCTTGTTTAATAAGCAATATAAAAAGCAATATATGCTGTCTATTGCTTTCTATGTACAGCATGGCAGAGCTGTCGAAGCGAGGACACGGGCAGCTAAAGTTACACAGACACCACTGGATGTAGTACCTACTATCGATAGTATGTGGCACTATCGCACGGGCCAATCTCGGGCAAGGCTAACCCTCTGAACGCGTCGGCGCCAGCGAAAAGCACGTTCGAACGCCCGACTGGCGCAAACGCTCCAACCAGCGTCTGCCGCTTGCACGTTTATGCCGAATGGACATCAACCAGCCAGACAAGCCTTCTTGCTTGGCTCTACGGTACCAGTACTCGTACAATGTAGTACAAATATTGTATTTTCGAGGAACCCTTTTCTCGACCGCTGCGGCACAAGAACGTCGGCTGCAGCTGCTCCGGCTCGCGTCTACATCGGTGGATCGCTGTTTTGTAGTTGTCCTTTACTAGTATGTGTTGTCCAGACGAATACACGTGGGGCATCAGAGTTGTTGGCGCGAAAAAAGTTGTCTGCAGCCGAAACCAGCTGGTTTTTCAGCACACGACTTCAGAACGCTTTGCGATCTTCCCACAACCAATCCAGGCCTGTGACGTAAATGGGCAACGTCGCGCCCGCACCCGCGCCGCTCATGGCGTTTAGCCTCGAGCCCCTTGACCCGATTCCGATCGTTGATATTCGCTACTGCCGGACGCAGCCGACATCCATCGTGATTCCCAAGCGACTGTACATGACGCACATTGACTGCAGCCTCTGCACGGTGGACGGCGAGCCGCTCTTCCACTGGGACGGTCGCAAGACGGCGCTCATGGACCACGCGACATCGCCGACCGTCGTGGCCCACATGTCGAGGAAGACACACTCGCACATCAACATGCACAAGGTCTTCTTGGAGTCGCGCTTCTTGGCCAAGCACCAGATTATGCGCATTCTTGTCGACTTTCCCGCGCTCTACCACCCGACCATCACGAGTGTCGTCGAGTCCATCGACGGCGACCGGTGCGCTGCGTTAGGAGGTTGCACAGACTGCTCATCATGCTGCGTAGGGTGTCGTTTCACGTGAGCGGCGAATGGAGCGAACGCAGCGCCATCCTGAGCATGTCCCGGTCCCCGTTTGAAACACCGGTCGTCGTCGCGCGCATTCGCAGCCACGGCAGCGCAGCGTCGCCCTTCAGCGAGTATGTGATTGACGTAGTGCCCGGCGTCGACATTGCCGCCGTCGTGCTTGTCTGCATAGCCATCGATCGTATAGCTAGCGTGCTTCGAGGCGTCCTCTATTAGTCCTACTCGCTTCCTATTTATGTCGCATTTCACATCGTCGTCTTGGGACTCGCGCCGTCTTTCTTGTGGCACGCGCGGAAGGCTTCCCACTCCTACCATATTTGTGTCAATGCCTGCAGGCGCACGTCGCAGCAAACCTCGACGCACGCCGAGACGCGGCCTTTGTGCTGCTTCATGCACGCTACGCAGCTTGCATGAGCCTACACCAGCTACTGCTACAAGGACCCACCATCGACCTTCTCGTAGATGGCTTGGCAGCCCGTGGCAGCGACGGCCGACGCATGGTGGGTCGGGTTGCCCGGCTTGCACGTCAGGCACTCGGGTTTCGCTGGCATTCTTTTTGCGGAAATGCCAAAGCGACATCGTGATCCAATTTCAGCGAATCGACAGCGACGTTTACGACAAGAGCCAATCAGAAACGGTATGCATTATGGCAGGGTATTATTCCAGCCAATGCTGCAGCAGATAACAGAAGCGCGGATCTCGACTGCAATCTTCATCAGCTCATCAAGCAACACCCTAGTTTTTTGTTAAATAGTCGATAGGCTTGCTAATATAAAGGATAGACGCTTTGTAGCGAAGTCGGTACATATTAGCAAGTGCGCCATTTGGTGGGCATGGTGGCATGGACAAGCGCCGAAGATATTAGTTCTTGGAGGTATCATGCCGCACAAGAGCGGTTGAAATCGATGCAAGCAGCAGCAGCACCTGCGCCGCGTGGCGCCTTGATCCTGCTCGAGGGCGTGGACCGCTGCGGCAAGTCGACGCAGGCCAAGCTCCTTGCCGAGCATCTCCATGGCGCCCTCCAGAACTTTCCTGATCGGACGACTCCGATCGGCTCGACCATCAATGCGTACCTCTCGAACGCCTGCGAGATGAACGACCGCGCGATCCACTTGCTCTTTAGCGCCAACCGCTGGGAGGCTGCCGATAGACTGCGCGGCCACCTCGCCCAAGGACAGCATGTGATCATGGACCGGTACGCTATGCGGTTACCGAGGTGGGCTACAGCGCGGTACTAGGTATTCCTACAGTGGTGTTGCGTTCACTGCGGCCAAGAACCAGCCGGGCTTGACGCTCGAGTGGTGCATGCAACCCGAAGCTGGCTTGCCCAAACCCGACGTCGTCATCTTCCTCGACATTACGACCGAAGACGCGGCCAAGCGATCTGCGTACGGCGAGGAGCGCTACGAGAAGCGCGAGTTCCAAGACCGCGTGCGCGACAACTTTTTCCGCATCATGGCCACCGAAAAGTGGCACGTCCTTGACGCAACCAAGTCGATCGAAGAGCTCCACGCGACAATCCAGCAAATCGCCGCCGACTGCATCGCCCGGGTTGCGTCGCTGCCCATCCAAGACATTGGCGCATAGACAATCGATGCACCATGTACGCTAATTGCTGCAGCCGCATTAGACAGCACGGGCAGATCAAAGCAAGCAACGACGTCGTTTCTTGATGGCATTCAGCGTTGCACGTGTGGCGTCTTTCGCAGGAAAGGCCTTTTTCGCACGACGTACCAGTGCTCGTCCACCGCCCTATCAACCTCGCGTCGGTAGTACCGTAGTAGCAGTACTAGTAGTTGTTGTATGCAGAAGCTGATTGCTTTCGAGCGTGCCAAGCCACTCGGGGCATCAGCTTGCTGGAAACGAGGTTTGGTGGGAGTGTTGTCCGGAACCATCCGTCCCGGCATCGAATCTCCTCGTGGCACAGCACTCGCTTAGGCCAGTGAGACCCAAGTGCCAACGGCGCCGTAACCAACCTCTATGAGGCATCATGGTCGATCGCTAATCCGCCAACTTCAACCTCCGGCCGCTGGTTATCCGGATGGAAACCTTCCATTTTGTGTGGTCATTTCCAAAAGCCAAACCAAGCCGACAAGGATGTGCTTCAAGGTCAACTGCGCAGTGTGCCAGAAGGCGACGTGGTAATGCGCGACTGCTGCTACAGATCAGCATGTGCTCATGCCATTCGTAGGCAAGGCTGCGGCCAGCACATTGACAGCGCCCTCGCTGGTACGATATGATGCGAAGACCAACGACTCATTGCCGTGTAGGCGTCGCGGACGCGGACCGTTGCCCCGGTTGGCGCACGGGCAAGCACGAAGATGCCACGGCGGCCGCCGCGCCGCCGCAAAAGCAATAGGCGCGAGGGCTACACTAAGAACAGCTCGTTCAACATGTCACGTATACAAGATCTTAGTCGCGCATCCAGCTCGGTGCATCGCTCTCCGGGTGGCTCGCGACTGCATCGGTCATGGGATTTGATGGAGCAGATGTCTTGACGCTGGCGAGGTATTTGCACTGCTCTTGGGCTTGCTTTAGCTGAAAGAGGTGGTCGACGCAGCGCCGCTCGGCAGCCTCGAAAGCCGTCTTTGTCTCCTAATGGCAGCAAAGCATAAGGCCTCGCGTCGAGTGGCGAGCAGATTAGGACCTGCAGAGCAGCCACGGCGTCGACTTTAGCTTTCTCTTCGTGGGCCAACTTGATTGTGAGCTTGTTGATGTGCGCATTCGTCTGCTTGTACTTGGCTTTCCACTCGGCGCATTCTTTCTGAAGCGACACCTCCGTCGATGCCAAGTGCGTCACACGATCGGCCTGCGCTTTCACGGTCGCCGACACCTCGGCCGTCCGAGCATGCTCGTCACGGACCATCTATATAGCCGTTTGAGAAAGGCTCTCGAAAGGATTGGTGACCTTGAGAAGGGCTTGGACTTTTGCGTCTAGCGCAAGCTTCTTCTCGCTCATCGCACGTAAGTCTTCGCGGGCACTGTCTTCGTCGGCGCGTGCCGCCATGAGATCCTATGCAACGTTAGTGTCGCAGGAGCCGCGCGTCGTACGCGTTGCAGCTGATGGTTGGCCGTTCGCGCCAACTCGAGCTGTTCGTCCACGTTGGCTTGGCTTGCCGCCTTGGCTTGCAGCTACTACGAGACGCAGATCAGAATGGGATAGCATGGGGTACCGACCACACGACCTCATTCAGCTCTGCCCGGACCGCTTCCAGCTGCGCGAGGAGCGACGAGCGTTCCGAGTCCCACTGCGATGTTGCTGCGGCGAGTTGGCACTGCAGCGCGCGCTGTTGCTGCATCGCCACCTCGTCTCTCTGAGCCGCGAGGCTTGCATCACGCTCGGCGTGTCGTTGGAGCTCCTGCAGCTCTACTCTACTTGCATACACTGTGGCGATACAGTTTGCATCGCGTGCGCACCTCAGTTGCTGCAGTGCATCCTGCGCCTAATACACGCCTCAGGAGGCATGTCGAGTGCATGGACAGCGCACCATGTTGGCGCTCAACTGACTTCGGTGGAGGTCGTTTTTCAGGCGCGCCGCTTCGTCTGCTGCCGACGCCACGGCGCGGGCAAATGCTTCTTCGACGTCGGCCTTCTCGCGCGCCATGGCGTTCAGAGCCTCGTCAAACGAGGTCTACAAGAGTAACGCAGAGGTCGCTTCGTCGGTGTATCTTGACAGTACTTTTACCTTGGCCCGCTTGAGATGTTCGTTCTTGCGTGTGCACTGTGCAATGCGAACGCTGAGCGTCTCAATCATCTCGTCCTACACCACAGCATTCTTGCGTTCGATCCACTGGTCGAGGCACGGACTTTGACTTTGGCGTCGTTCGCCTGCCACTGTGTGACCAAGCGCGCCGACGACGCATCCTCCTCCTCGAGCCGCGAATCTTCTTGAAGCGAACGGACGTCCTATCGCTACGATTACCACCACGCAGGACGTGCGACGCGTACAGAGATGACGCGGCCAACGCGGAGCAATCGCTGGTTGGAGGTCGTACTAGTCCGTGGCTTGCCTGTCTGCATGCTCTCAGCGGTTTCACGCGTCCATGCATCATCCGGTAGCCCATGAGCGTGTCGAGTGCAAACTGAGACACGGCCTTTCCTCTACATCGTCGCTCGATGGACAAGCTCAGAGCGATGTGACTAGTAGGCTAACTATCTAGTGGGCTGGCGCTCCTTCGCCCAGTGGTCGGTACGAAGGACACTCTTACAAGCAGCACGGTGCGGTTTCTTCCGCAGCGAAGACAAGTTGTGCGTGTCGCGGTGAAAAACTCTTTTCTTCCGCGTGGGAAATGGTGACGCCAGGCCTGTTCCAAATAGATCAAGCGCGGAGCGACACGTTTCTAAAAAGATCAAGCGCGGAGCGACATGTGCGCAAGCTCAGTCCGCTGATTGGGCGTCGTGCGCCAGCCGCAGTGCATCCAGGATCACGTTGCTCACGCCGGCGGAATCGCGCACCTGCGTGTGATCGTCCGCCAGTCCGCCAAGACGACGCCAGTGCCATCGACCGCTGACGAGGAAGCAAGTGCGCGGGCCGGTAGGATATCGAATACGAGTTGCACGTTGCAGTGCCACTTCGAGAAGGCGAGTGGTGTGGCGTGCGCTGGCCGGCGGAGGCTTGTGGCGAGGGCAACATGCATGATCAATCCATAAGACGAAGGCTGGCTGAAGGCGCAAGAGACATGGAGCATGCCATCCATACTGGGCAGGTGCCTGTGCCCATGAGAACCATCCAAAGATGATTACAGCCGTATCGACCCGACCAGCGTCTTTACGCAGCTCCTTACGCCTCCACAATCATCCAACCACATGGTCGATGAAAGGATCGGCACGGCAAGCATGCCCACGTTGACGGGCGACACACACACGCCCTCCCTGTCGTGCGCGTCTCGCTCCAAGCAAATCCCAAAAGCAGTTTCATAAGCGAAGATGCGCAAGAAGAGCGCGCTCCTTGCCAGCCATTTATGGCTGGCAGAGATGATTATGGCGCCCAAATCCGCTGGAGCAAACCTGAGAACAACGCCTGCGTAACGGTAACGACGTGTGCGAATTCCCATTTTTCACATAGAGGGAATCTTCCTGAGAACAAGGCCGGCTGATCTGGAAAGGCAACTGGGAACGAAGGGTGCTCGTCCCACGTTGGATATCTCGAATGTACCTAGGTAGAGTGGCGTACCCAGCACGGCGGTGCTCCCCACAGCATTCTTCTCCTTCCTTCGCTCATGGGCTAGAAGACTTCTTCCTAGGTCGCAAGTTGCTTCAGACCAATGGATACACGCCATGTACCCTACGGTACTTGACGCTTCTCGACGGAGACATTCCTTGTTCTAGCGGCCGGCTATCTCCCACTGTCGCGCACCTGCTGCAGCTGGTCGCGCCGGCATGACTGTCCACCTCTCCGTGATTTGGCCCGTGGATGCTGGGTATGAACTTGGCAACTTCAAGGTTCACTTGGCGCTGGCTCGTTGCCAAAACGTCATTTGATTGGCTTCACTCGTGGGACATGCCTTCTTCCGCCAATCACGGGGCGAATAAAAAGACACGCGTTACGCCAGTGTTTCGAAACACCCATTTGGATGGTCTGGATCTCGGGGAATTGCAGGAGGAATTTTCGTTTTGGAAGAACGAATGTCAATCGCCAATTTGACAGAGGCCGACCACATCCCAGAGCATGGACCGCCACCTTCTGAGCGAGAGCACGCCGTCGCCGCCCCATGCGCCGCGCCTTGCGCCGCCAATGCTGCTGCCTGAGAAGCCGCGCGTGATGCCGTACCGCCAACCCACCGAAGACAAGTGGGTCGAAGCAAGCTCGGACGACGAAGACCAAGGCCAGGCGTCGGACGACGACGAGTACGACAGCCCGCAGCGCGCCAAGCCCACGGTCGCCGCCAGCAACACACCGACGGCGACTGAGACGCCAGGCCACAGCAAGAACCCGATCGAGGCCGACGGCGAGGACAAGGAACGCATGATGTCCAAGACCGTTCCGTTCCTCGAGAAGACGTACATGATGCTCGAGCAGTGCACGCCGAGCGTCGCGTCGTGGGCGCCCGATGGGCTCTCGTTTGTCGTCTACAACGCCGACAAGTTTGCGTCCGAAGTCATCCCGATGTACTTTAAGCACAGCAAGTTCTCGTCTTTTGTGCGCCAGCTCAACTTTTACGGCTTTCGCCGCCTCAAGAGCCGCGGCAAGCCGCACTTTAACGGCGACCAGATGATCTACCACCAGTTCCGCCACCCCAAGTTTGTTCGTGGCCGCCCGGAGCTCTTTCACTCGATCCAGCGCAAGCGCCATGGCCAGAACATGACCATGATTGACCCGCCGGCGCCGCCGACGGGCCATGCGATCCACCCGCACCACCATCCGCACGCGCACAGCGCGCCGCCAACGTACGCGCACCACAGCATGCACCACCCGGTGCACGGCGCGCCGCCAGCGCCGGTCGTCTTGCCGCCCGTGGATCCGTTCTGCAAGGAAGAGACGCTGCAAATGCTCTGCGTAAACGTCCGGCATCTCACGAGCGTCGTCCAGATCATGAGCGAAGAGCTCCGCGAGACGAAATGGACGATCCGGTCGCTTCAAGACACGATTGCGCGCCACGAACATACCATCGCGTCGTACGAGAGCAGCATGAACCCGCCGAGTGCCAACGCTCATATTGTGTACCGGCGATGAATTCACGGTCCTGTAGTTAGTTTAGTGTAGTAGATAAACACCTAAGTTAGATTATTGACTCGACACCACACTTCTTGCACGAGCTTCGTTGACAGTAGCACGCTCCATGGACAGGACATGGGCACGGACGGGCGCATGCTACCGTCCAGCGTGCCACGCATGGTCGTCGCCGATGTAATATGTTCTCTTGGTGGCGACACTTAGCTGTGCATGCCGGTCTAGAGTCCGCTTACCGGTACATGTTGGCAGGATGCAACTGAGGGATATATGCTGCAATGAGGTGTACTCCTAGTATTAAGGCGAGGTGTGTAGCCAGCAGATAGAATCGTAAATCTACCGATAGCATACCCAATATGCGTGTCCGCACAGGCGAAAACGATACCCTATCGACAAGGCATTGGCTCACCCAACGGGGACCTCATCAGATGCCGTCGGCGAGCTGCGCACCCTGTCCAGCCATGTTGAGCGTCTCAGTTGTCCAGCCTACCGCAGGATCATGTCTGGTCCTTGCAGCCGAGATCAACTCCAGTTGCCCCCAGGAGCATGCGTGTCAATGCCCTTGGTGCCTGGTATCGACGCTCGATGGTGTGGCCTCGATGGCGTTTCACGCTGCCACGTGGCCTTATGACCTGTGACATCGAATAGATTTGCGACATACATTCTTACAGGTATAAAACCTGCCAAAAGGCATATTTGCGTCGGAAGCCGCGGGATTCATTTCCACGAGGCACGAGCAATGGCACAGGTCTGGCGCAGCGCGATGGCGCGCCTCCCGCAGAAGCGGCTCCTCCGCGTCGAGGGCGCGGACGTCGTCAAGTTCCTCCAAGGTATCTTCTCCAACGACATGCAATCATTCGCGGTGCGTGGCGACGCGCGCTACGGCGGCTTCCTCAACCACAAGGGCCGGCTCCTTGGCGACGCCGAGATTGTGCAGACCTCGGTACGAGGATGCATGGGGAGGCGTGGGCTTACCTCAACGATGTAGCACGACACTTTCTTTATTGCGTGCGACGAAGCTGTCTCGAACGACATGCTCAAGCACCTCAAGAAGTACAAGCTTCGCTCCAAGGTCAAGTTTGACGCGGTTGAGGACGACTTTACACTGCACGCCATCTTGCCGTCGCTCACGGCCACGGACGACGAGTTCGCGCGCGTCCAGCAGTGGAAGGAGAGTGTAAACCAAGACGTATCCAACGATGCGCTCGCGTATACCGACCCGCGTGGCGACGTCTTTGGTTTGAAGGCGATCCTTCCGGCCGCCACGTCATGTACGGCTCCATGCTCGCCTTGCTCGCGATGCTAATCCTAGTTTGTCTAGTGGCGCTCCCCGAGGGCTTTGCGCAAGACGACGACGCGAGCACGCTGTACCGCGACCGTCGCATCCTCCTCGGCGCGTGCGAAGGGTAGGTTCCGTCACATGCTTCGAGGCGCGATCGTAGTGGTCCTTTAGGTCCGAGCACTTTGACGCGATTCCGCTCGAGCAAAATTTTGACATGCTGCACGGCGTGTCGTTTACCAAGGGGTGCTACGTCGGTCAAGAGCTCACGGCGCGGACGCACTACAAGGGTAGCATCCGCAAGCGCCTCGTGCCCGTGCTCTTCTTGCCTGCTGCGGCGCCCGCGGGCTTCTCGCTCACGGAGGGCATGCACGACGCTTCGTGGATGGCGCAGGTGACGGCGACGATTCCGTCCGGTGTCGACGTCGGCAGCCATATCCTGCGCGCTGACACGGAGGCACGCGTCGGCAAGATCACGACCGTCGCCGCAGGTACGCTGGCCATTGTCGTGGCAATGTACCATCTTCCATGCGGTTAGGCGTCAACGCTGCCGTGGCCATGATGCGCATGGAGCACTTGACTGTGGAGCCGATCGACTTTGTGACCAAAGACGCAGCGTACCACGTGCTGCCGTACGTGCCGTCGTGGTGGCGCCCCTTGGACGCCAGCACAGGCAAGCCCGTCCAAGACTAGAGCCCGGACCACCATCAATAGACAGCTTCTTACTTCTTGCCTGCGGTGTTGGCGTGCTTTTCGGGTCGTTGTGGCTGGGACTGGGATCGGGTCAGCGTGATGCCATTGGTCAATTTTTATTTAAAATCCACATCTTGAATAGCAACCAATGTATACTGAATTGAAATAGAGGTATTCTATTGCACACTGGTGCATTTCGCCGTTCGAGCAGGATGGAGCAAGCACAGAAAGATCGCAAGGCGCTCCAGGAGCACGTCGACCGTTTGGGCGACGGCCTCGTCAAGGTCCGTGCGCGTCTTCATGTGGGAGGCCTCGGCTCATGGCATCTGTAGACGCACATGCTCAAGGCCCTCGTTGAGCTCGATGCCATCCTCGCCAAGGAAGCCACGGGTACGCGATGGCATGGCTTGTGGACGACACGACGCTGTGCGTAGAGGATCCTTGGGTCGTGCGCATTCGCAGCCACGGCCTCGTGGTTAAGCAAGCGAAAGATGCGCTTGGGCTCGTCGTGCACCTTCTCATGCAAGACGCAGGTAGCTTGCGGCCAGGCATGGCAGCATGGAGTGACGCACCGTTTTCTGTAGGTTTTGCGTCTTCGATGCCAGGCACAACGACCACCGACGTTCTGCCCGTGCCGAGCGACTGGGACAAGAACGCTGCCGAAGGAATCTACATCTTCAACTACCACTTCAAGCTGCGCCGCTCGACGCGGCAGTTTGTGCTCAAGGTCCAATCCTCCGTGATTCCTGGTCTTACATTGGCGTCGACATGTAGGCGCTGTACATTGGCAACACGCTCGCAGTGCACATTACGGACGAGAATGACAAGGTGTCTTCGATCGAGCTCAAGTATGCTGAATGCGAAACTTGGGTGGTCGCATCTCGAACCCGTTTTGCGCGTAGTGCCCCGACCTACATCCGGGACCTCACGGCAACCAACGCCAACGCGGCCGACATTGTTCAAAACGTGACGGCCCTCCATCAGCAGTGGACGAGCTTTGTCGACTCCTTCTTGCCCAAGGTATTCTTGCCTGGGACCTCCTCCGTTCCTCACTTGTGATGTAGGATGATGACCTCGGCGACGTGCCGCAAATGCACCGCCCGGCGCCGGCCGCCCCTTCGTCGCTGCTTCAGGAGCCCGGGTACCCTCGGATGCCGTCCGTTGTGCCGTCCGTTGGTCGTGGAGACATCATGCCCGACTTTGACATGGGCGGGCACCGTGACCCTGGCATGCTGGTCGGGCCCAACCACCCGCTCTTTGGCGGGCCACCGGCGTTCCAAGGGTCCGTGCCTGGCGCTCGCTTCGATCCATATGGACCTGTGGGCCCTCGTCCGATGCATCCATTCCCCAACCAGCCCCCTGGTGGTCGGGCGCCGCGCCAGCCTTTCGGAGGGTATAAGAACTACCTGCTCCGTCTTCTTGGCTTGGGAAACTGATGTCTCCAATTTAGACCTGACCCCGACCACCTCCGCATGCCTGGAGGCCGCGATCCGAACGTCGACAACATGTTCTTCTGATCTGCATCATGAAGAGGACGTAGTCCAGAAGTAATTCGTTAACAAAGGAGGGACGGGATGTCGTCGTGTTTTGATTTAGTGGAATACCTTTTCTAGATTGGGTGAGTAAAAGGAGAAAGTGCCGAAAGCTCAGGTAATGAGATTCCACTGAAATTTTCTTCAACGGGTCTACCAACTACGGCAGACCCTGCCGATGTCCCTATTCAGGTTCGTCATTGCTTTCGTTACTCAATTTTAGACTATACTACTCAATAGCGAGGCGATGGATCTCAGCGATCTTGGTGATTGAATGTCGTCATATTTTGGTCAAGAGTAGCAAATATTTTTTAGCATCCTTGATCCTGTCGCTCGCTTCTATTAACTAAACGTGCAAATACAGTCGTTGTTGTTTCCCGTCATACAAATGCCTCGTGTGTATTCGCTCACGTCGGTGATACGACGACAACTCGGTGCCACGCAGAACGCGGAGCACCAAGCGTCGGCGCGTCAATCAGATTCGTCATCTAATGTTGTAATCACTGGGAGTCCTATGCTACGAGATGCAAATTCAAAAGTGAGCAACACGGGCGAGAGGTCCACAACCCAATGGCTCGTAGCAGTCGACTGCTGATTGGGCCGCTCCCGAAACCTGAACGCATTTGATTGGTCGTCATAATATCCTCCAACTGCCGGCGCGACGGTTCGCGCCAAAAATGCCTTTCAAGATGGCACCACCCGACGTTTTCGTTCAGGCCTTCCGTCATGAACAGCTACGGGTAGATTGATGAGCACTGCTCTGAGCAATGCTTGTCACCAGCCATAGTATACCCGATGTACCGCTAGAGTGAATGACCAATCGGTTCCTAGTGGGAGCTAACTATCAGCGATTTGCGTGCTGTCTACTAAGTACCCCATCCTCCTTGCATCAGGTTCTGCGAGCGTTAGTGCACCCGTCTCTCGGCTCACAAGATCGCCCTACACAATGCCAAGGACACGACCAAGGGAGTACAGTGTAATGCATTCCCTTGGACGGTACCATCGGGTAGTGTGCAGGCAGTACGCCTTCTCTGCGTCGTGTTTGCCTGTACAAAAGTTACCCACAAGTTCAATCAAGATGCCTTGTTCATCGACTTGTGGCCAACCGCCGAGAAACCTGGTCATTCAGCCTCAGCCAGCCAACCTCCATCGTCAGTTGTGATTTCAACAGCCCTGTACCAATGCGAGTTGCGGTACACGATGCCAAAGACCCGCGCCAAGACGCTAGCACGCGCGTTTGTGACAACAAAACCAGACGTGAGGAGCGTACCGTCGTCCGAGGCAAAGCGCGGCGCCGGGCATGCTTTCGCCCCTTGTATTTGTGTGATTCTAGCCAACCTGTCATAATTTATTTTACCGCTGCATGAGCTCTACCCTTTTAAAACCGATTTACTGTAGCATATAATATGCATTCTACATCATCCCTACCTAAACCCAAGTGCACTCTCTCTCAGAATAGATAAACCTTCTTTTACGCTATGGGACCGCGATCTCCAATTTGACTGGTGCACAGTCACTGGCAACGTATCGTGATTCCCACAGGTCTCACTTTTGAATTTGCATCTCGTAGGATAGGACTCCCAGTGATTACAACATTAGATGACGAATCTGATTGACGCGCCGACGCTTGGTGCTCCGCGTTCTGCGTGGCACCGAGTTGTCGTCGTATCACCGACGTGAGCGAATACACACGAGGCATTTGTATGACGGGAAACAACAACGACTGTATTTGCACGTTTAGTTAGTAGAAGCGAGCGACAGGATCAAGGATGCTAAAACATATTTGCTACTCTTGACCAAAATATGACGACATTCAATCACCAAGATCGCTGAGATCCATCGCCTCGCTATTGAGTAGTATAGTCTAGATTTGAGTAACGAAAGCAATGACGAACCTGAATAGGGACATCGGCAGGGTCTGCCGTAGTTGGTAGACCCGTTGAAGAAAATTTCAGTGGAATCTCATTACCTGAGCTTTCGGCATTTCAATATATATACATTTATCTCTACAACCAAAGTGTCAAATTCTCATCGATCGTTCCCCTGGTCCCTGAGGCCGTTTCTTTGGGAGAACAACCTCGTGTCTCCGATTCATTGTGTGCTTGGAGTTGTCGACTGTGTACATACCAGTCGGGCCGCAGCAATGTGGTCTCAAGCACCAGCCGTCGGTCGAGTACATCTCTCGATGATTGTAATATAGCAAATTTGGAGTCTATCCCAGTGGTCCTTGGCATCTGTAGCCACTGAATGGACTAACCCTCCTGACCCCCGTAAAGCTCCTAGACGAATGCAGAATCATTGGAGGGCGCGGTGCCAAGGCCATTCGGTCTGGTGCACGTCTCCGTGGTCCCCGACATCTCTAAAATCGAACGCTTCTATCTAGCAGTACTTGCTGGATCCAAAAGTCCTTGTCGTGCGAACCATCGACTCGCTATGGTCCTTGAACAGACCGACTATTGAAACCAGCTACAACAACTTGATCCTTCAGCTGTATCCACCTCTTCTTAGTGTGGTTGCGGTACCGTTTGTGGCTCATACATCCCCGCAGCACTCATTAACACGACATAATTTAACATACTCTACCGTATAAACTCTTGGCAGTTTTGACCGCATTGCTACACAGACCTGCGCACGCCATCTCGAGTACTAGTATTATAAGACGGTGCAGATCTGGTTGATGCTGGTAACGGTTGGGGCGCTGGGCAAAGACAGGGCACGGCGAGGCGTGCCGTTTGCTACGTCGATACATTCCTGCGCTCAAAGGCAACATTGGAAGGTTGGCGGTGGTGTACGCTGCGTCTAGATCGGGCGAGCAGCCAAATCGGCCGCAGTGGAACCTTTGCGGGATCTCTGTGCAACCTGGTCCAGAGACCGTCACTGCTTGGTGCAACCAAGCTTGGACTCGGGCGGTGGGGCTTTGAGACTCTCGAATATGGTCAACCCAACAATATGTAAAATCACGAGTTGCATGAACATTGGCATCTCAAGATATTGCGATCGGGTCGCGTTCGACTTGAGCCAAGATCGCCGCAACTTGCGTGGCGACGTCGGCGGCCGACGGGCGCTCCTCCGGGTCCGTTGCCCACATCGTTTGCACGAGGTTTTGCATTGCGGGGGGGTATGGAGATAGCACCGCCACCTCCGGGCGAAGTCCCTCGGGCACGTTGGCGTAGACTTCGTCGCGGCTCCACGCCTTGTAGGGCGCTTCCCGAGCGACGAGCGACCAGAAAACGAGTGCGAGGCTGTACACGTCGACCTTGGCGTTGAGCGGTTGCAAGAGGTACTCTTCCGGTGCGCGGTAGACGCCTTTCGCAATCGGGATGTGAAACTCGCATATCTCGTTGGACGACGACGACGAGTTGCGGCCGTTGTACCGGAGCCGATTAAAGTCGTTGAGCACGAGGCGATGCGACGCTTCCTCGTACAAAAACTGGCGCGGCTGGAGGTCGACGTGAACCGCGCCGGCCGCATGGAGCTCTGCCACGCCCATCGCAGCATCGCGCGCCAGCGACAGCGTCTCGGCCATCGACCACGCAGGCGTCGTCGGGTCGTGCAGCACTTCGTCCAAGTTGCGCGGAAAGTACTCGACGACAATCGTCGTGTTGCACCAGCCGACGAGGTGCGCAATGTGGGGCGCATCGCGGAGCTGGTAGAGCACGGCGGCCTCTTCCACGTGGCGCTCGAGGATACCGCTTCGCCATGCGAGGTTCTGGTGCACAACCTTGACGGCCACGGGCTTGCCTACGCATTGCCGTCATCAGAGGCATTTCTCGACGCCGTACCGTACCTTGCCACGTGGCCTTGAGGACGCTGCGCCAAAAGCCCTTCCCGAGGACCTCGTGCGTCTCGAGCTCGTGCATGTTGCCACAATGCAGCGGCAGATCGAACGGATCAAAGGCCGCGACCGTCGAGGCAAAGTTGCAGCCAGCCTATACACAATCCAGTACGTACTTGTGAACGCATATGGAGAAGGCTACCGTAGCAACCGACGTGTACCGGGCCGGCGCCAGGAGCCGACCGACGTACGCCCGTGTCGCGTCAGCAATGTGGCGATGTGGGCGGCGGAGGAAGTGGGTGGTGATAGCACCATGCTCGGGCACGAGCGACGTGTGCAGGAGCACGAGCGTCCCGAGCGAGAGCGTGCAGAGCGCGACGAGCACCTTGATGGTTGGTCGCATTCTCCGGCTGCTGCAAGTTGGACTTTATCATGGCGGAAAAATCGAAGCCTGGACATTCGAAATTCGGACGCGGCGCCCACGAGTCGCAGCAACATGCTCCGCCCAGTGCTCCATCGTATCGCCGTACGCAGCATAGTGGATGTGGGTACACGCAAGGCAATCAGCTCTTATACTTATTCAGCGGCCAAGAGCCTCTTATTTACAATTTGCATATGGGCACAGCAGAGGTCGCGCGATTAGACCATGGGCGACGCAGGAAGGAGGCCGTCGGCCGCGTCGACGTACGTGACGGAGGTGACGTAGAACCAGCGCCAGAAGATGCGCCAGACCGCGACGAGCGAGACAATGGTCGAGCTGCCAAAGAGAAGGATGACGGGGATGACATTGGCTGCCGGTGCGTGCTGGGCCTCTTGCAGTAGCCGTACGAGAAGGCTTGCCACAAGCACGAGCGCGCCAATGAGGAAAAGAACTACGAAAAGATACCCAAGGGAGGCCCAGCTGCAGCCATGCCGGTGGTCCCAACGGACGCGCCGCCGGAGCACAACGCGGTACGTAACCTTGCAGAGCTCGCAGGCCAGTGCTTGGTCGATAGGAATGTGGCGCGACTTGATCCACTGGCGCAGACCTAGCCAGGATCGCATGCTTGGTCCTAGAAGAAGCAATGTGGTTCTACATTGAGCGTGGATCTTGCCGACAGAGCCCGTGCAGGCGCAGGCGGAGAGGAGCGGGTCCGTGGCTCCTAGTGTAGCAGGGTCATGAAGGCTCGCAAGGAGCCACATATGTACTGGACTCGTGACTGCGGCAGATGCGGCAGTACTGAGGACTGCCCAAAAGCGGTACCTTGTCCCCGCCCGAGAAGTCCAACTCCATCATGAGCAGGTTGCCCTTTGAGTTCGCCCTTTCGCAACCCAACACCGAATTGGAGTGCGCTTTCCGCGCAATATCAATATATTTAGTTAGTCGATGCGTTGGGACCTCATGAGCATTTGCCATAACGTTAGTAGGGTTTGCGGCAAGCCCACAGACAACGGAGAGCAGAGACCAGCAAAGCCATCAAAATGAACGCCCAGAGTACCAAATAGTTTTGCTTGCCTCAAGCACCATGAGCGTATATTGTACTTAGTACAAACTCTCTCGGTTTAGTCGAAATAGTGCCAAGCACACCATATTTGTTATAACACCAATATAAACATCACGTCGTGTCACAGTGGGATTTACCGACGAGCTGCCGCGCGTCCAACGAGTAGCATGATCAACCCCCTGCGCTTCTGCTCGTTCACATGCGTCTCCATCTTCCTCTTCGTAAGATGATGCTTCTCTTCCTCCATGAACATCGCTCCTCATGCGCACGCTCCAGGGGCTCTACTTTAGCTTCACGACGTACCAGGTACTGCATGCATGCGATCCTCCCGCCCCCCCATCATGCTGCCGACGTAGATCTATGGCATCATGTTCCCCGTCTTCCTTCTGGCCGAGAATGATCCGTACTTGGGTCCGCTCTGGACGGTAGGCCAGCAGGCTCGCATCGCACATGGCTGAGCGTCCTGCATCTAGGAAGGCCAGCTCCTCGACGGTCAATGCTACATCTCGAGCCGCCCCGACTGGGTACGTCACGAGGCCACGAATTAGAATCATGCTAACACATCTGCGTAGAGCAACTCGGACTTTACGAGCTCGCGCGCCTTCTTCGTCGGCGACTTCCAGGACCTCTCGTTCGACTGGCAGGACAACGAGCGCACGGTGGACCTCAACGTCTCGATGCGGCCGTCGTCCGATGGCAACGGCTCCAAGTCGCTCACGCAGTCGATTTGGAAGCTCATTCGCAACAATGGTAAGCGTTTGACTTTGCTCCCGCGAGGCTGACACCGGGCGTCGTAGGCACCGTGTACCTCCACGTGCACCTGACGCAAAAGGGTGCGTCGCCCGACCCGCGCCAGCACAACTACCACAAACTTCGCACGCTCCATCAAGTGACGCCATTGACCAAGGTCCTCGTATCTTCTCCATCGGTCATTCTCTTGTGCTTACGATGCTGCTCTAGTACGCCGATCGTCGCAACCTCAAGAACGCAACGCGGCTTCTCGGAGAGCACTTTGGCGCTCCGTCATCCAGTACGCCACGCTTCCGTGTTTCGCCTGTTGAGTATCGTGTACCTGTAGCGGCCACGGATGCGTCGGAGCCGATGCATCTTCCAGGCGAGCCGACAGGGGACGACCCTGCACTGACCGAGTCGATCGTGTCGTACTGGAAGCCGGTACGAGCATGCGCACTTTCTTTCGTTTATTGGCTGCTTTAGCACATGGCGATTCGACTCGTGACGTCCTTCAAGCACTATCCGCTCACTGACGTAGTTTGAGGCTATTGATCGCGGGTCTGACGGTGACGTTCTAGATCCCGCCGCTCGTGTACCACAACCTTCGCATGGAGAACGTCGACGGGCAGTGGAAGGTGCGTCGCATTGCTCGCGCTTCTTGCAGAGGCTGAAAAGGTTCTTTTGGACTAGTACTTGCCCGTCATGTTTGTGGACGAGATGGGCCTCACGTCCGAGAAGCTCTTGCCGCTCAACCGCTCCGTGACGGAGCTCCCGCTCAAGCTCTCGTATGCGCCCATGTCGTATGCGCGGTACGATTACCTGCTTTGCACTGTGGGTCGCAAACGCATGCTGGAAGGTGGCAAATGATGCTCACGTTTGGCTCGGCGCTCAGCCAGCAAAAAGACCTCGGGTTTGGCGAGGACGACCTCGACCAAATGCGATCGCTCGTACAATGTTCCTGTGGAGTCGATGGTTTCACAAAGATGGCGACTAGATTGCTGATACGAACCCATACCTGCTCGCAGTCACCATGACCGTGTCGCTGTTGCACATGCTCTTCGACTGGCTTGCGTTCAAGAGCGATATTTCGTTCTGGCAAGAGAACCAGAGTCTGGTTGGCATCTCGGTGCGTTCCATGGTCATTTCGTTCGTGTCTCAGATCATTGTACGTATACTCCTGGCATTGGCTGGCGATGACGATTGTCCTTGCAGATCTTCTTGTACCTTCTGGAGCAAGAGACGACGCTTTTGATCTTGGTGCCAAGCGGCATCAGTATCGTGATCCAGATTTGGAAGCTTTACCGCGCGACGATGCCCCGTCTCTCGTGGGCCAGCCGATCGATTGAGTTGACGCGGTCTGCGCCCGAGTCGTCGCAGGTACGCCGTGCTGCCTCGTTTGCATGCAAGCACGATGCGCGTCTTGCTAGACGGACGCGATTGACGTCATGGCCATGCGATACATGAGCTACGCGCTCTGCCCGCTCCTCCTTGGCTACGCGGTTTACTCGCTGCTCTACAAAGGTACCCTACAGGACTGACGAGAAAGCTCACAGTCCTCGTATTGACATAGACCATACGAGCTGGTACTCGTGGCTCCTTGGCAGTTTGACTGGCACCGTGTACACGTTTGGTACGTTTGCATCCCTATTCAGATGGGGTCGTGACGCGACCGCGTAGGCTTCATTATGATGACGCCGCAGCTCTTCATCAACTACAAGCTCCAGTCGGTCGCGCACCTACCGTGGCGCTTCCTCATCTACCGGTAAATCATCGCCAAACGTTTTTACGCTCAAGCACGCTTTGTCCATAGGGCACTCAACACGTTCATCGATGACCTGTTTGCGTTTATTATCACGATGCCCACGATGCACCGCATCAGGTAGACGTCGCCATTCTCGTTCACGCACTGGACGTTGTGTAGCTGCTTCCGCGACGACGTCGTCTTCTTCATCTACCTCTACCAGCGCTGGATCTACCCCGTGGACACGGGTCGCCGTCACGAAGATATGGACGAAGGTGCTGCGGGTACGCCCTTTTGCACGTTAGTTGCAGGCTGAAGAAACTACTGATAGGCGCTACGACGGAGGGCACGGCCGACTCGGCGCGCCTCAAGCAAGATTAAGCCACCAATGATCTGGAAGCGCTGTTTGTGCTTATGACGTCTCGACGCGATCTTGGGCCTTGCTCACGAGGTCCTGCCAGTTGGCTTTGTACAAGACGAGCGTGCCCATGGCGCCCGCAAAGCAAATGCCCGTGGCCATGCCCACCCATAGCCCAACGAGGTTCCACTCGCAGTAGAGATCGAGAAAGATGCCAAACGGGAGGCCTATGACGGCGTACGCGACGCAGTTGAGGCCCGCGCCCGTCATCTGGAGCCCACACCCGCGCAGGACACCCTGAATCGTCGTGTTCCACGCGTCGGCGAGCTGGTACATGGCGATGGCCCCCGCAACCTTGGCCACGAGCCTACGCATCAGGTGAGTACGATGAAGCGCATGGTTCCACACTTACGCTGCAATGTCGGGGTCGGACGTGAAGAAGGAGGCGAGGTGCGGGCGCAGCACCAAGAGACTCGTGGCCACGACAATCGCAGCGCAGGCGGCGACGCCGAGGGCGCAGACGACCGCCACGTGCGCCCGCCGGAGATCGTGGCCGCCGAGCGCGTTCCCAACGCGGACGTTGGCAGCCGTCGAGATGCCAAAGTAGAGCATGTACGTGCAGCTCGTGAGGTTGACGAGGATGGCGTTGGTGCCAATGGCGACGGCGGCGTTGGCTTGGACACCGGCAATGAGCACGAGCAGCTCAAAGCTCCACCACTCGAAGAGCACCATGAGGAGCCCGGACGCGCCGAGAGCGACAAACTTGGGCACTTGGGACGCCGCTTTGCGTAGCTGCCAGCCTACACCCATGCATTACTCTCCGCATTAAGTAGGTGCAGAGAATGGACCTGGCCAGCACGACGACCACACGGAAGGATCCATGCGGATGTACAAGAGCAGCGTCGCGGGCAAACATGCGTTGGCGATGCTCCGGGCGACAGCAGCGCCGAGGTACCCGAGCGATGTGTGGTACACCAAGACGTAGCCAAGACCAATGTTGAGGAGGTTGGCCGCGATCGCACAGTAGAGCATCGGGAGGACAATGTTTTGGGCTTGCAGCACCTACGCAGGACCATCATACATGCAGGATCTCATGATGTCGGACGAACCTTCTTGAGGAGCTCGTAGAGGAAGAGGAAAGGCAAGCCGAGCAGCATGATTTGCGTAAACTCGCCGGCGTCGGCCGCAATGTCTTGGGGCTGGCGCCACCAGACAAGCATGGCCGCGCAGTTCCAGTTGAGGAGCGCGATGGGCACCATGGCGGCGCTAGTGCATGCACTTGGTTCGTTGAAGATGAAGGAAGATGGACGTACCCGAGTACGAGGACGCCGGTCTGGAAGAAGACGCCGATCTCATGCAGCTTGTGGGCGCCAAAGGCCTGCGAGCAGAGCGTGTCCATGGCGGACGCGAGCCCGAGGCCGATCGTGAGCCCCGTGAGGTTAAGGTACATGATGGCCATCGCCGCTGCGTCGAGGAGGAGCTTGTCCTTGGACGCGTCGATCGGGTCGTGGTAGTGGCCCACAAGCAGCAGCGTCGCAATGCCGGGTGCATACTCGAGGAAGAACGTCAACGTCTAATGCGAAGCATGTCTTCCTCCACGCAAGCATGCATGGCGTACCACGGGGTACATGAGCGTGAGGAGCTGCGCAAGCTCGTCGCGGAGGACCGAGGTCGACGCCTTCTCGAGGCTGTCAGGGCCCAGCAGCGGCGACGCTTCCGTCACGCCCATCGTATGCGAATGACGTGAACATGATGTGGCTAAAATCACGCAGCACATGGGTGCGTACCCACCAAGGCGAGAAAGGCATGGTTACTTGCCGCTGCTCGTGGCGTGGGCGCCAACCACTGACGCGCGCAGCAGGAATTGCTCCGTGCACTGCCCAGCGAGACCGAGCTCGTCGCAGGCCGCGTGCCACCACCACTGGCGACGAGTTGCGTGCTTATAGCTCATGCGTCGAGAGTCTCAGCCACGGACCGTGGCTGAGACTCTCGATGGGACCTATTTGCTGGGATATCCTGACAGAACTGGGTGGCACTGCGAGCGCTGATCATCCGACCGGCGGCGCCTAAGGCTACACCGCGTGGACATGCGTCAGTTTGGGCACCTGCCGCGCAACGCCGCTGTCTGTAGTCTCCGTGAACGATCCAGCGAGCAATCAGAACTTGTTAATGCGGAGCCTCGTCGTACCTCGTAACAGTATCAATCGAATATCAATCGACTATCGATGTTTCGGCACACGGCCAGACATCGTCAGACCATTTTACGTTTACTTTTTAAATGTCAAGTGCGGACGACTCGATCCCATCGGCAATCGGTACCGGTACACTGCCACAGAGTATGGAGGTCGAGCGGAGTATACACTTGGTGCTCTCTTGTTCTATGGTCTCAGACGTCGTGGACAGGTCGGCCCAATCACCACCATGTCGACCATTCGCCTGGGGTTACGAGGATGATGGATCGCAGCCGTGAGGGCGTCCCTATCCGCCTCCGTGTCTTGTCCTTTCGAAAGCAACGGCGAGCATCAAGCAAGTTGCCTCGTTCTTTTTTACTACATGATCGGGTCGACTACTGACTCCGCTCCAGTGACCGCGCCAGGTGGGCCAGCGCCCGGGACATGGCTTCGCGCTCGCTAGTCCGGAACGACTTGGTGCCGAGGTTTGAGAGCGCGCGCATGTCCGTGTCTTTGCTATCGGGCTCGAGCTCGATGAACGCAGCCTCCGGGTAGAGCGCCCTGTCGATCAGAATGACGACACGGACAAAGCGAGACACCGTACCGAATCTCGGCCTCGACTTCCTGCACCTCCTTTTCGACGAGGCGCGTGACGTCTTCGGCATACCACGCGAGCAGGAGCGGCAAGTCTGCCTTGAGGTCCTTGGCCTCGAGGAACACGGGCTTGTAGCTACGCGCTTCGTATCACACCGCTCGGTGTGCTCGATACGTACATTTCAAGCAGCTGCGCCGCCATGTACGTGCCATCAAAGTCGACTTCCGCCTAGTACATCTCCCTCAGCGACCAAACCGAAGATAGATATATGGATGTACCTTGAAGCTAAACGTGGACGGACCGACCCACTGCGACTGCACTGCGTACACATTGTCGATGGACGGCCGCGAGAGCAGAAGCGCTTTGATGCCTTGCTCGATCTCTACGCAGCGGAATCAGCCTCACGTCGCAATACCTATGATGACCGCAAGCAACGTACCCGCATCGACGGACTGGCCGAGAAGGAAGCGCTGGTTCATGCGGATGAGCGAGACGGCGACACCGCCAAGAAGACAGCCAATACCAATACTTGCGGCGCTGTCCCAGAACGGGTTGCCCGTGACGTAGCTGGCACCGATGCCGCCAAGAGCAATCACAACACCCGTGCACGCAGCGAGGTCTTCGAGAAGCACAGCCATCATGAAGGGGTCCTTGATCGTCTTGACGTGCTCGTAGAGCGAGACGTCTTTGGGCTTGGTCGCGCGCAGCTCCCGAACGGCGCGCGAGAGCACGTACCCGTCGATGCCAAACGACGCAGCGAGGACTGCCCACACCTCCCACGTCAAGACGAGCTCGTCGGGCGTTGGTGGGTTCACAAGACATTGGATGCCTATCGCGTCATCATGTCAGGTGGTGCCAAACTCGAGCGATGACGCACCGTGGCTCACGGTGGCGCCGGCGCCGAGCCAGAAGATCCCGAGAGCTGAAATGAGCGACCAAAAGTACGCAGCGCGGCCGTAGCCGTACTGGTGCTTCTTATCCGGCTGGAAGGAGGCTTGGCGCAGGCCAAGAATGAGGAGGCCCTGGTTGCCCGTGTCGACGAGCGAGTGGATCGACTCAGACAGAAGCGCGCTCGAGCCTGTCTTGAGGTACGCAAGGAACTTGAGCACGGTAATGGCGGTGTTGCCGACCATGGCGCGAATGACCATGTCCTGCGACGTGTGTTTGAACTGCTTTCCGGGGTAATACGCTTTGTTGACGTCTTCGAGCGCGCGAAGGCGCCCGCCTGTGAGTACGTCGACGAGGCCATTGCTGTCGGTGGCTTCCGGATGCTCCTTGAAGTACTTGGACTGGGCGAGGACCTTTTGCATGAGCGTCTCGACTTCCTTCTGCTCGAGGTCCTCTTCGTCTGTGGACGCATCCGGGTTGCTCGGCACGCCAGGGCCATTGGCATTCCATCGGACGAACGGCAGCGGCTGGAAGCGCCGAAGTCGATGGGGCTCCGTCCGCAGCAGCACCTGCCGGCCGAGGCCAAGCGCAGTCGGGAGTCCGCGCCGCCACATGCCTGCCACTGCTCTTGACGTTCACTGTGATTGCGTGCGTCGTGCATATTATTATTCCACGTTTCACATTTTTCGAATCGACATGAACAATGTTGCATACAATATATAAGATATCTTTGCGAAATTGATTTAAATTGGTGAAAAAATACGACCCACATCTTTCACGACGTCGCCTGATTGGCTGGATCGCCATTTTTCGAAGCCGCTAAGATCGTCAACCAATTTATCACAGGCGCCAAGCTATGCGCCACAACGCAGCGAGGCCCCTCGGAGTTATCGTGTGCGTACCTAGTGATGTCGAGTATTCCCCAAGGTATAAGACACTGCTGGATAAGGGTCGTTTTGGCCCTATTTTTAGGGCTGTCCCGCAGCAAATTTAGGTGTCGAAACGCCACAACGGACGCGACGGAAAGGCGGAGTGGTTGGATGGCCCGCGGGATCTCAAATCGCACGGTGCCGCTGGACCAGCGTGGCTCGTCCAGCATGAGCGGCCGGCAGATCCACGCGCTGCGCGCCTTTGACGTCGACGCGCCCCGCGCGCTCTCCGCAACCACCGAGCCGTTTGCGCCGAATCGCGTCGAGACATCGCTTTACACGCCGTACAACTTTGTGGTCAAGAACCTCTTCAAGCAGTTTTCACGCTTTGCTAACCTCTACTTTCTCTTCATTACGATCCTCCAGATCGTGCCGCAGGTCACACTCTCAAGCGGCATCCCCACGACCATCGTGCCGCTCCTCTTTGTGCTTATCATCAACGCGATCAAAGATCTGATTGAAGATGTCCACCGCCACAACGCCGACCGCATCCAGAACAGCTCCATGACGCACGAAGTACGGGCGTTTATAGCTCGGTCGATTCTGATGCTACCTCGGATGTAGCTCAACGTTGTCTCGATGACGTTTGAAGCGGTCAAGTGGGAGGCCATTCGCGTCGGCAGCATCGTGCGCGTTACCCAAGGCGAAGTGATTCCGTCCGATATGATTCTCCTGGGCACGAGCAGCCCGATTGGACAGTGCTTTACGATGACTGCCAATTTGGACGGCGAGACAAACCTCAAGATACGCTGGGTCCCCCCCGAGTTCAGGGGCCTTGAGAAAGATCTTTGCGGCCCCTCGCCGTCGACACCAGCGCTCTGGCATCTCGTACTGGCGTACAGTACACTCTATGGTTGTCATTATGTGGGGTAGATCCATGGCGCCAAAGTTGAAGTTGAAGTTCCGAATCGACGTCTCGACCGCTTCAAGGGCACGGTGATGCCGAAAGCCACCGATGCCAAGATTAGCCTCGGCATCTCCAACCTCCTTCTTCGCGGCGTCTTGCTACGTGATACGGAGTGGGTTATCGGTCTCACGGTGCGATATGATTCGACACCTGCGCTCGCTTATCGCACTTAGATTTACACGGGCGCCGACACCAAGATCCAGCAAAACTCAGGGGAAACACCGTTCAAGTCGAGCACGCTCTCGTCGCTGACGAACCGCATGACGCTGCACATCGTCGTTTTGCAGCTCGTGCTCTTAGTCATCGCTGTGTGCGTGCAGAGCGCGACGTGGACGTCGCCACCGTATCTGCAGCTCTCGGGCGGCACGTCGGTGCTCGACTCGTTTTACCTCTTCCTGACCTACATGCTGCTCTTCTCCAACTTTGTGCCGATTTCGCTTCAAGTGACGGTCGATATCACGCGCTTCTTCCAAGCGCTCGTGCTGCAGCGTGACGCCGGCATGATGTATGGCGACGTGGGTCTCACGGTACTTCCGCCATTTTGTCTTCAACGATGTCAACGCCAACATCGTAGGTCCACTCGTCCGACTTGAACGAAGATCTTGGCGCGATCCAACATATCTTTACCGACAAGACAGGGACGCTCACGTGCAACAACATGCAGTTTCGCCGGTGCGCGATCGATGGTGTTAGCTACGGCTCCAACGACCCGCAGCTGGACGCTTCTCTCTCGCCGCGCACCAGCTCGTGCGCCAAACCGAGCCCTCGCACGTCGTCTCTCTTCCACAACTACCGCACCAAAGCGCAGCCAACACTTTCTGACGAGATCTCGCCGCGCCAGTCGGGCATGCACGTCAACATCCACGACAAGGCACTCCGGCGCAAGGTATCCGGATGCTTTATTTCAATGTATCAATATGCAATATCTAATACGAACATTAGATGCAAGAGGAGCACGACCCACGCGCGATCGCATTCTTCACAAACCTGGCCGTCAACAGCGCTGTCGTGCCCGTGATCGACGCTGCGTCCGGTGAAATTGTCTACTCGTCCATCTCGCCCGACGAAGAGGCGCTCGTGAGCGCCGCCAAGCACTTTGGCATCGTGCTTCTGGCCCACGATACGACAAGCGTCCGCATCCAGCGCTTTGGCCACGACGTGCTCTTTGAGGTGCTCCACGTGTTTGAGTTTTCGAGCGAGCGCAAGAAGAGCTCGATCGTCGTGCGCGAAGAGGGGTCGTCGACGCTTCTTTTGCTGTGCAAAGGCGCCGACTCGGTCGTGCTTCCCGCGCTGTCGCCCGCGTCCGCCGTTGAAGAGAGCGCGCGGGCAGCGATGAAGTTGCACCTCTCGACCTACGCCGTTGAGGGCCTCCGCGTGCTCTGTGTTGCGCAGCGAGTGCTGCCCCAGGACGTGTACCAGATTTGGCACGACAAGTTCCAAGCGGCCAAGACGTCGTCCGAGTGTTCGGACGAAGACCTCGACCCGATCATCGCCGAGATTGAAACCAATTTGGATCTGGTGGGCATCACCGGTAAGACACTCCCGCCACGAAGGACATCTATTGTAGGATGAATGTAGGCATCGAAGACCGGCTGCAGGACGGTGTGCCCGACGCGCTCGAGTGCTTTCGCCAAGCGCGCATCAAAGTGTGGATGCTCACGGGGGACCGACCGGACACGGCCGTCAACATTGGGCATGCAACCCGGCTACTTTCGTCCGATATGAAGCTCTTTCAAATCTCTTCGAAAGGTGCTCTTATGGTTTTCGAAAGGAGTATGACAATGTGTAGAGCTCGATGCGTCCGAGCGGCCGCCGACCGAAACGATCAGCGACTTGTTTCAGAGCATGCTAGCGGCGGCCTCGTCGCAGGAGCTCGCGCTGCTCATGGACGACGTGGCGCTCGAGCTCATCGTTGCCCACGAAGTGCTGCAAAAAGAAATGATCGCCGCCTCCAAGCGCTGCATCAGCGTGCTCTGCTGCCGCGTCTCGCCCAAGCAAAAGGAGTTCATTGTCGATCTGGTCCGGCGCAAGACGGGCGTCATCACACTCGCGATCGGCGACGGTGCAAACGATGTGCCCATGATCCAGCGGGTCGGTCCTCGCATCACACTACATTCTTGCTTGACTACACTCTAATGTTGTAGGCGCATGTTGGCATTGGTATCTCGGGCGCCGAAGGCCAGCAGGCGGCCAACGCCAGCGACTATGCGATTCCTCAGTTCCAGTGCCTCAAGCGCCTCCTCCTCGTCCACGGCCGCTGGATCAACCGGCGCATGGCGATTCTGACGCTCTACATGTTTTACAAAAACGTGCTGCTCGTCTTGCCGCAGTTCTTCTTTGGCATCTACTGTCTCTTCTCGGGCCAATCGACGTACTACGACCCGCTCTACCAGCTCTTCAACGTGTGGTACACGGCGCTTCCGATCCTGCTCTTTAGCGTGTACGACCAAGACGTGAGCGCGGGCACGTCCCTCGCCTTCCCCACGCTCTACTCGAGTCAGTCCTTCGTGAGCATTCGGCTCTTCTGGATATGGATCGGCGATGCGTCCTTCTCGTCGCTCGTTGTGCTCTTCGTGCACGTCGGCGCGTTCATGTATGGCCCCATGGCCGCGTCAAGCGGGGACGAAGGACTCTGGGACCTTGGCTTTGTCATGAACGGTATCGTGGTGCTCATCGCCAACCTTCGGTACGTCCCAGCGAAACCTCAAATGCTCCATGTCTCAAGTTGCTTACGTAGACTCGCACTCGAAGTCAAGTGCTGGTTTTGGGGTACGCTCGGCGGCTTTGTCTTCAGCTTCTTCTTGTACGTAAGCTCGGCATACGTCTTTTCCAGCCTCGTGTCGTTTGGCGCCAATTTTTACGGCGTCGTGTGGCTTGTGCCGAATTTAACCAACGGCCTCTTGGCGGTGCTGGCGTGCGCGCTCTGTCTCTTTGGCGTCTTTGCAGCGAAAGCGTACGTGACGACGTTCAGCCCGCGCCCGTCCGACATTTGCCACGAAATGGACGTCTGCCGCATACGCGGCGTCGTGCCCGTTCGAACCCGCGCCCCCGACAGCTCCAATGTCCCGTCCTAGTCCCATTTGACCAAAGACTCTAACTTATTCGCTGTGAAATTCGTGATCGTTTCCTAGAAAAGTTGGGTTTTTTTTAGTGCAGGAGGCTGTCGATATCAACTGCTAATCGGCGTTTGCAGCGTGTTTCGAGCGACGACTACGCGTGCTAGGACACTGTGCCTCTGCGAGCGCTCGGGTTGGCGACCGCGCGATGGAAAACGAAGACCAAAGTTGTTAGGCAGCGTGACCTGGCCACCCGACGACAATACCACGTCAGCTCGACAAAGTTCTGCCAACTCTCCCGTAGTGAGCGCAAATACACGTGTCAAATCTATCTAGCCCGCTGGACTCGAGTGGTATGGCAACTCGCTCCACACCGTCCTCGTCGGTATCGCTGTGCCTGACAGTGTGAAGAAGCCGAGATCGTCGCCTAGTCGCTCAACATCTCGGGGACGTTCCAAGAGCTTTGCCCAAGATCAAGATCAACGAGATTGTCCTCAAGGACATTGTGACAGTCAACAAAGGGACTTTTCGACGGCTTCGAGTGCGTTCGTGCCATTTTGTTGCAACCGGACCCGTTCACCGTCGAGAACGTCAAGACGGGAACCATCAGCACTCAATCGCAAAGGAATCACTGTTCTTTGTGGGTATTTGCACACGAGGAGGTATTACTCGCAGCCACGGGCATCACGTCCCATTGCTGGGAGCTGGCCATGGTGGGGCAGATTTTATCCGGATGAAATTGGAACGGCGCCGCTGTGCGGCGGCTTGTTGGCAATCTTGGAAGTTTTCCAGGAGTCTCATGTTTCGTTCGGGAGGCATAGCGCATGACGCAGGGAGCCCAAAACCCCAAAAATGGTGCTCGTAGCGTGCCTGGAGCCAGAGTTAGTTGCTATTGCAATACGGCCGTCAACTGATACATCGATACATTGATACTACATTAGTATCAGTTTCACCATCTTGAATGGAGCATAGATCAGGCTATATACACGCTACGACCACCATTCTTTGGGTTTTGGGCTCCCTGTGTCATGCGCTATGCATACCGAACGAAACATGAGACCCCTAAAAAACGTCCAAGATTGCCAACAAGCTGTGGCTCCTTGGCCGCTCACCGCATCTCAACTTCAAGGTGCCGAAAATAACCACTCGGCAATGTGGCACATGCCGCAAATCTCAACAGAAATACCATTTCCGGATTGTATCCGTTGCCATGGCGTTCGACGAAGTCCCGGCCGAGGTCCTCGACCACTACGAGGCGTGGATCGGCAAGACGCTCGTGCCCAAGTCGACCAGTGCGCACGACGGCGATGACGCGGCCTGCGTCTTCGAAGACGATATATCGTACTCGCCCTATCGCGTACGCGGCCATGTATCTCCAGGCTTGACGTGCTGCGTAGATTTGCGTCAACGGGCGTGCGACGCGCGACTTTCACCCGCACCGCCTCAACTTTGACACGGAAAACAACGTGGTCCGGCGCGTCTGGCGCGGCTAGGAGCCTCGGACATCAACAACTCTAATCCATCGCATTTCCATTGTCGTTAGTTGGACATGGAGACGCGGGACGACGAGTAGCGCGACTGGTGGCGCGTCGAGAAGCGTGAGGAGACATACGTCGCTACCCAGCGCATGAGCTCTTGTCACGAGCCGAGAAAACGTACCTTGGCTGTGGATGGTGCCGAGCGGGCGGCGCACCCCAAACGGCCCAAGGTGCCCGGCTCCGTTGAGTAGAAGGTCGTCGGCGCTGTACTGCCCGCCGTACGTCTCTACAAACACATGCCATACGTGGCCGAGGGGATGGTGAAGCAGCTGCGGCAGCGTGTGCAGCACAAGCGCCCGGAGCAGTCGCGTCACGAGCGGGTCGTACATGACGTAGAGGTCGTCGCTTTTCGAGGAGATGACGTTGCGGGCAAACGTAATATCGAGCTCGCCGCGAATGGCTTCGGGCACAAAGGCGCGCATGCAGAGCACCGAGTCACTCTGGAGGTATGTGTTGTAGAGCGCTTGGGGTGTCGCCAAACGGGACTTGATATCGCGGTACGCAAGAAGCCACGCCACCGGGAGAAGCTGGACTTGCGTGAACGCTAGGTATGTGGCGGCCCCGTCCGGGGTGGCGAGGAAGAGCGTCAGTAAATCGGCGTTGATCGCTTCCCACGACTCTTTTTCCATGAAGTGTGCGGACGAGAGCGCCAAGCACGCTTCGTGTCGACTCTGTAGCACAGGTCGCACGAGCAGCGGCACAACGACAACGTGGACGGCCACGTGCGTAATGCTGGACGCAATCGTTGTGCGCAGTGTCGGCTTTGTCGCCGGCACGACGACGATCGTCACGAGGTACCCGATAAAGCACGCGGCGATCCCGCGGGCGGCGGAGACGTAGACGCGCCGCAGTGCGAACGCTTCGTTGACTCTGCCGAGGAGATACCCAAGGAACGTCGTGCCAGCAAGTAAACACGCGCACTGGAGCACGGTGACGTGAACGAGTTCCGCCGCCAGTGGGGTCGACCAGGATGTCTCAATGCACCAGAATGACATGTCGGCCGAGAGTAGTACGTGCAGCACGAACGGCAGCGTCCATACAACGTGCAGCACAATCGACCCAGCGAGGAGCGGACGGGGAGCCAAGACGCGCTGAAGGAGCTTGCACCGCGCGACGAGGAGGTGCGACGGCACGCCTGTTTTCATGCTGGCGTGTACATCGACCGTCCACTTTGTCTGAAAGTAGGTGCAGACGAGAACGACATCGGACGAGAAGGCGGCAAACATCGTCCAGAGAAAGCTCGCGGTAGTCACGAGCGCGTATGCACCAATCGAGATGGGCCACACGTCGTAGACGAGGAGCGCGCCGGCTGTGCCAAGGCAGTAGATGCCGCCGAACGTGCTGATGACGACCACGTGGGCGGGGTTGGTCTGGCGCACGGACGGGAATTTGCGGCGCCGGACAAAGAGGACGAGGAAGACGGGGATGTACAGACCGGCAAGAAAGTGCAGGTAAACCACGCCGAGGGGCATGTTGTAGCTGCTCGAGGCGAACGGACCGAACGAGATCGTCGCATTCGGCGTCGACGCGGACCCGTTCGTATCCATGCTGTTATCAATACCAAAAATAGACGCCGCCCTTTTTGGCGCCAAGTTTAAAGCCCGCGCGAACTTCAAGTTCGCCGAGTTCCGGGAGGCTGGAGAGCACACCAATGCCACCATTTGAATTGCAATGGAATATACTTGTACGAGATGACTGTGGCGCAAAACCTATCGACTTGGTGCATGCCGGCGACGTGGAGCGAGCGTCACATGCGCTTGTGCGCAAGTTCGCGCATCTGAAGTGCGCCACTCAGATCGCCGGTCTATAAATAGACAGCAGATTGCCCACGTTGCACTTGGTCTCGATGCCGGTCGGGTCGGGCAACACAGTGACGCCGTCTGCGTCGTGGAGTCCATCGGCCTCCGACTACCTCCTCGGCTTCCTCCTCATCTTTATGATCTACATGCCACTCACGATCGGACTCTTCTATGCGCGGCGCGACTTGCCCTCGATTCGGTATCGAAATCCCATTCAAATGACGGTACGTGTGTCCTTCCTACAACGACTCGAACGAACCTGCTCAGATATGTGGCGTCATGGCGACGATCTACTGCTACATTGATTTGCTCTTTGTCTTGCTTGGGTCGACCATCGACTGCGGGGCGTACTTGAGTCTCGTCAACGGGCTCTTCCACTTCACGACCTTTAGCGTCTTCCTCTCCGAGGTGGCGGTCGTCGCTACCTTTTACCTCACGGAGCTTCTTGTTCAAATCCACACGGAGGGTCATACGCCCCAGCGCGACCGAAAAGCGCGGCTTCTCCACATCGCCCTCCAGTCGCGCACGCTCACGGGTACGTCATCCATGGATAGTGATCGAGTTCCACCACGGATGCTAGTCCTCTGGGTCTTCGGCCACGGCCTCTGGAGCGCGCCGTCAGTGCTCTTGCTCCACTCGTTTGCAGATACGTTGGCGAATTCGACGGTCGTCGAGTGCCCCGCGTTGCCGCTGGCCGCCACGAAAGCCTTGGGCCTCGTGCAGCTCGGCATTCTTCTCTGCCTCGGCGGCATCGCCACGTACTTTGTGAGCAATTTGGTCGACAACTTTGGGCTGCGGGCCTCGTACATGCACGCCCACAAGGTGTGGTGCGTGTGCTTCATCGGCTCGATCTGCCTCTTTGTCTTCCGCGACAGCGACGTTGTTGTCAACTACAAGCTCGACCCGGCACTCTCGGCAATCGGGGTGCAGTCGATCGTCTTCGTGTACATCCTGCGGCCGCTCTTGCTCAGCTTCAAGGAAAAGCGGCACACGTCGCTCGCCCGGCTCAATGGCTCGGAGAAGCTTCTGGAGACGTATTTGCTCACGTCGGCGGGCTACGCGGCGTTCAGTGCGTTCTGTCGGCAAGAATGTGTCTACGACCAACTCGTCGTGTGGCGAGCGACTGTTCATTACCAGTATAGTGTCTGTTCTGAGATATCAGATCTGATAGAAGCGAACTAGGGAGGACGTGAGCGACGAGAGCGACCCCCGGTTCTTGTACCGCCGGTATTTGCGCCACGACGCGCCGTTGCCGCTGCGGCGCATGAGCGCTCGTCTCAAGGACCTCTACTTTGGCTTGTTTGAAGCCAATCGCAAGTACCACGTCGACGTGGCTGACCAAGACGTCGAGCGCATCTGGTTTGTGCCGCTGCGCCAAGAGCTCCTGCGGGGCCTCGTGACCGACGTCCTCCCGCATTTCCAGGTCGACCCGCTCGGGTCCGACTGGGCGAATTTTCTCCATCGGGAGCAAGCGACCCAAGCCCTCGACTTGGTGCTCAAGCAAGTCGACGACAAGCCCGACGAGCTCGAGAAGGTGCTCACGCCGCAGAAGAAGCACCGACGATCGACGCTCAAGACGCTCCCGATCTTGCCCACAATTCAAAGCGGGTTTGAGTTTGAGTCGCCGCGACCTCACGACAGCAGCGAGCCGTAGTCAAGTCGACGTTGATGAATTATTTATGCGAAATCAAGAAAATGCAGCCGCCTAGTAGCGCACGAGGGCGAGAAGCGAGAGGATGCCGACGGACGCGGCGAGGGACGTTGTCGACGCGGCGTTGCCGTCGCCCACGCCGCCGGTGGCCGACCCAGCTGCGGTACTTGTCGCCTTTTGCAGCGTCGGAAAGGGCGCGACGCCAACGGGGCGCACGACGCAGTCGGCGGCAGGCGCTGTGCACACCGTGCACACTTGGGCGAGGAGGCGGCGACGGCAGCCATATTGCGCCGACGAACAGCGCGGGTTGTTGAGGTAGCACGGCGGGTTGGCCGACTGGAGCGACGCAATGGAGGGCAGCGGCTTCATGTTGGCGCCCTTCACCGGGTCCGCGACCACGGAGGCGTAGAGGTCGATCATGGCCTGGCTGCGGGCCGAGTTGGCGCTTGGGTCCAAGAGGTCGCTCCAGAACGGAAGGTGCTTGCCGCTCACCGAGTTGTACTCGACCTCGCCCGCGAGACAAAACTCATTCCGACTCGTGTACGGCTTGCCGGTCTGCGGGTTGGTGAGGCTCGTGATGCCGACAAGATCGTCGAGGCTGATGTAGCCCAGGACCGAGTGCGAATACGTGCACTTGACGCCGTCGGGAAGGACACCAAAGGGGCACTCGCCGCCTTTCTGGATCGCGCGGCACGCGTCGGTCTTGGCCGTGAACGACTGCGTCATGCAGCTGCCGGGAAACGAAAACCAGACGTTGTCAGGGTACGGCGCTTTCGGGTTGTCGATGCGGTTTTCGCCGCCAATGCACGGCCCAATGTTGGGCTGGCCGTTGCCGCCAAAGAGCTGGAGACACGCCTTGGGCAGTGTTGTGCCGGACGTCGGCGTGCACATGCCATTGTCCATCGCCAAGAACGGGCAGTACTCAGGGTATATGGACGTGTCGGTCCCATACTGCGCGATCGCATACGTCGGCTGCACAATGTGCAGGTCAAAGAACCACACGTAGCTCATGTTGGTCTTCCGGAGGCAGCCGGGCACGATGCCCTGGTCGATGCCTTCCGACTGCACGTACATGAGCGCGCCTTCGACCGACGCCGTGTTGACCGTGTCGAGCGTCGCGCGATATTGATCGGCGAACGTCTTGATGTCGGTGTTGTACTTTGCCGAGACCCACGCCTGGTTGGTCTCGTCCCAGACCGGCACGATCGAGACGACGCGGGCTTGGATCGAGCGCACGGACGTCATGGTCCAGTCGCTTTGGCCATACGCGGCGCCAAGGAGGCTCGTGGCGAGGAGGCCCAACGTCGTCTTCATGCTCGAGCTGGCCAAATATGCAAAATGAACAGCCCGGGCGGTGTCGTTTCACAAGCTTCGAACATTCGCTGTGCAAGGGCCACGTCAGATGAGATCGCGTATCTTGACGTTTGTATGCCGATAAAACCTTTGACAATGCATATATTGCGACAAGGAATAATTGAACGCAGTAAATTGTCGAAGAAACGGATTAAAATCCACAATATACCTGCCAAAAACCTCTGGAATCGGATGTTGAAGTTGCTTGACCAGACGCATGACGATTGCAGAAAGCCATGGAAGAAGCTTGGACGCAAGATCGCCAACCGACGCCAGCTGCCTGACGGTTGCCGCCCACTCGGAAGCAAAGCTTCTCAGTCTGGTCTTGTTATGTGAACGTTAGCCGGTGCATTCTGTTCTGACGTTCAGCAGCAGCGCCAGTTTGAACAGAGCCCAAGTCTCTCCACTGTATTCACGACGTAGAGCTAAAGCAGCAGCAATGAAGAGAGCAGTTTGGGTCAAGACGAATACGTATTATCAAAGTTTAGTTGTTTACATCATCATCGCGACCGCACCGACAAGGGCCGCACCCGAGAGTGCGAGCGAGGCGGCAGAGCTGGAGGTGCCGCCGTTGCCGTTGCCACCAGTGCCGGGGGCCAAGGTCTTGCCACTGGCATCCGTCGGGGCAGGCGGAGTGTACTGCTTCTTGAGCGTGAGCGGGACAGCGTTCGGGGCGTTGGCCGGCATGACCACACAGTCGGACGCCGCCGTTTTGCACACTTCGCAGATCTGCGCCATGAGCTTGCGGCGGCAGCCAAAGGTCGCCTTGGCGCAGAGCGGGCTGTTGACGTAGCAAGGCGGGTTGAGCTTCGTGAGGTCCGAGGCCTTGGGGAGGGGCTTCATGTTCTTGGCGTCGCCCTTGCCCGAGTCGAGGAGGTTGTTGTAGAAGTCGAGCATCTTCTGCGTGCGCTCCTGGTTGGCTGTCATGTTGAGCGGGTCGTTCCAGAACGTCAAGTCCGACTTCTTCGTGCCCGTGGCGAGGAAGTCGTACTCGGTCTTGGAGTCCTTGCAAAACTCGACGCGGTTCTTGTACGGCTGGTTCGTCTGCGAGTTCGTCATGTTGGTGATGCCGACGAGGTCGTCAATGAAGAGGTAACCGAGCACTTCGTACGAGTACGTGCACGTGACACCATCGGGCTGCGTGCCAATGGGGCAGAGACCGCCCTTCTGCGCCTTGCGGCACGTGTCGTCCTTTTGGTCGAAGGTCTTGGTGTAGCACGAGTTGGGGAACGAGAACCAGACGTTGTCCGGGTAGCTGCCATAGTCGTGCGTACCGCGCGTCTCACCGCCAATGTACGGGCCAATGTTGGCCGTGTTCTGGAGGCCGCCAAAGTTGAGGCAGTACGGCGAGAGCGTCCCCTTGGCGTCCTTGGGCGTGCAGTAGCCGTTGTCCATCGCGACAAAGTGACCGTACTCGGGCACGACCGAGTTGTCGTCCTGCGTCTCGGCGATCGCCCACGTCGGCTGGACAATGGTCACGTTCATGAACCAGATGTAGCTCATGTTGGTCTTGCGGCCGCAGCCGACGTCAAACTGCTTGTTGATACCTTCCGTCTGCACGTACATGAGCGCGCCCTCGGGCGACGCCGTGTTGACCGTGTCCATGGCGGCGCGGTACTTTTCCGGGAACGTGTTGGTGTTCTTCTTGAGGACGAGGCCAAACTTCTGGTTGGCCTCATCCCACGTCGCCGGGTCCGACTGGACGCGCGCCTGGATCGACGTGATCGCCTTCATCGTCCACGCGGGGTTGGACACCGACGGCGTCGGCGCGGGCGTCGTCTGGGCGGCGACGGTAGCGGCCATGGCAGCGGCGGCGAGGATACGGACCATGATGCGAGTTGCGACGGCCGGTGGAAAGCAAAAGTGGGCGCTCCACGCACTGTCGAACGACCATTACACGCCCCGCCTTTCCAGTACAATGTACCGTCTGTACGCTTGTACTTGATGTTTGTACCAGGAATGTACGTACGGTTGTTCGTACGTACGTGTCTCACACCCGACGACTAGCCTATACGCCGGACGCCAGCGGCTCGTTCGCTTCGGGCACGCCGCCGTGAGTAACCTGGCGCGACCACCGAGTCGCCAGCCATCACTGCGCCGGCCGCAACGACCGCCGCCGACTACCACAACTCCGACGAGGCCATGGCAAGCCATGGTAAAGCCATGGGCCTGGACATGGCGACCGCCTCCGATCAGGTTGCTGCGCGTTGGGTGGCACCATCCATATCCACGATTGACCACGCGCTCGCAAGGTGGCGTACGAGGTTCCTCGTGGGTGCGAAGACGATCATAATGTGGATGATGCTAGTTTAGTCGTCGACGAGGACAAACTTCTCCATAAACTCGATGAACCGGTTGCCGTACAAGTCGGGGTCCACGGACGAGATCTCCTTGGCGTTGTGCTGGAGGCCCTTGATGAGCGTCTCGGCGCGCTTCTGCATGTTGTACTGCTGCAGAATGTCGATGATTCCTACATAACCGTACGTGTGAGCAAGGTTCTCAAGGGCACGGAAGAGCCGCACCGACAAAGTAGACAAAGCCGTTCTTCTTGCCCGACGTGCGCCGGCCGCGGATGCCGCCAAGGTCCTTGCAAAAGATCGACCCGGTCGGCTCCTTGTTGACAGGGTCCACCCGGGGTGACCTACAAAGACACGCTGTTACGACGCTGCGTTGCAACGACCGTGTTTATCACGTCGGGGGTGGGACGCCGGGGTCCAAGACCCCAAGGTCGTCGTCGTCGTCGTCGTCGTCCAGCTGCACGGTTGATTCGGCCGCGCTCCCAAACACGGTCGGCTGCTGCAGTTGCTGCAGCTTCTTTTTTTGCTCGGCCAAGTCGATCTCCGTGGCAAGACTAGACACATGCCCATCTTCAGCTATACTAGGGTGGGGAAATGTAGCGTACGTTGGGCCCGGGACAAGGATCTCTTGCCCCGCATCGTGGATGCCCACGAGCAAGCTATAGTCCATGATTTTCATGCGCTTGAGGAACGCCACGTCCTATGCCTTGATTTGGCTCGTGCCGGCAGCAGCAACGTACTACCTTGCGAAGCTGCTCGAGCATCATGGCGCGCCGGGCCGGCCCCAGCGAGAGATGGATCTGCTCCTCGATGAGGTCGTTGTCCTTGAGAACGCCGCGGCGCTTCTTCTCGTCCGGTGATGCGTTGCGGCCGACGGTCGAGCCCTTGAGGTCAAAGCGCAGGTGGATCTCCTTGGGCGTGTTGAAGACGCTGGCCATGATGACAAAGTGCATTTGGGTCTTGAGGTGGTGCATCTTGACGCGGTGCATGCCGTAAAAGCGCGTCACGAGCGTGTTCGGGTTCTCCATGACAAACTAGGCATACGTGTAGACCCTATCCCTGAGTCAAGCGCACCTTGTAGTAGTGGGGCAAGATGCGCCGAAGAAACTTGGACTCGCCTTGCGTCTGCGTCTTGATCATGAAGCGCCCGTCGTGCGAGTAGAAGAAGAATTGGCCCGACTTGGAGTTGGACATGAACTCGATGTAGTTGAAGTCGCCACAGAGCGTCACGAGGTAGTCCGCCTAGCACACGTGAGACGCCACCAATGTCGCCTGTGTCGTACGCTGTCAATGTCAAAGCGCCGGCGAATCTGCCGAAAAATGTCGGGCGCATAGTCCTACAAGCTTACTTCAGAACGATCGTCGTAGGCAGTCTGACCTTGAATTTGAACTCGTGCTTGAGCTTGGACTTGGGGTTGGCAGGAAAGCTGCGCTTATCGACTCGCATAAAGTCGTTCATCGTCAGGCGCTGCTTGAAGAGGTCCATGCTGCCCGCCTGTACCATTGCTGTCATCATCATGCAGATACCAGCAGCAATGTCGTACGGATGCGAGGATGCCCGTCATCATGCCGTACGTGAGCGTATACTGTTCGTGCTGGTCGTGGATTTCGTTGCCGTCGGGCTTTTTGAACGCTGCCGTCGGCGACGTTAGGAGCGTGCCATGTCTAGAAAACCATCGTGATCATGCAGCGAGGCAGGAAGCTGCTACCGCGCGCGCTGGATTTGGTTGGTCATGTCGATGGCCTTGGCCGCCGGCGAGCCCGGCCGCGACACGAGCATATCGTGGCCCAGCACCTCGTCCTGGCTCAGCTTGATGGACGCGTCGCTCACGGACCGGCGCTTTCCCAGAGGAAAAGGTGGCTTGGCTTCGTGTACATCGATGGTCAGGTGCGGCTTGCTGCTGCGGCGCCCGACAGCGTGCTCGTTGTCGTCGACACTGCGGCCATCGGTCCGCTTGAGCCCGGCGTCATCGAGAAGCGAGCCTGCCGACTTGTGCGAGGTGAGCGTCGGCCGGCGCGGTGGTGTCTCCCGCGGCTTGATCTCCATCTTCACAATGGCTCGACGAGTTGAGTTTGCCGTTGAGTTTGCCGTTGCAGATTGGAATTGCTAAAAATACTCGCCAATCATATGCCGGTATTCGACAACGACGCGGAGTGATTGGCCATCTCTGACGTGGCGCGCGGACGTGGCCGCCGTCCCGCAGTCCAACCACGTGCACAATGTGATGCAATTTACTACTCAGTACGAGTTAGCTGTACGAGCTAGACAGCTACCTAATGCTACACGACGCTTGGCGCTGGCCATTGCTCGTGGCTAAAGCTCCGGCGGCGGCAGCAGCTTTGACCACATGGTCGCACTGGATCTGGCGAAACACATGCCTCGTGACGCGTGGGAACACTCGGGCTGAATTTCTCTTGGAACACAAGATGCGCCTCTTGCTGGCAGCTGCCGCGACGTCCGAGAACGCTCTTCGAAGCGAGCTTTTGGCCCTGCATTTTACGTCGCCAACAGCGTCCTGATCGTACGTTCTCGAGGAATCGGGCAGTTCCCTGCATCCAAGCAACACGAACGTTCGACGAACACCTCGTTTGCATCGCTCGCTACGAGCAGTGCTCCACTATCTAAATCCATTTGAAGGCGATGTACTTGAAGCGGGCTGGAAGCGCGAGGCTCCAGCGAGGGCATTCTCCGCTTACGCCGAGTTGGGTAAAAGTTGTTGCCAGCAGTTTCAGTCCCAATTGGTTACACCGAAAATATACTGCTAAAAAGGCGGATATAGCATTTTGGCATGGCGGACGCTGTCGGGACGGCCGTGTGGGTGCCGCACGATGACGTCGTCTGGAAGAAGGCGACGGTCGTCCAGAAGCTCTCGGAGACGTCGGTGCAAGTGCGCTATGTCGAGGACGAAGACGCATACGACCGTGAGATTGGCACCACAAAGACCTTTGACGTGCGCGAGATCGCCAAGCTCGCGGGCGAAGTCTCCTCGACCGCGATGCCCATCTGCAACACCTTTGAGAAGCTCGGCGTTGAGGATATGTGCACGCTCAACCACCTGCATGAGCCGGCGGTCCTGAAGAACCTGCAATTGCGCCACGCGCAGAGCATCCCGTACACGTACACGGGCCAGATCTGCATTGCTGTCAACCCGTACAAATGGCTAGACCTCTACGGCGAGGTAGCCTCCCGACTCGACTTGCGATAGCCCACGGTATGAATCTAGGGGCTCTACCCCAAGTATTTGGAGCAGCCAAAGACGTCGCTGCCACCGCACCCGTTCGCGCTTTCGTCGCATGCGTACCTCGACATGCGCAAGC